CAAATAAAAATTGCAACTCTAAGCTGTACTTTGACAAGGGTAAAATTACAATTCTAATTGAAGAAATTAAACACGACCACCCTCGTCCTGAACACCTGAAACGGCAAATCGTTTCAACGACAGTTGTATCTGCCAACTAGATTAGGCGAATTTCGTAAAATAATGTAGAAATATGTTGTGTTATAGAATTATAAATTGTACTAAAATTACGCTTTAAATTAACTGAGAAATATCTATTTATTTCAATTGTAATTATCGATTCCCCGGCGCTATAAGGTGCAAATACGCCTATTTAGTAAACCTCTCCGGTGTATCGCGGCCGCGATTCACGTACGCCCTTAATTCTAACTGACGTTTTTCTCGAACGAAAGCGCGTTTTTTTTTTTTTTTGTTGTTGATCTAAGACCCGGGGGGTTACACGCCCACAATTCAGGAGAAAAACCACTAGCTCCCGAAATACGACGTTCAGTTAAACGATCGCAGCATCATTGTTGGTCCGTCATCGATTGGACGATCGGCCATGAAATCCACGACAAAGCAGTCAGAAACATCTTCGGGCTATACGAATCGCTAAACCGCACGTGTTATGTAACCGCCAAGTACCGATAATTGACACAACTGTCATTGTGACCACTGACCGAACAAAATTTGCGTGCGCTCCGCCACCGCGACCGCGTGAGATGAAACCCGCAATCAATCATACGGTATTATGTATTCTGTTGTATCGATAACAACTGTTGTGTGCATGTTCGGACGTGGCGAGTAAAATCGGCCGTTGTAACGACGACGGAAACTTTCCGCGCCGTTTGTTGTTTTCGGGTCGTTACTCGGCGCGGCGCACACACATAACTGGAGGCGAACATCGTAACCCGATTGTACTCGATTCAATTAGCGCGCCGTGTATCACATCGAAACTATTGTCAAGTCACACCAAGACAATGCGCAATGTTGGGCCGACGCGTGTTATAATCGGTAGTCGAGTTTATAAAACGCGTGAATTTCTCGAAAGTTCTCGCCTGTCTAGGGGCCGGGGAGCGGGGTTCGCCGAAAAATATCGGCGCCCCCGCCGTGCCTCCGGCCGCGAGAGTCCCGACAGTCGTCAGTGCTTCAATCACGGCGGAACGTGTTACAGCGCCGGTCCCGCGTTTCCCGTCGAAACTCGTTTTCGTTCCGCCGGGAAATCCCGAAACGCCGACGTGGCGCGTCTGTTTTTCGCGAACCGCCGACGACGTCACCGCCCGCACCGCGGGGACCGCGGCGATACGTTTACCGTTGTCGCGGGGAAACCGGCGGGCACGGCGGGAAACGGCAACTCGAAACACGCTGCGGCGAGTACGGCGCGGACGGACGATTTCCGTTTGGTGATCGCGCGACGCTGTTTTCGGTACGGTTTATCGGCCGTCGTCGGCATCACATAACACGGGGTCGCCGCCCCCGCCGTCCGTCCGCCGGCAAACGTGTCCCCGTCAATTGACGGCGGCCGCGTTGGATTATAATAACCGCAATGCTACGGTACGACAGCGATTTACGGTTATCGCACACGCTTCTTCTCGGCGCGTGACGTTGCGCGGCTGACGTGGCCGATCGATCCTCGGGGATTTCGGCGGCGATTCGTGACCGCGGCCGCGTTTTCCCCGTCAACGCCGCCGCCGCCGCCGAATTATAACGATATCCGCGGTTTCGCGGGCGGGAACCGCGACGCGCGGGGTACGGTGCGGAGCTTATTGGGAAACGCGGTTAAGTGTTGCCGCGGCACGCGCGCCGTCTCCGCGCTAAGAGATTGTTGTCTAAATTAATTACCGGCGCCGCCGCCGCGACCGTATAGTTATGGCCCGCCGCAACGGGCCGCAGTATCTCTTCTTATACGCCGGCTCTCAAACTATCGCGTGACGGGCGGGCGGTTGAGGCCGTGGGGGGGGGCGGGTTTGCCCGACGATCGTCGTCGTCCTCACGCGCGCGCGGTCGGCCGCGGGAGCCGCGGGTCGACGGCGACGGGTACGGAGCGCGCGTAACATAATGTCGCGTAAACAGCGCGCCCGCTCCAGCGTCACATATTTTATTTCAGACCGTTACCCTGCGCGCGGCGCGTCCGTAGTTCTAAATAATCCCATTTTCCGCTTTGCGTGCACACCGCGGCGCGTCCCGTTGCCGGTGCCGGGCGCGGGCAGGTGCGTACGGAAGGTGCGCGGTTATTAATAAAAGTCAGACTCGCCGCTTATCTGCACGATAACGCGATATTAACAACGTCAAGGCGCGGCGTGGGAAAATTAATTTCCAGCCGCCGCTTTAAATAATAATCCGAAACTCGGCCGCGCGGTACGGCGACGGCGTCCTGCGGGCCGATCGTGCTGATCGAGCTGATCGCGCGACACACCGCCGCCCGACTGTGTATTATTATCATTATCGCCGTTATAGCGGCGCGCAAAGCTGCGGTTACGGTACAGTTAATTCAAACAGTTAATACGCGGGCGTAATATAAACATTGCGTTTAAATCGCGTCGAATTAATTACCCGTCTACGCAATAATAACAATAATGATAATATACGGTCGGGCAATCGACACTTTCGTCCCGGCACATTTTCCCTCTCGTTCGCCGTCGTCCCGACTGTTCGGAGTCGGCCCCGTCCTCGTTACGAACTTCCGGTCGACCAGATCTCCCGCCTCGAGAGTACGTCGGCTGCAGCGACGCTGCGTTTACGGGGGTCGGTGGGTAAAACATAGGGTCCGGACCACCAACGTTCGCCCCCCCCCCAACCACCCGAGCGGAACGGAACGGATTCCGAGCGGAGCTGAGAAGCGTACGGTTTTACAAAGACGTTTGTATGATTTTTTTTTTTTTTTTTATCCGTGCGCAATTTTTCTACCAGAAGACTTGCTCAGATTTTTAGGTGTAGCGCCTTTTCTGAAACGAGACATCGGTGCCGGTAGGTACATTAAGAAGGACGATTTTTCGAATTTCTCAGGAGTTTATTCGTCAAATTTGAAAAACCCAGGAAAAACGGGAAAGTATCAGAAATATAGGTATTAGTTAAAATACTGAAAACTACGATTTTTTTTTTTTTTTTTTATGCACAACTTTTCTATTTGTAATTTCGCTTCGGTTCCTAATGATAGTAATATTTCTAAGAGAAAATTGAACTGGGAAAGTACTTTAGGGAGGTCTTTTTACGATTTTCCAAGCAAATGTGAAAACCCGGGAAAAACGTAGGATAACTGGGAAAATCGGTACAACATTAAACGAATATTATTAAAGAAAATATGTAAAGTCTATTTAATTATTTTACTATAAAATTACATATGTTTATTGTTGACAAAGCATCATTATCAACTGAACTTCATTCAGAATCATTTTTTATTTATTAGTAACGGTTTATCGTTGCTTACAGGTATACATTAAATTACTTATAACAGTGGCTACACCCGTTATCCTAGGTCTTCTTTGTTAGGTTTCATTTTATCTTCGAAATGTATGTTATTGTATGAAAATAGGCCGCTTTTATCTGAATACCGCGTTTCCAATATTATAGTGTGCGCACGCCTATGAAATTCACCTATAGGATATAACATAAATGGATGGCGTTAGTGAAAAAGATATTGTATAAGTCATATTGTATAACTTTTCGAGAGACCAAAAAGACTAAATAATTGATTATAGGTTTGTATAGATTATGATTAAACGCACAGTGCATGCCAATTGAATTATATTAAAAGAAGATAGACAAATTTCAGTATTATCAATCATAAAATTTCTTACAAAATTGACGTGGAATGGAAAATCTGACAAAATATGACTCGTACCTTTTTTCACGAAAACCGTCCAAATATTAAATGTTAACAAAATGTATATTAAATATTAATAGAGCTAGGATTCTAAAGCATACTCGTATGCTTCTTTTTTTCTACATGAGATAGAAATTATTCATATATAAATTCGTTCCGTGTCGATCTATGTCATAATACAGAATACGGACTATTGTTTAATTGTTTCCGTTTATCTATATCAATAAAAATGATGTATTTTATCGATAAACGATTTCATTAAAGTTATTAATGTCCAACTAAGAATCTCAACGTGTTAAAATAGTAAAAAATCTATTTCAAAATGTATCACTTCGATTAAACGTTGGGTACATATTTTCACAGACTTTGGATTTTTATCAAATATTATTACAACATTAGAGAAAAAAATGTAAATTTAAACTAAGTATTGAAAAAATTTAATATTATAATACAAAATTATGTGAAGTATGATTTTAGGTTGACAAAATGTATACAAATTGTCTAACAAACAGAAAAGAAGTTAAATAGAACTAATGGAGATATCGCAACTGCAATTTCGGGTAAATTAAATCGCGTTCTTTAAAAAAACAAAGTCTGGAAACAATTACGAGACAATAACAACGTACTGTGTGGTATTTTATCGTTATATTAATTATCATGGGTTTGATTTAAACGAAACGACTTGTATGCACCAATTACTTTTGTGGGTGTAGAGTGTTCGTTTTCTTAATCATAGTTTATCAGGTTATCGGGTAATAAATTAAGTTTTACAACAATCCGACTTAATGTTATTGTAATATTATAATTCATAGCAAATTATGTTTAGCGAATTCTGACTCTTCTTTCTCGTTAATCTTTTAATTGTAAATGTTATTTTTCAAACATAAAATGAAGTATTGTGTATAGTTGTTATATTTTATATCACGGGCGTCTCCAGGGGGAAGGGCATTTGTCCCCCTCTGGTTTTTCAATACTTATATTCTGCAGCCTCGAGTACATCTTTCTTGGTTTCATTAATTACTGTGGCGAAATACAGTGCGATTTAAGAACCTGTGACAGATATATTACAAGGTGTATCGGTAGATCACTATCAAGTCGGCAAACATATTGATTCATTAGTAAAAATGTTCGGTAATCATCGAAAGGACGCTAGTGAAATTTTTCAAACGTTATTTGACAAAGCCGAATTAATCGCCACTGCTATAAATATTTGTATTACATGTCGAAGAACAGTAAAAACCAGTCACCAAGAGCAAATTACGAAACTGAAAGTTGTGAAGATTATTACCGAGTATCAGTTTTTATACCATATCTTGATTCAAATACACAGTCCATAAAAGAACGTTTTGAAAAAGAAAACAATAATGCCTTTTTACTAAAATATCTCCATCCCGTAAATTTTAAACAATTCGAAAAAAAAATATTGCTCGAGAGCGTTGAAAAAATTAATAATCTACAAGCTGAAGCAGAAAGTTGGTACAATTTTAGCTAAAATCGGGACTGCCAAGACATTAACTTTATTGATTTGTTAAATGGTAACTGTACATTTTTCCCAAGAATAGCAATTGCTTTGAAAATATTTACGCCCCTACTAGCTACAAGTTGTACAGCAGAACGCTCTTTTAGTACTTTAAAGTGTGTTAAAACAGAGCTTTGATCAACGATGGGTGAATATAGACCGCGTGGGCTATGCATGTTAAGTGTTCATCGCAAACGAGTATATTCGGAGAAAGTCTAGTTAATTGAAAAAGTACTAACAAAATTTGGTAGAGAATGTCCACGTAGATTACAATTTGTATTTAACGAAAAACAATAAATTTAATTAAAAATACCTATGGTAATTATGATGTATTAGAGTTAAGAATTTATTTTACAAAACAAAATCGTATTTTTTAAATTATGTTTTTCCCCTCCCAGAAAAATGTCTGCGGACGCCCATGTTTTTTGTGTTTGTATTTAGTCGTACACTGTTCGTTGTTGTTATTTTGTAGCAACAGTACATTTAATTGGGCATAATAAGGCCCGTATCTTTCGTAAAATAAATAAATAAATCATCAAACAGATAACCTACTTATAATGTATACGCGCGTATCAAGTGTTTTCGACAGTTAAAAATTAAAAAAAAAAAAAATCAAAAACAATAATATTAACAACCGATCATTATTAGTTGTAGGTATGATTCGGAAAGTGTCTACGCGTTTTACAGGTTCCCGGCTCTAATAAAATTCAACCGCAGTAATATAATATTATAGACGAGTTTACCTACGAATAATATTTGTAATACCGCTAAACGATGCTAATATTAACATTCGTTTTTAGGTTCGGCACACACATATACGTTGTACACACAACATATAGATAATAATATGAATGTTCGCATATCAACAACAAATCTAACCCACACATCATTTATACATTAAGCGATTTTCAAACGCAACTGCTCGTACCTTTATTTATTTTCATTAGTTTTAATGTCAACATAAAGAGAAGCGAACGAACTTGTATATAAAACAAACAAATAACCTACAGAACAAGTTTCGGAAAACAAATAATGAAAAAAAATCGTCGCGAACAAAAAACGATTTTGAGCGGAGCTCAAGCGGACCTATTAACTACAAATCAGGCAAGGCACGCTAAAAGTCGTTTTACTATAATGCGTGCATTTAGACTTTGAACGTGATGATGAATGTATTAATTTGGTTTTACTTTGATGAGTGTTGTTTTTTTTTTCTTCTTTTTTACTGTATGTGAACAACTTTTCTCCCAGAAGTAGTCTTGTTCCAATCAAAAAATAAAAACGGCCTTTTTTTTTGTTCGATAATTTTATTGAACTAGATCCGAAATGCATTGGAGAAATCATTTTTCGATTTTCCAAACGGTTTTCATAGTTATTGGGAAAAATTTGGAAAAAACGTATAGGAGAAACAGATAAATAATCGTATTTACCACGAGACATACAATAGTACGAAATTCATATTGAGCTGGCCGAAAGTACGTGGAAAAAAAAAATTGAAAATGCATAGTAACTATAAAATTTAGATACAAAATTAACAATTTCCAGTTAGTTTATTCGTTTATACATCGGCTAGAGCCGTTTGAATAAGACTACATCCATACATTTTAATTTAATTTTTCAAACTTTTCTGCTTGTGTTTATTCGGTTTTTAACTGAAGTAAATAGTGTTATTTCTTTTTGTTTTTAAGTAGAGTAAGCTCTATATTAAATTTTAAAAAATTGTTTACATCTGATTAAAACCGTAGCTAACACAAATTATTTTCACTCGATAAATATACACACGATTATAGAATATTGTAAATACCATTTTATTCTTGTTGGTTTTATTATTTTTATTATATAACCAAACAAATGATTCGTGTAAACTAGTATGCAGAAATTAACAATATTAACCAATGTAAATACATTTTTTTTAAAAAGAAAACAGTTTTTTTTTTTTTAAATATAACTAAATATAGATAGGTAGTAGGTGAATAATAGTATATTAATTGTGTACCTAGTCAAACGACATTCATTTATGAAAAAAAAATTCTCTAAAGAATTTTCTCCTCCGTTATGCGAGTTTGGATCCGATATTATTAATAATGACTTAACGCCGTTTGATAAGTACTATAGGTATGTTATAATTCATATTTTGAGTAGATGACTAAGTATATATAAATCGCTAAATGCAGAAAGAGCACATGTTTCAATTTTAAAATTGTTAAAAAAAGACAAACAAAAACTCTAAGAGTTTTATAATATTTATAAAATTACTTCAGAAACATTATTGAACACGTTGAAAACATAAAATTTGTTTTTCAATTTTTTTCATAGTTATTAGTTATCAGTTAAGTATAATATCGTCTCTTCTTGAAAAATTGTAACATATTGCGCCTTTTCTGAATTTTGTGATTCATATATGGATCAAAAGATATTAGTATAATACCCATCATTCATCAAATCCTGACTTGTGCTCTGTCTTGTTGTTGGCCACTTTTTTTATCAACACTAAGTGTTTTGTTCGTTCAACAAGTGTTGTCGATAGCAAAGTATTTAATACATTTTGTTTTCATTGTAAAATTAATTAGCTATTATACTTGATTTATTTCGAGCGTATAGCGAAGAGTGCGGATTCTACGCGGGGGACCCGCGGATTTCTGTTATACTCATCCGGTGTAGAACGAGTGATTAATTTGAGCGCTGACCAAATGCAATGTGTAATTCAAAGACGCTCATTATTTACAGATATTGAACAACCCGCGTGAATACGATCGCGCGGCAAGTAAATGATAACTGTTTGCTCAAATAATTTAAAATACCTACATTTAACATGCGCGATGAATTATTGTTTAATATTAAAAATCGTACAGCGTTACAAGCTCTTAACAACAAAAAGCATTTGGTTTTGGTATTCAAAATATTTACGCAGGTACACTATTATGTTGTTATCGTCTCATTGTCGCTGCTGTATATTTAAAAATAATATATACATACAAAATATATATATATATACAGGACCCTAGAAAGGTCATTGTGTCTTATGTATAGCAGAAATTAATGTATAATATTATACGAAAACAGTTTTTTTTTTTTTTTTTTTTTTTTTATGACATTACCGGTATAACAATTAATTTAACGAAAATATATACACGTATATATAAAGTCTAGTACAATTCTCGTTTATTAATAAATATTTCACTTATCTTTTAATTTTTATTGTCGGTCAAAGTATTATCTCAACATTCTCAACAGCCCCTCGACAGTGTTTTTATAACGAAAATTATAAAAACAATTTATTTTACACATTTTCCATCATCACTAGCGCTGTACCTATATAACCAGGTATCTGTAATACAGAAAATTCTTTATTTTAGGTTTCCTTTCCTGCTTCAGAATTGGATCACGATAAGTTGTTAAATTTTTAACTCTGTATTTTAGATTCTGAGTGTCACGATGAAGCTGTACAGTGTGATTTTTTTTTTATTATACTCACTCTGATTTTTGGAATTTTCAAGAGTATTGAATGACGATATTTTCGCATACTCAGATTTTTCACCCTATGGACGATACCACTATAACTAAGGAACTATGAATCGGACATGAATGTATGATACATTAAAATTTTTAAAATAATATATTTTACAAAATTACTATTTCGAAAATTTTTATAAGTAATAAAATTAATTAATTTTTTTCAATAATTAAGATACGAAAATAAAAATTTAATTTTTCCCTACATAATATGTGTCTTCGCAAAAACCCGAATGAAAAAAAAAAATGTTTAAAAATAAATGTTGACAGAATTATTAGCGTAAGGATAACACTATAGAACACTGTATAATATATCCTCCCTTCCAAATTTCCTCATAAAACAGTGGCACACCTATAGGTAGGATCGGCCTTTTTTAATTGTATTATATAAATTAATATAAATAACTGGAATATACTTAAATGCATGTATTTGGTGGGTTTTTTAGGTTTGAGACGTCTAGCACTACTTTTTTTTTTAAAAAAATACCTATGTATAATATTTTGATCAAATGACGTAGGAGTCTCCTTCACAAAGTTAAGATCAACTTGGTGAATATGACTGATAACAAATTGTTAAATATTCTCTCAAGGGTGAGATATAACTTAGAAAACTAAGTGAGAACAATCAATTTACAAAGATATAATAAAATAATATATTTTAAGAATCAAAATTGGATATGATTAATTTAATTTAAATTTTAGATTCTTGGTGTAGCGAAGAATGTACCTATTGAATTTACAAAGATGTTTTTATATATATATAAAAATATACGAGGGTTGTCCCAAAAGTAATGCACAGCGCGCTCTAGCTGTCTTGCAATGTGATATTATCAGCTGATTTTAGTATCAGTTTGTAGCTTGAAGTCTAACGAACACGTGCGTTTTCAGTTTTAGTTGTTTTAGTAAAGTATGATGATGTGTGAGAGCGATTACGAAAGTGAGAACAATTCGTCGGCTCACATTTCTGTTTTTGAGCAACGCGCATAGATTAAAATCGAAACGATTCGTGGTAAAACAGTGCCTGAAATTCATGCCGCGTTAAATGAAGTGTGTGGAACGGATACTGTGGATCGTAGTACGGTGCAAAGATGGCATCAGCGATTCCGTGATGGTCGTATAAGTATTGATAACAAAAAAGTTCGTCGCCAGCAAACAAAGGTGAAACAAATGATGATTTTTGCTTACGATAAACTTGGGATAATTGTCACTGATCGAGTTCCAATTGGCAGTAGTGTAACCGGGGATTACTACAAAACATTCGTTGCCAAAAAATTGCGACCAGAAATCCGTAAAAAGCGACCAGGAATGTTACAAAATGGTGTGTCCATATTGCACGATAATGCGCGGCCGCATATCGGAGCACCAGTCGTCGCTCTTTTGGAGAAATATAGATGGGAACGCCTCAAACACCCACCGTACTCGCCGGATTTAAGTCCCTCGGAATTTGATTTATTTCCAAAACTGAAGGAACCACTTAGAGGGATCCGTTTTCCCAACTTAGATATACTAAATGAAGAAGTGAGCCGAAGGATCCGTGAACTCAACAAAGATGGCGTCCTATGCGGCATTCAAGCGCTCCCGAAACGATGGCAATCGTGTATAGACAAGCAGGGAGATTATATCGAAGGTCTATAATATTGTATTTAGTTTAAAATAAAAATTTATTTATTCAGAGCAAATTGTGCATTACTTTTGGGACAACCCTCGTATATAAAAAAATGTCTACCAAAAATCTTTTTTCAATATGCTAGTACTAAGTGCAGCACCTTTTTTTAAAGAAAATATTGTCATATTGACTATATGGTACTTTAGGAAGGTCATTTTTTGATTTTCCGAGCAGTTTTCATAATATCAAGAAAACCCTATAGGATAAAACGTAAGAAATACGGGAAAAATTACGAAAACAATGCTTATAATGCTTTCATTATTTTCAATTTTGTTTTTGTTGTAGTTTAGTTAAAAATAATCGTAGAGACTTAAACTTGGACAGAAAACATATATTTGCCTTTTCTTAATGTGGTAAAATTTTTGAGCAGTTTTAGACATTTTAATTTTACGAGTTTTGTACGTAATTTTTATTCTGTTATGTTAGGTTTGCTTATTACTTTTAAATATTCATCGAAATGAAAACATTAATATAGAAAATAATATTTTTGATCAAAACGCTGCTTATTCCAATTAAAATAAAAGTATTTTAGACTTGCAGGTCATCTAATTTGTATTAATTATATTGTTGTTATAATTTTGTTATTCATATTAACATTATTTTAATTATAATTTATTTAATGTGAACAAAATAAATTTAATTTTTAAATTGTACTGTTTTACTGCATTTTTACAATATATCTGCAGTATTTCAAGCTGATATAAGTTGAAATTATATCAGACATAAAGGTTTTAAGTTTTTGTTGACACGGTGGTTTTCAAGAGTAAAAATTGTTGCCCACCTCTCGTGGAATTAACCCGAAGACGCCCCTGAGCAATACTATTGAACAAGCTCCGCTCAGAATCGTTTTTCTGTTGACAATGCTTAAATTTGCTCAGGTACAAATATACGTTAAATTGTCCACGTTATCCTAGCTTCCCAACTTCTCATCTATAACAGTGGTCCACCTATCGTGCGAAATATGTCCGTCTTTTTTTCTTATCAATCATTAATATTAAATTTAATTATTTCGCCCCGCCCCCCATAGTCAAGGTCTGGAAACGCCCCTGGTAGGTACACGCTTTCTTTAAATCCGTACCCCACACATCCATTTTGGGACAACACACTTTGAGTCGAGATTCGCTAAAAATATAGACTGCAGTCTGGTATCCTTCTAAAGTTTCCGAATACCGACCAAAATGTTTCGTACAAGTATTTATAATTCGACTAAATCCTGTTCTAAAATTATTTAGAAGTATACATTGCGCAGCTCCACCGAGATTATTCTCTGAATATTGACGTTTCGCCGCATTTTAATTTATCCGAATAATTCGTATTCCGGACACGAATAACAACGCGAAAACAATTTCCACCCACGACGCCTACAGTCGAGTCGTGCCGCACGACTCTGTACAGCCGGGTACCGGCGGACTGACTACCGGCACGGGTATAACCTATAGATACACCCCTCCTCCACACACACACACACACCCAACAGAAAACGGTGAAAAAACAACGCGGTAATGATAAAAAATAATAATAATCTATTTATAATACACGTTGTCGTTCGGCGCGGCGAGACGTGTGTTTTTTTTTTTTTTTTTACTTTCTTCTTCTTCTTCTTGTCCTCTCGCGAACACACCTCTCGCTCGCTCGCTCCGGAACGCGCGTCCTGTATAATGGATATAGGTAGGTACAACAGTTGGTTTTTACGACAGTGATAATAATAATAATAATAATAATACAATTTTCGCGGGCTAGGTAACGGCGGTTTCCGTGCGTACACCGCAACAATAACAATACGTCGTCCCCGTCGTCGTAATAACAATAATAATAATAATAATAACGACAATATTTGCGGGGAGCGTCGTGGAGAGCGCCGCCGAGGCCCGGCCGCGCGCGTATCTCCGCACGGCCGAAGACGACGGCAACGGCGTTATAAAATTGTAAATAATAACAATAACAATAACGATAATAAACTCCGCTCCGTTAGCGTCGGTCTTGTTGACGTTTTATTAACGCTTTTCCTCCGCGGGCGCCGCTTTTAATAATAAACAAACTTTTTCCGTGAAAATATAACAACGACGCGGCGCGCGCCGCATAATACGCAATATTTACAACGGCGGCGACGATAGAAGTTGCCGCTAAACACCTCGAAAAATAATAACCCCTGCCGAGCAATAACAACAATAACGTTATCGTTAATGTACGCGCAGAGGACGTGGGCGCGTGGATGCGCGACTGCGGCAGCGTGCGGCGCAACGCGACTTTTAAACGACGCGGCCCTACCTGACGTAGTGCAAATCCTCAAAACCGTCAACCCCACACACCCCCCCCCCTCTTCGCCGTACCGCTCTTTGCGAGATTTCCAATACACCCCCGATGTAACGTTCTGTACATAGTGGGCCCAGAAATCGAATGGATTTTACATCGCGAGCGGAGCGAAGAAGCTTAAACAGTTTATCTTGTGTGTGTTTTTTTTTTTTTTTTTTTTTTTTTTTATCCGTGTGCGACTTTTCTACCAGACCCGACTTGCTCAGATTTTTGAGCGTAGCGACTTTTCCGAAAGGAAATTGGTGCGGGGAGGTACTTTAAGGAAGTCATTTTTTTGATTTTCTCGGGAGTTTTCTCAGCAAATGTGAAAAATCAGTATGAAAACATAGAAAATCGGTGCAGTAAACAAATATTATTAAACAAAATGTGTAAAGTCTATTTAATTATTTTACCATAAAATTACATATATTGTTGACAAAACATCATTATCAACTGTACTCCGCTCAAAATCGTAATAATTTATCGTTGCTTACGGGCTTACATCAAATTATCTATAATAGTGGCTGCGCCCGTCCCTATTACCCTCGGACGTCTTTTTAATACTGAACTTATAATGAATTAATTAATTACGAACGCGTCGGATTTTAGAATCCAGAAAACACAAATACATTTCTGATTGAGAAACATTCGAACAAGTGCATTTTAAATTCTGAGTAGAGCAAAGAAGCTTATAGTTTTACAAAGATTTGTATTTTTTTTTTTATCTTCCAACAACTTTGCTACCAGAATACTTGCTTGGATTTCTAAGTGTAACACCTTTTCTGAAAAGAAATCAGTGTGGGGAGGTAGTTTAAAGTGGTCATTTTTCGATTTTCTCAAGATTTTTCTCACCAAATTCGAAAAACCGAAAGAAATATACGGGAAAATGTACAAAACATATTTATATAATATTTACGAATTTTTTTTTCTGTAGACTTCCCACCTACACCAGTACCTGCACCCGTCCACACTATTATCTTATCTTTTTATATATAGAATGAATGTTATGTCTTCTTTTTTATTCTTCACAAATTCAGTTATAAAAAAAATAAATTGAAAAGTACTCAATTGTACAAAAAAGTACTCAAGTATTGGCGGGAATCAAATGTGTCTTATCCGGTTTATGGTTTACTTACCACCAAGTTTTATAGATAAGTATTATAGATTATCTATAAACCTTGGGTTACCACTGTAACTGAAATCACGCCACATCATTTATCTCAGATTGATAACGTTATTAACACATCCTCATCAGTTCGGTAACTCTAGTATACCTGATGTTTGGTAAGACCACGAATTAATATACACCGAACGAACGTGTGATGCGTGAAGCTCGAACCTTCTCACTTTTGGCAAGGTCGCTAACACCATCTAGTGTACTCTTTACAAACTATATCAATATTTATTGTATAAATATAATAGTCTAAGGCCGTGATAAAATAGATGTGCAATTTATTATACGCCCTACACCTCCAGTCTTAACTTTAAACTAGTATTAGTTGATTTTATACTAATTTTGTCTTAAAGCGCTAACTGTCAAGCCAAACAGTGAGAACAGGGCTGACTCAGTATAACAATGATATCACATTTCCGTTCGTTATCCTGTATGTCTTAATTCGCGAGTAAGACGCATTTAAATTCACGCCAAAACTGATCTTTTGAAACTAGGTAAATTTTTGAAAAATCACAAACCACAAAATAATGAAAAAAAAAATTATTTTTTCAATCAGAAAAAATTATAAAATTACGGAAAATGGATTTGAAAAATGTTGACAGCCCCCATTATTAATCGTTATTTTTATTAAACCTAAAATTATAAAAAAAATCAAGTTTTCTTTCTTTGGTGGCCATTTCATCTACAATTTCATTAATATGTACGTATAACTATTGTGCGATTTACTGATAATAAAGCTAATCCATTGAAACGTTCCCAAGGACTATAAAAGTAATTAAAAATGTATTAGGTTAAAAATAAAACATAATATTATATAGCCAATTAGGAAATAATATATGTAAAACCTCTTTCATTGAATTTCTGTGGCATGGTTTTAATCGTTTTAATTTAGAAAAACTCTGTTCAGGTGTCGCTGTAGAAACAGGCCATGTAACTAATATTTTAAACAAAAAAATGGAAGTTTGGATAAATATCTTTACTACCGTGCTGTAAGACTTCTAAGCCATTTTTTTTCTATATTTTGACAGCTTGAAGCTAATTTGAATTTCCACGTTTTGAGTTCAGCCAAAACATTGCAATAATTATAATAATAAGGGGAGAATATACATCAATTAACTGCTGAAATTGTATTCTATTATTATCAGTAAACTCTGATCAAAGCCGTGTTAAAGGGAGAAGACAAAGGGAGCAATTGCCCCAGGGCACCGTAGTTTTGGAAAAGTAAGGGAGCGCCTTTATTTGCGCTTAATATACTACCTTTGGCTCCGAAGACCAGATACGTTATAATTTAATAAATAATAAAACAAAAGACACTGTAGTAAACGATGACAAAATAAATCTATTTAGCCTTTCCCATTGAAAATCCATAGAAAATCCGTTATAATTTGGACGGCGCCCGAATACAAAAACACTAGTTTGAGAAAACTAAAAAACACTGTATACAATAGATACCCATATCTCTGTTTATTCCTATCAATTTATTAAGTTTTATTTTTTTCTCACTATATTTCTATGTTTATATAAATTGAAAAACCAACGAAAAATACTCTAAAATTATTATTAATACCTAAAAAAAAAAAACACTAAGAGGGAACCTAATACAAGAAATGTATTGGTTTCACAATGATGTTTATTTTTTTTATCTGTAAACGACTTCCACCGAAATTTCGCTCCAACTTTCATGTGTAGCACTTTCTATGAAAAGAAATCTAAATGGAATGATATTTTATTGAGGTCATTTTTTTATTTGTCCTGAAGTTTTCATAATCAATAGGAAAAACCAGGAAAAACAAGAAAATATATTATCGTAAATATTATGGCCTATTAAAACATGTACAACCCAACTCCGCTCAAAATCATTATTCGTTAGCAAAGATTAATATACATACAGATATATATTAAATTTCCTTCTATATCTAACCTTCAAAATTGCTCACCTAAAACAGTAGCTCACCCATCGTATAGTAAGTATTTCCGTATTTTTTTAAATTAGTCACTTTATTTGGATAATTTTCAAATAATCAATATGTTTTTCTAATAACCAGTATTGAATTCAAGTATATGTCAGGGGGAGCAACAGTTCCCCTGGAATTTTTTTTCGTCCCTTCCTATTTAATGTGGGTAAATTAATAGTTAATTAAATAATAACTGGTAAAATAAATAAAAGGGTAGGTACGCAAAAGAAAAAAAAAGGTCATTACTATAATTTTAGTAATACCCCTGCTCCCAGAAAAATTGTCTGCATTCAAAAGTGCTTATAATATTAGATAAGATTAAAGAATAATAATAACAGTTGCACAGCATAATAATTAAAGATATTAAAATTATTAAATATTAAGATACTTAATATAGATACATATACCCGCTTAGATTATAAATATTAGTGATGATAATTGTACAATAAACAATGAGTATTGAAATACCCATAAAAGAAAAACCACACCTATGGTGGAGTCGTCACCAATGGTCATCTCAAAACTTTCTAGTAATATTTGATTTAATTTATTTGTGCTTATTGAAAAAAATTCAAAATTAAACCATAAATACATTATAAGTTTCTCAATACATAGTTTGAATTTCAAATTCATAAGAAAATTATGATTTATGGAGTGAAAAATGAGAATTAATATTTTAAAACTGCATTTTCCCATTCTATGGCTTCCACATTATGCTTATCTATGTTTTAGTAACAATTAATATCACCCAATAAATAAATCAATGTAGATGAGTACAACAATAATTAAATTATGAAATTTCAAATAACAAAATTACACTATTAATGTATAACTTAACCCTATATCACTAGAGTCCAATTTTCACTAACTTATTTTATATTATATATATCTGGTCCCTAAGAAGAATTATTGGTATTTTTTATGATTTTTGTCTTTAAGCTATTAATGTATCAATGGATATGTATTCAAAATTGAATACGATTGTTTTGACAACTGTATAAAATTAACTTAAACCTATGTTTCCTGGGACCAAAGAAATATTGTTTTGTAAAACAACACAACCTAACTGAATGCTATTATAATACAATACTACACTATTATACTATTGATACTACAACTTTACTAGGTACTTCCTATAAAATGGTGAAATACTGAAATCTAATCAAAAGCATGGTAAAAGCAGAAGTTAAAAATTTACCCCCCGGCCGCCCTCCTTCTACATAACAGAATAGTTTTATTTGAGGAGTCTGTAGGGTTATTCAAAGCTGAAAAACACCCACCTCCCACAATATGATGAAATTCAACCAAACTTTTATCACTTCTATTCAGTCTATATAAAACAACCCCAATTCCCAAGTTTAGTCCAAAAGCAGCCACACAAAGTTAAAATATCTAATATAATATTTATAACACACAACGCAATGCAATAGGTTTTAATTTCTGGAAAAATTCAACAAAACTTTTAATACACTATTTTAAGAAATATTATATTTTAAGTTGTAAAAATAGTTGTATAAATCAAAATTTGATTAATAATTGTTAATGAAAATCTTATCAGTTATTTTTATCTATGATTATTACACTACTGTAACAAATTAATAATTAGTTTTATGTTTTATATTTGAAATGTTTTCTGTAAATCTGCACATTATTATCATTTAAAATATTAATATTAATAATATTTTTTTTTTGTACCTAACAGGTCTTTCGTAATTGACTTATATTTAACCATTGATGCTTATCCCTATCACAAATTTGTATTAAATTTAATTTTTAGGCTTTTATAAAAATAAGAAGAAATTGATAAAATAAAAAACACTTTATTTTCACATTAAAAATGTGTGATTTTTTTTAATATATATATATATATTATAAATGTTCTTGTTAGAGAAATCGAGCTTTACAATTTACAGCAGATTCTTTTATAATATAATCTATAAAATACAAAACAAAATGTGTATGAAATAAGAAATTTGAATTTGCTATTATTATTAGTTTTTACTTAATTTTCAGGGTTAACATTTGAAATTAAAATTACAGTATACTTTTAAATATCACGAATCAAAATCAAACCAAATAAACAATAGGTTTTTTTTTTTAAATAAAATTAATTATGTAAAAATAGGTAAACACAAAATATTTTAAATTATGTACTAATATTAATATTACCCAATATCATTATAAACAATTTCTACCAAGAGCAAATAAAATATGTAACATAATTATTTATTAACTATTAATATAACAGATATTAAATTAATGATCATTATGTATTTTTGTTTATAACTATTATGGTACATAACATGAAACAATACACATTATTATGCATTTATGTTTATCTTTAAAAAAATAGAATAAATTACTGCATTTATTTAGTTGTAAAATATGATTGTATTTTAAAATAAACAATAAACAAATGTTACAAATTTATTAAATTCTTACTTTTCAAAAAATTGGAATAAAATATTTAAAAAGTATTAATGAAATAAAAAAATCTAACATTTTTGTTTATTTATTTAGTTATTCATAAACATATTCAGGTATGGCGTATCCTTTTTCCTGCATCCATTCATCTTGAACAAACTTGGACATATAATTGCGTATACCATCTGGTAATATAACAACTAATGTTTCACCTTTCTTCATAGTTTTTGCAACTTTAATAGCAACATGCATGGCAGAACCACTTGAACCGCCTAAATATAACCAAGTTAAAAAATTAATTTTATTCTATAATACAGAAAATTACTATAAGAGTAGATGACAAAACAATGCTTATGGAATTGTTTTTTGAAAAAAAAAAATTAGAAAATTCAATTTTTTTTTTTTAAATTTATACTTTTAATTAATTTGTAACTTGATTTCAATGACTATTTCTCAAATATATATTTTTATATTTAGGTCTATACTCTTTTTCAAATGAAAACGCTCTGTGTTACGCATCATTATCAGAGGCGGAATCACACACCCCTACCACAAAATTAGTAATTGTTTTCTTTTTTTGAAAAGAAAGAATTGAAAGAATTGAATTATCTACCGCATCATACATAAAAAAACAGCAGATATTGTTTTATGAATAGCCATTAAATGTTGTGTGAATACAAATCACTACATATACAAGATGACTGCAACTGACTGTGGCTGAAACTGTCGGGAAAGTGTGAAGGAGTGAGGACACGTGCGAGTTTTGAGTTTCGACCGGTTTTGTCTGCATTTTGGTGCATTCTTATATGAAAAAGAGTATATCTAATCTACTCAAGGATATCACATCATCTACTAATTATAAAATTAATTATAATGTTTATTGTGGTAACAATGTAAAAATTTAACCAAGAATTTGTAATCAAAATGAACAAATTGTTTAATGTTGTTTTCAAGTCATCAATTATTTCATCAATATTAATCAATATATGATCAATGATAAATCTACTCCCACAAAAATGATATTACTTAAATAAAATATTACCGCATAATAATCCTTCTTCACGTGCTAACCTTCGAGCCATGGGGAATGCTTGTTTATCATCAGTTTTGTACCATTCATCAACAACAGATCTATCTGCGATAACAATATTTTGTATAAGCCTCAATAACTAGATATAAAATCAACTAATTTACACTAACTTACCTAAAACAGTAGGCACAAAATCATAACCAATGCCTTCTACATCATATGTTTGCACATAGGTTTCATTAAGACTATCGGGTACTGCTAAAATACTACCATAAGGATCTGCTGCTATAATACGGCATTTATTCCCAAGAACCTGTTTCAATTTTCTACCAATCCCTGTGATGGTACCTCCAGTACCAGTTCCAGCAACAAGAACATCAACTTTATTGTTTGTCTGATCTAATATTTCTTGACCAGTTGCATCAAAATGTGCTAGCGGATTATATTTGTTGCGATACTTAAAACCACAGAACAAATTAGTCTCTTATAATTAATAAATTACTGGACAATATTTTAACTCACCTGATCCAAAATTATTGTATTTTCAGGATCATCCATGTGCAACTGATGAGCTACACGAATCAAACTAGATAAGTCATCAAAAGCAGCTGCTGTAGGTGTACGTATGATTTTTGCTCCCAAAATCCGTAAAGCATCCACTTTTTCACGAGACATTTTCATAGGCATAACAACAGTGCAATCATAACCCTTCACAGCAGCAGCCATGGCTAATCCAATTCCTGTTATAACATTTGATTATATATTTACAGATATATAAAAAATTTTACTGTTGAAGTATAGTATTTTATATTAAAATATAATTATGTTGAAAAATTATGGTTAATACCTATAAGTTATAGTTATAACTGAGACTCATGAATTGTAGCATTTACATAATTGGAATAATAGAACTAAGTGAGTAGTACATTTGTTTCAAATAATCAAATTAAATACAAAACTGTTTTTCGTATTTTTACATACTTTAATAATCTGTATTTTATTTTAGTGTATTTAATACTATTTTGAAGAAAAATAATATAAAATATTAAGAAAATTGATGATAGAAATTTAATATTTTTAAATTATTATTTTATTTCATAATTATTATTAGGTGTTAGTATATAATTTATTTTATTTCTTATTTTCTCAAACAAATATATACTTATGTGGTGTAAGTACATGCAAATTTACTTAATTTAAAATTAAAACAAAATTTGTATGTGATAAGGGGAGGCCAGGTTTATCTTTTCTAAAATAAAATATACATATGATTAGGTACATGACAACAAATATAATTTTTATTATCTATAATTGGAGTAAAAAAAATATTTTACTTGAGGTGTTTTAATGTGTAACTATACCAAGGGTAAATTAAATCTACTGGCATCTTTTATCCAATGTTATGCTCACATATTAAATATAACGTTTAATAACAAATAAAGTTTTGACTATCCAAATAATTCTACTTATTTTTGATTTTTGTAAAAAAAAAAATTGTTAATGGTGGAAATTATTTGTTATACAGGGATAAAAGGGGATTATTTTCATAAGAGAATGTTTAAATGAAGTGTTACTACTAGAAAAAACAATGATGATAAAATAACAATAACCGTAATACAGAAAATGTTATAATTTATACTAAATATATTAAAATGAAGAAGGTAGTTAGAATGAAAGAATACTAATTTGAATCACTCCTTAAAGATAAAGACGAATTTCAAAGGTCCTTTGCAGTTTATTATAAGAAACTAACAGTATGAGCACTGATGTCAACACCTTGTTAATATTTACTTAGCTCTCCTAATAATACCAGACTATAAAAAATAATTTATTTTTGACCATCTGCATAGGTAAGACCTCTTATATTGTTAAATGTATCATCATTTGAAATACTGGCTATTTTTATAATATTGATACTTGGAACCTTTTGAATCAAAATAAAGTTCCACACAGGTGAGTCGCCAAATTGAACCCATGCCACAGTTTAATAGAAAGAAAAAAAATAGTAATCTTTGTTCAGAANTATATTTCTAGAATTGAATGGAAGAACTGATATATGTATACAACTGATTCCCTGGGGTTTTATGGCTGACGCCTACCGCCGGCCGTCCGGGTCTTAGCGCTGAGCGCTACTTGCGGGCGGTCGTGGAGCTGGAGCGGCGACGGCGGGCCGCCGCCGGTCCAGGGTCTTCAGAGGGAACACCGGCCCCGGACCCGAAGGTCCGTACCTTTTCCGCGACCGGGATAGGTTCCCGTGCGCCCACTAGGTACAGTGGATTAGCTTTACTATCAGGCGCCTGTCTCACAGCCACCACGTTTCAGCCGAGTTAGGCTCCTCAACCTTGGGGGCACTAAGTCCGGAGCGACCTGGCCGGTCCAGCGTGAAGTGGGGCTCCCCCACCCGTGGCACCGACTGCGTTTTCAGTTGACGTTGGTAGGTCAACCCGAGAACGCATCTCTCCCACTATTTTGACTCCTCAGCCGGCTAGTGGTGGGCCTAAAGATATATGTATACAGTGTGATCACGATTTAAGGTAACACTAAATATCTCTGGTGGATGACCTTGTATTGAAATAGGGTTTTTGGGAGGTGAAGGGAGTACCTAAATACATATTTTTAAATAAATTTCAAATTTTTAACACTTTTGGTATGCGCATGCGCAATACAACTCACATATTTTTAAATGGAAACACTATTTTTTTTCTACAAATCCGGATAATTATTTTTTTTTTAAATTGTTCATATTAAAAGTTTTTATCTGAAATTTTCATTTTCATTTTCATTAGAAATACTAAAATAATTTTGAAATAAATGTTCAGTTTACAAATAATAATTTAAAAATACTGTTGGACACTAGAATGAAAATCTCGAATATGTGATAATTTTTGTTCAGTAAACTGCAATAATACAATTACAATTTTAACTATTTTTATAGTAGAATTATATTTTATTTTACAATAGCTCTAATAACAATAAGATAATCAGATAATAAAGCATTTAGTTTGATGAAAAATATAATTTTAGTTTTATCCTGTAACTAGACCCGTTCTAAAGTGTGTGCGTTTTCTGTGGATGTCTGGTTATTAAGGGCTCCTATAAATTATAATTTTTAAATATGAATAACGCTGAAAAAGTTGAATTGGTTTTAATTTATGGCGAATGTCAACTTAATGTTTGCCTAGCTGCTATGATGTATGCTGAACAATACCCAGAAAGATACCATCCACCTTATGTTTTACGACTTTTACAAGGATTAAAAGAGGATGATTTCCTGGCAAACAAATAATTCAACAAAGGTGTAGAGTAAATATGTTTGATGACGATACAGAATTACAGGTACTAGCATACATAAGAGCTAATCCACGTTCATCAATTAGGCATGTTACTCACGAAATTGGAATTTCATATGGTTATATTCAAAAAATTCTAAAAAAAACACAAAATGCACCCATATAAAATCAATTTTGTCCAACATTTGCGTGCAGGAGATTCTATTCATAGGTTGGAATTTATAGCTTGGTTCAATATTAAATTGTATGATAACGCTTTAATTATAAATCATATTCTTTGAAGTGATGAATCAAAATTCACTAACAATAGCATTATGAATAAACAAAATCATGGATGCTGGGATGACACAAACCCACACTGGTCATGTGAAACTAATTTTCAAACGGCTTGGGGAATTAATGTATGGTGTGGGTTAGTTGGTGGAAAGCTAATAGGACCGTTCTTTTACGATGGTACGCTTAATGGCAGACGATATCTTAATTTCTTAACCAATGAACTACCAAGACTGTTGGATGTTTCATTAGACACACAGAACCGTACATTTTTCCAGCAAGAGGGAGCACCAGCCCGCAATGCAATTATTGTTAGACGATATTTAAATGAAATATTTCTAAATCGCTGGATTGGTACTTATGGCGTCGTTCCTTGGCTTGCGCGATCCCCAGATTTAACGCCACTGGATTTTTTTTTTTATGGGGATATTTGAAGACTAGTTTATGCAAATCTCAATCAAAATGTCAATCTTCAGGACTTAAAAAACAAAATACAGGCAGCTTGTAATATTTTAAGTGAAGAGCAAATCAAGGCGGCAACTTCGACTAAATTTTTGAGACGACTTGAATCATGTTTAGAACACAATAGTGAAAATTTTAAACAATTCATACGATAAACTTATTTAATACATTTTATTTTTTATTATAATATTAATATTACTATTATCATTATAACTATTTTGTATTACATTTAATCAATACAGTTGACGAAATATCATACACTAAATATAATGTTTAATTATTTCACAATTATTTTAGTATTTCTAGTGGTTAAAAATGAAAATTTCATTAAACACGAATTATACAGAAATCCAAATTTTGACTTACTCTAACTTGGTTAGTTTTATAAATAGAAAAAACTTTGAATACAAACAATTTAAAAAAAAAAAAAAAAATCTATGCGAATATGTAGAAAAAAAATAATGTTTTCAATTAAAAAAATGTAAGTTGTATTGCGCATGCGCATACCAAAAGTGTTACAAATTTGAAAATATGTATTTAGGTACTCCCTGTCACCTCCCGAAAACCCCATTTCAATACAAGGTCATCCACCAGAGATATTTAGTGTTACCTTAAATCGTGATCACGCTGTATCTATACATGGATTAAATGTTGAATAAATGGTCCCATAAAATAAATATACACTACAGTATTGACCAACCAATAGTGTTTTTTTTTTTTTTTTTAATTTTAAGTATTTCTAATGATAAAGCCAAGATTTAATAAAATTATTAAGTTATGAAAATATAATATTTTGACACCTAAAGACTTAGCTATTTTTATTACCAACCAACCAATCAAAATATGTAAAAACACATACATATTTACTCAAGAAATATATTAATACCTGTGTTTCCCGATGACGGCTCAATTATTGTCATTCCAGGTTTCAAAATACCTTGACGTTCAGCATCTTCAACCATTTTCCAACCAATCCTGTCTTTGGTACTACCACCAGGATTCAAAAATTCACACTTGGCCACTGAAATATACAAAAAAAATAAATATATATTTTACATAATAAATTTATAATCGACTTGGAGTACTTACACATGTTACATTCAATACCCTCTGTTTGAGGTATACGATTCAACTTAACTAATGGTGTATGCCCAATGGCATGGAGTATATTGGGTAAAATCCCAGTTTTAATGTTTCTAAATATGTAAGTAAAATTAATAATAAACTATTTTAATTAAATAACATTATAATAATTACGGATTATCATTATGCACATGAGGAGAATCTACAGTCTTCGATCCTGCAGTCCATGTACACCGACTAACTTGGTCTGGTCTGACTTTTTCAAAATAAGCGTTTGGAGTGATGCCAGAGGATCCTAATGGAGAATCACCCCTTTCGGTATTACTACCTCTGTTTATCACTATCTTTACATAATCGGCCATCGCATTCAAAATACTAATAATAAAACACATAAAGAGACATTATTTTTTTATTTTTGACTAATAGTCACAATCATTATTAATTAAAACTATAAAATACATACTTACTACCTAATTACCGTAATCGAACCAATTGACAACCGAACAGATATGTCTTGTTAATAGTGCTATTAAATAAACAATAAAAAAAAAAATCGAATAACGTGGTGAACACGTTTGAATAAATGAATTTTATAATTTGTTTATCAACAGATAACCTATAACACTAACGTCGGCCAAGGTGTATCAATACTTCTTGCATCCGACACTGTGACCGATACAATTGTACAAAAAATACAAAGATAACGCAATGACAACACCGTAGGATCTTACATGCATATATGCTATCTCTACGTACATGTAACTTACAAGGTCGGTGAACTACACAAAGAATACCATTATACAGAGTAAACAGTTTGATTCAAGAGCAAGTGTTTAAGTTATTATTAAATACATTCATTCATTTTGTTAATATGGTACAAGTGAATCGTGGGAAAAAAAAACACAATTTTAGTATATCGTAAGTGGGTGTAGATATACCTACTGTTATTTTACATTGTTGAAAATAAACGAATTTCAGCATTTCTACTGGGAATCTTTAATGCTAAACATTTATCTATGTACCTATAATATTAAATGTTATTATACTCCAAGAAATTAGAAAATTAATAATATATTTAATAATTTATTTTTCCTTTGATTTTTTTTTTTTGGAGGGAGGGGTGGTTCCTCGATACCTGTAATCAATTGGTTTTTATCAAATAAATCCTATAACATAACTGTAATGTAAGTACACACTACACACCACACAATTGACGTCATATTATACAGGTACATACATATAAATCATAATAACACATTAATGCATTATACATGCACATTGTATACATTATGTACAAAACACAAAGTAATTGAATCGAATAACGATGCGTTGTTAAACTGGTTTTAGTCTTGTAAATTTACGGAGCAGAATATTTTAGATTCCGAGTGGAGCAAAGAACTCTATGGTTTTACAATAATATTTAATTTTTTTTTTTTTTTCTATTTCTAGTCATCTGTGCGCCTTTTCTACCAGAAGACTTGCACCGGTTTTTAAATGTAACAACTTTTCTAAAAGGAAATCAGTGTGTGGAGGGAGGTACTTTTACTATAATATGACACATATATTGTTCGAAAAGCATCACTATCAACTGAACTCCACTCAGAATCTTTTTTCCGTAAGCAACGGTTTATCATTGCTTACAGGTAGGTATACATTAAATTACCTACAACAGTGGGTACACCCGTCCCCATTATCCTAGGACGGCGTTTTTATTTTTATTGTTTTACACAAATTTAATGTAGGTACGACTTGATACCTACCACGCAAAGTTGTAATACGGATACCATATTAAAATCGCTTTTTGCTAGAAAATTTGTTTGTACATAGGTCCCTAATTGTTATAACATTATACATAATAATGTTATTAAAAAAAAAGAGAAGACGTCCTACGATAATGGGGACTTTTATTTAATGTATACCTGTAAATAACGATAAACCATTGCATACGATAAAACGATTCTGAGCGGAGTTCAGTTGATACTTGACGGAAATGCTTTGTCAACAATATACATGCCATATTATAGTAAAATAATTAAATTGGCTCTATATATTTTCTTCAATAATATTTTTTTAATGTTGTACCGATTTCTCCAATTTCCCTACGCTTTCCCCGGTTTTCCCATGTTGTATCTCGGTTTTTCAAATTTGAAGAGAAAACTCTTGTAAAAATCGAAAAATAATCTCTCAAGGTACCTCCCCACGCTGATTTCCTTTCAAAAATGATGCTACACGTAGAAATCCAAGCAAGTCTTCTGGTAGAAAAGTCGTGCGTAAATAAAAAAAATAATAACAATAATAAACATCTTTGTAAAACCATAAGCTTCTTCGCTCCACTCAGAATCTAAAATGTTTATGGACTCTTAATAATAATAATATATAAATACATATTAAATAGACATTAGGCAGCTTGTTTTTTAAACTGTCAAAAGTATTTTGTTTGAAAAAAGTACTTAACAAAATAATGAGTGTTCAACGAAACGATAAAAGAATCACTCTATATACATTTCAAGGAAAGACGTGTTAAAATCTATGAACTAAATTGATTCGAAATCTAAGAAAGTATAAGTAAGTACCTACTTACAGTTAGTAGGTACTACCTACCTACGCATCTTCTCGCTCACTGTATACAATTCATATCATAAACTAATATCGGTTTTTGTTATCGCCAATCACGCCACACTTGTCATCGCCAGTCACGCCACACTTAAAAGCCGAGCAAAAAAAACAAAAATAAGGTTATCAGTAGGATTTGAAACATGGTTTTGCTTTCGAAACAACGAAAAATATATAAACAAAAGACGTCCTAGGATAATGGAGACGGGTGTAACAACTGTTGTAGGTAATTTAATGTATATCTGTAGGCAACGATAAACCATTGCTAACGAAAAAACGATTCTGAGCGTAGTTCAGTTGACAGTAATGCTTTGTTAACAATATATATATATATATATATATATGACATATTATGGTGAAATAATTAAATATTTTCTTTAATAATATTTGTTTAATATTGTATCGATTTTTCACGTTTTTCCCATTTTTTTCCCGGGTATTACCATTAGCTAAGAAAACTCTTGGAAAAATCGAAAAATGACCTCCCTAAACCATGAAAATGAAATTTCCTTTCAGAAAATAAGCTACACTTGATACATGGGAGCAAGATTTCTGGTAGAAAATTTGCACAACAAATCGAGGGGTATTTTTTGATTAAAATCGTCCGAACGAACGATAGCTAAGTCTCTAGAAACCTAACTATGTAAGGTCATTTTAAGTGTATCTAGATACACTTAAAATACATTTGTTTTTCACTATTTAAGTAAAAGGGGAAAAAATGCAAACAAATTCTTTTCAAACCCCTGGTTTGAACCCTAATATGACAATACGTATTCATGATCATTAGACTACAACAAACGTATAATAAAGTAAACAATATAGAGTTATTTAATATGAACATCTAATATCTGACCTTCAAAAATCTATAATTTCGAAACTTAGTCATTCCGCTCAATTCTGACTTTACCATTCTTCTTAAATCGTCAATACAGGTACTCGTATGTTCGAAAAAAAAATTGAAAAATTAGATTTGTTCAATATAATTTTTTACTCAAACAATTTTCCTTCAAAATTCCTTTATAAAAACAAATACTACATTAAACTCAATTTTTTTTACCACAAAAAAATATTTAATGAACCTTCTGTTAAATTCTCAAGCATTTCTGTTAAGTCTAACAATTTGACCACAAAGTACCTACCGAATAAAAATTACGTACAAAATTCGCAAAATTGAAATGTATATGAATAGCTCAAAAATGGTTTAAATTTTTTGAAAATTTTACCACGTCTATAAAACACAATTATAAATGTACATTTATTCAAGAAGAACATATATTATCTATACTCTTATCTTTTAACGACAGCAGCTACCATATTATCATAGCGTTCAAATCAGAGGATTGTATCATAGACATTTATTGATAATAACCATTAACTATATAGTAAAATTTAAATTTTTAATATACCTTCATTTTAATTTTACTTACCGGAATCTACGACAAAAGTCTACACCATCAAAATATGTCAGTGAATCGGACCTATTCCGAAACACCCTTGGTAAGCGTCCTAAATCTTCCAATATCAATTAATCATCACTATAACTGAATGATGAATCATAATAAACAGCCATAGTGCATTCAATAAATATTTTAATAATTGAATTAACAAGTTGGTCCATCAATCGTTCTTTTGAAAACCATATTGTCAATGACATATGGGAAAATTATTGTAACTATATTGATAATATATATTTAACGAATCATTTAAAATTTAGTGAGCCAAAATTGGGTGACTTCCTAATGAACCGTTAAGACTAAACATTAATGGCCCGTTAAAAGTTAAAGAATGTTTATGCAACGGAATATTTAAAACGAGTCATTAAAACCTCTAATGGTCAGTTAAATCCTTAACGATCATTTATGAAACCCAGCACCAGAATCTAAAAGTTTATAGATAGTGCATTTTTGTTGAATATTTAGAGATTTTGTAGTTAGAATATTTGATGATTCGTGATAAAACTATTCAAAATTCAGTAAGTAATAAATAATTAAATACGTTAATTTTTGAAACTTTTCACTGGGTATTTTGTATCGTGTTTTTCAAATACCTATTTATAGCGTCTATCAAAATATGATTATACTATATAAAATACTTTTCTTAGGAAATAATTCAATGGCTATAGTTGATACCCAGAGCCGTCGCTAGGGTATAAGAAACCCTTGAAGAATGCGTTGCTTTAGAAAGGCATACAATTTTAAAGAAATTGAACTCCGCTCAGAATCGTTTTTTCATAAGTAATGGTTTATTGTTGCTTACAAGTATATATTGAATTATCTATAACAGTGGCTGTGCCCGTCCCCATTACCCTAGGACATATTTTTCTTAAATCTATTAATAATAAATTGTTTCTGCTTTCTGGTACTTATCCCCATAAGTGTCGTAGGTCTTCTTGGCAGAGGAGACAATGAATTTTAAAATCAAACTTTACACAAAAATCATAAGCAAAAATAATACTATAATATTTTTTAAAGTAGCTTGAGCTCAATAATATTGATTATGTATACTTAATATTTACTTAATGAAGACTTTATTTTAAGAGGTTTAGTAGAGTATTCGATGAGGGGGTCTAAATCCTCCAAAGTCCCTCCCCTATTTGCACCAATGTACAAAATAAGTGGAAGCTTAGAGTTTAATATTTAAAAAAAATATGTATATCTAACATTTTTAAAAAATCTCGCAGGGTAGGCTGCCGCCTCCCCTGCCTCTCCAATGCGCATGGTTATGCTTATCCCTCCCTTCCTGGTCTATTTTCAAATAATTGTAAGTATTTAAAAATAATTGGAATTTATTCGATTATTAATTACGAAAAATGTATACGAATAAGTCTACCTAAATATCACTACTAATACAGTATATGGTATAGGTTAGTTAGATACTTTTGTTCTACTACCATTGTTCTACTATACTAATAGCATACCTACTAATGATTGAATAAAAAAAAAATGAAAAAATTGTTAAAATAGGCGATTTTAACCATTTCTACAGCCCCCCCATCAGTGAAGTTTTTAACATAAAAAAAAATATATATATTATCTACTAACGATTATTTTTTTCTGCTATCCAATACTAACGGGATACTAATGATTGAGCCAAGACAAATGTCATATTTTTAAATTGGGGGAACCGAGGAAATGTACGTGACTGTAAAGTATTTATACGTTTTGACCAGGTATCCAATAATAAATATATATTTATACCTTAATAATAACAAAAACTGTAGTTATTTAAATAGGTGTAAATTATAATATGAAAAACTGTACTTGCTTAAATTTCAGAATTTAATTCCAAATAGATTGATACGTAATACTATGTATACGCCAAGTGACAACGAAAAGCCAAAAACAGAATGTAAACAAAAGTTAAACAAAATTTCACTATAACGTCTGTGTTCGATAGCTGAGTACCTACTATAAACGTGTAGGTTCTTTTATTTAGCTATATTAAAATTAGTTGATTAGCTGCAGCTGTGAGTCAAATATAAAAATAATATCTAAATTCCAAATTAAACACTAGTGGTCATCAGTCGATAACGCCGCCACGCGACGTTGCTTATGAATAAAGTGGACGGAAAGTGGTAACACAATGATAATTTAGTAATCATACAAATATACAATGATAATTTATCATAATTTAAACTAGATTTAAATACAAAATATAGTAGGTATTATTGAATTTTTTTTTATTAACTTTGAATATTGGAGTTTATGTACAATATAGCCAATAGCAATATTTTTCACCGGCTAATTTTAGTCAATATAAGTTACGACTGAATACTATTTAATACTTTTTAAGAGCATTAAGTTCCGAGCCCTAGTCGTTAGCAACAGTTTGGAGTAAAAAAAAACGTCACGGTTTTCATACAAATCGTTGTGTTTACATGTTTCAATATCATTGGGGTGGGGGATTTGGGTTTCTTATCTCCCCCCCAATACCTTTTTTTTTTTTTAAAGACTGGGGTACTACATTTATGTACTTATTTAACTATAAATATTATTATACTATATAATATATATTTGATAGAAATAATACAAAAAAACCCGAATCCCTTGTGCTAGCTATACATAAATATATTTCGTAATAAACGCAGGTGCATACTGCCTTGCCAAAGTGAAAAGCAGTAAGCGACAATTTTTCATAAATGAGATTATTGTAGAATAGGTAAGTACCTATTGTTTGTTAGGCCGTTTTACATAGATTTTTCTAGGTTGAAATGCAGTAAAAAATCATTTAGACCCTCTAAATGAGCTTTTCATATTATGTAGTATCTACCAAAATATTACCAAATACTAGACAAATAAGCAGTAAATGATGTATTCTAAAAAAAACCGCAGTATATGTTATGTAGTTACTGCTTATAAGTACGTTTAGTAAATTGATTTAGCGGAATACATACAGCATATGTACCTAGTAACCTTAGATTATCTGACCAACACATTATGATTAGATTAACACATGTGTAGGTACATACATTTATTATATTAAAAAGTGATTATGATAAATACAATAATTTTTTCTTTTGATAAGGGGAGGGGGTAATTAGTAAAACGTAAAAACCTTTTATCGCCCCCCCCTCCCCCCTTCATAAACATTACCAAATTACGCCTGTGTTTAATATACGATGTAGTAATAGTAATAAACAATTATTACGCGAATAATAACTAAGTATACACGTTTCTATGAACGTATAACCGTGTTTCAAATAAAAAAGTTTTGAGTATAGTCAAAAAGCTAAGAAGTTTGTATACGCCATATACCTACTCGCGTTTATACGCACGACTATACCACCACTTATAAATACAGATTAATAATATTAATTAATATTTATATTATATCAGGGAACAAAATAAAATAAACAAATTACACATGACCTAGCTATATATCATAACTTTTTATACCGATTTATATTTTTGCAACATTTTCGCGTTTCTGTTAGTTTATAGGCTGACTAAGAAGTAAATAGCATTCTAAAATACTTTTTTGACGTAGGTAAATTACTTCCCGGGTATTATTTGGGGTTGCCTGAAAAGTGAGCCACTAAAATTTAAAATTTTAATAAAATAATATATACACAGTGAGTCCCATAAGTTTTTAGATTACGTCCAAAAATGTTACAAAACGAATTTAAATAATGTTTATTCAAAGTCATCACCATTACAAATTATATCACTTCTTGCACTGTCTTCCAGTTTTTCCATGATTCATGAAAAGTTAGTTTCAGGAATGTTCTTGACCGGACAAATGCCCAGTGGTCTGGCTTATGTGTGGCCCTAAGTGTTCAAAATTAAAAGTCATTTTTTGTTATTTAAAAATAAATGTTTGGTAATTAAATTATTTTAAAAAGATAAAGAACTCAAATATCGATTTATATTTATTTATAGAAGAATTGTGTTAAATGTATACTATATTGCACAATATACCTATCTACATTCTTATAGAATTGCATAGAAGGAATTCTTTTAGGTACTGGTAAATATTTGTAATCGAATCTGATTTGATTGTAATAATTTCTATTTCTAAAAGCATTTCTTCATCAATCGTACAATATTAAAAGACTAGGTATTTAATATTTCATAATAATATTATTTTAGTTATGTATTTAGGTTCGCATTAACTTTATAGTGCCAAAAATGGCAAAAAACGAAGGAAAACCTAGGTGACTACAAATTTGTGGTACACTAGGCATTTTTTGCTTCTAAGCTTAAAACAATATATTTATTTGTTCTCTATGATGTGTGTGTGTGTTTTTTTATTAGATTTAGATTTATTTTTTGGTAAAAAATCTTGTGTAGCTGGTGTTTCACTTAAATTTTTATTTATTTATAATTTTTTACATATTTATACTCATAAAATTGTAAATTATCTATCGTCAAAATTGAACGAAATAGCATTTATTTTTAATTTTATGTTTAAAATTGTCTAATATAGATTAAAACTTAAAACAGTAAAAAATAGTTATATCATTGATAATGGCGTACCTAAGGGGGTGGGGTGGCTAAAGAACGACCCATCCCACGGTCCATTGACAATGTTTAATATAAAGAAAAGATAGTATAAACTATTCAGCATTGACAAATTATGTAACTATAAAATCAAGTTTGATTTATGTTTGCTTTTTAATATAAATCTATAATTTTATTTAAATCTTGATGAAACTTTTCACACTTGATATTTAAAACAAGATGACGATGACGATCTACTTTTATCTAGAAATTCAACCCTTATAGAATATTTTTATATTTTATTACTCATAGTTTCAAAAAAACATCCTAGAATAATAGGGACGGGAGCAGCCACTGTTATAGATAATTTAATATATACCTGTATGCAACAATAAATCATTGTTAACAAAAAAACGATTCTGAGTGGAGATCAGTTAATAGTGATGCTTTGTGAACAATATATATGCTATACTATAGTAAAATAATTAAATGGGCTTTAAATATTTTCTTTAATATTTGTTTAATGTTTTACCAACTGCCCCCCCTCTCTCAGTTTTCCGTTTTAATTCACATTTGCTGAAAAAACTCCATAGAAAATCGAAAAACGATCTCTCTAAAGTACCTCCACAGCGAAATTTCCTATCATTAAAAGTTAGATCAAAATTGCAGGTAGAAAAGTTGTCCACAGAAAAAATAAATAAATAAACATCTTTGTAAAACCATAAGCTTCTTGATGGCCTTCTACCCTCAGGGATGCGGCTATTGTGAATTAAAACTTATTGAAAAAATTGAAAATGTAATTTATTGTGTTTAGTCAATTTTATATTTATCTAGATGTACTAATTATTTAATTTTAATTTTTGTAGAGTAGCTTTAGCGAAATTCCTTCATCTAATATCATTCCAATTACACACACTAGTAAAATGCACAAGAGTTTTAAATTGTTCTAATTCAGTCTTCAAATGAAAACAGTTTACATATAAAAAATTAAATAGTTTATTATAATTCCTTGACTTTAAATTGTGAAAAAAAATATATTGAACCAGGTATATTGATATTTGTTTGAATCATATGTATATGTTATAATTTTAACTACTATATTTTAGTTTGAAAAAATAAAATAGTTTAAATCTAAAGTTAACTAAGTACCAGTATTTGTATGCTGTCAATCCTTTACACATAATAATTTAAATAATAGTTTTTATTCTGAAAATAAAAACCATAAAAATACTGAAACTTATATAACTAAAAATAATGACATAGATGTGGTTGATTGGAAAAGTATGTCAAACATAAAAAACACAGGAATATGGGAATTACAAATGCATGATATATTACAATTCAGAGTATGTAATAAGCAAATAAATTAACAAATTATATTTTATTAAACTTTAAATTAAAAATTCATATTTTATAAATATAGATTTTAGTCTTTAATAAACTTGGTGAAGCTGCAGTGTCATCTGCTATAACAAATGTTAAAAAATGTTTTGCTCATTTTCGTCCTCTATAATTTTGTTATAATTTGTCCATTTCGGCCTCAAATAATGTATTTTGAATAAGGTACTTAGCCATAGCTCGAGTATGACTGTCAAATTGTTTCAATTGTGTAGTAACATATTCTCCAAATAAAATACACTCATTTTTTTCTGTTAAAGCATTTTTATTTTCAGCAATTATTTTAAATACTTTACATGCTTCATCCACTTGTGGATCTTCTTGGTTATCTTGTGATACAGATTTTAGTGGCTAAAATCAAAATAAAAAATATATTAAATATTTATACATATATTTTATTTTTATATTATATTTTACTTGTTCCATTTTGATGTAAATTACTATGAGACTAGATGCATTATATGTTTATATTATATAGCTAATAATAAAATATCAGTCAAAAAATTGTTAACTAATATAGATATTGTATTGGCAATTTTAAATTATGTAATCCATTATTTATATCATTAATAAATAAATACTTTTTTTTCTTGCATTTATTTATAATACATGCATATATAACTTTAAATAAATAGTTTATACATACACTAGCAATATTTTTTTTTCTTTTTCTGTGCTCAACTTGTTTGTTTAAGAACTGCATGGACTTAAATGCAAACCACTTAGAATGGTAAACTTCATCATTACTCATTCCGGTAATACACTCTCTTCTGAATGATGTACGTAAACTATCTATTTTCTTTTTTACAGCAGTAACATCTATCTGCAATTCCTCAGATATATCCATCCAGTAAATTTGTTTTTTATTTTAAAATTTTACCGTTTTAAAATCTTTGTTGGTCGGGTTCCATAAAATTGATCTATCTTGATATAAATTTATAAGTCGTAAAATCAATTCATCTGACCACTCCATATTTGAAATCTCCATAATCGACATAAACTAAAGAATCAAATAAATGAATATTAATAATAATTCATAATTTGTAAACAATATAATTATTCTGTGTTAACTTTTAAATTTATACCTACAACTTGGTAATCTAGAATCATTATATTTGTAAAATTGGATCCAGAAACATTGAAAATAATATTTTAATGTGGCAATGTATTTTCAGAGTTCAACTAAATCATTCTTGTGTACAGGTTAAACAAGAATTATTTAAAATAAAGAATTCTTTAAAATATCCCTCATTTTAATTAAATAATGTTACGATTTGTTTAGTTATAAGTATTTAAATATAGGTACCTTATTCATATCACGATAGTCAAAAGTCTGAAAAACCTAGTACATCAGGAGATTTTAAAATAATCAGGAAATCAGATTTTGTGATTTTTACTGGAATTTCTAAGCTTTAATATATTATCATATGACAAATAGGTATTTCGACTGGAAACTGAGTTTGAGAAAAAGATATGTTTTTGTGTGATAAAAATTGATTTTATCATTAGGGATTTGGTGGGTTACACCAATACACGAGGTTTATGATAAGGTAAAAAGTAACGTTTATTTACAACATAAAAACCAAATACAAGTGATCGCCAGCTGACGGCTTTTGACGGAAATACAGGCGAGCACGCAATAATTAAAACAACGTTAGTGGTAAAAATCAATTATACATAAAAATAATTCGGAGTCGGAGAACAATGCTTCGCGTATGGTGTCGGTGCGGAGAGAGCGAGCGGGGCAGTCGAGCGGAGCTGTGTGCAAAAAACCGTTAAACGCCGACGGCGAGGGGCGTGGCCGACGTCCGCCACGGGCGACGCGCAGCGGGAAAAAAGGAAAGTGGGTCCTCTCGGAGAATGGTAATGTTGTGGTTCGCCACAGGGATAACTATTTATTTGTATTAACATTGGCACTCATCCCTTATCATTTTTCTGAAAACCATAAACCTAAATATAATCTAAAACTCTTACTAATGTACTGTCCTATTTTTTAAAACTGGTAATTTATTTTACAAACCAATTAATATATAAATAAAACATATAACTCTGTATTATTTTTGTATTATTAAATGTTTTACATCCGAGAAATAAAAAATTACAATATATTCTATTCCATGATTTAGTTTTCCAATATCCCTGTCTCTCTTACTAAATGCTTACGTGTCATATGATAGGTGAGGGGGGTTGGTTGCATGCGTCGTCCCTACGACCATACTCCATGTTAATAGATCTATATTGTAAACTAACCTAACTCTCCGATGATTGTTTACTGTTTAGTGTTTTCACACCCAGTTAAATATTCTCGTTTCTGTTCGCTGAATTTTAATCAATCTTTCGTTATAAAAATCACTAGACGTTTCATTTTATTGGTTTTAATCTAAACTTTCGTTTTTCCTAATCAATCATCTATCGCAATGAATTCTGAAGCAACAAGCCAAGAAGCATTACCTGAATATAAAAAGAAGGTCCAATGGACCCCAGGATTGGAATTAAGTTTGATGTCTATCATGAAGTATTATAAACCATTTGGTATGTGTTATTTATGTTTATTTATATTGTACATTTAATACTAATGGTAACGTATGTATACTGCTACGAGAGAAGTAAACCGTGTCCCGACCGAAACGCGTTCCATTGTGCGCATTCCCACCAATTTGAATTACCGATGTAGTACGATCACAATCGTTAACAGCTGTATAGAGTGTATTATAACAGTATTATAATGTATCCTCGAAATAGTGAGTGTCACTTGTTTGAACCGCGCGCTTGCTTTGACAACTGTTGTATACTTCCTAAGATTTTGTAGTTTTGTTGTTTATTTTTTTAAAAAATGAACATTTCCAATGAAGCATCGTCATCAGTAAATTATGCTTCTACAACTGCTAAACAAAACATTGATTGTTCAGAAATATTGTCACCCATTAGAAAAAATATAAATATATAATATATTATCACTCTGTATGTATATACTTGTGCCACGCTGTATGCACGCCACAGCGTGATACTGAATGGCGCAAAGTGGGAGAAATGGGACCCGTAACAGTCGCTGCCGTAAGTGTGCGTGCGCGAAACGGTTTACTTCTCTCGTGGTTTATAGTATAGTGTTTACTTTAAAAATTAAAACATTACTTTATAATACTTTATAATCTGTTTATGGTTTAAATATATTAAATTATGTGGGTAACTTTTTTAAAGCTTGCTTCTACAATATCTAGAATTCACTGATTGCTGAAATAGCTATAGATCAGTTATTATTTCGAATCACTAATTAATATCAAATACTATAAATGATATTACCGGAAAGTCAATAATAATCATCAGAGACATACAGAGTCCTCAATTTTACTATTGGTTGTCTTATTATTATTATTTTTGTTACCATTCGGTACGTGTTAGAGTACATGCTAAGTATCAATTGCAATAATCAACTTTTAATGCAATATCATTTTTAGATTCCAAGAAAAGCGAGGGAGCTATTGGTTTTACAATAATGTTTATTTCTTTCTTTCTTTTTTCTTTTTCTAGTCTGTGGACACATTTTTTCCTAGTAATCTTGCTCTGATGTTTACGTGTAACATCTCTTCTGAAAGCTCAAGTTGTCTATATTGTACCTTAGGGAGATAATTTTTCTAATTTTCAACGCCATTTTTTTAAACAAAAGCACTAAAGTGGGAAAAAACGTAGGAAAACGTACAATTTCAGGATTTCATTATTTTATAAAAACACGGATAACATTTTCTACAAGAAAAAATTATTTAATCGAAAAATCACAAGACACCTTTTTTTTTACCTGTATCATCGTCCAAAAAATGCTCTTAAAAACACTAAAACTTTATTTTTTAATTTGTTTTTCAGTAAAAAAATAAAATACCTATATTTCTAATTTTGGAGTGCCCTAACTTTTATCTAATGTACTTGTATTCACTAAAAACAATGCAAACGAAAATTGACACAGACCATTAGTTTCAAAGTCTGAAGTTTTTGATTTTGGTTAAGTTGCATAATTTGTGAATACTGTGAAACAAGGCTTAACATGGCACTTGAGGAACTATAACTATTATAATATAACTGTTGCACCTTTTTTTTGTCACCTAATATTTAATATTTATGCTGATAATTGTCATAAAGTTTTTTTAAGATGTTTTTTATATGTTTATTTAAGTAATATATTTTCAATTTAATGAAACAAAGAATATCTTGGTACATCATCATTGTAACTTCAAATCAATTTTATCATACAAAATAATTCAAGTGAGAGTAACCCCACTGATTTTCTTGGTGCACTGAAAATGCATTTATCTTCAAATTACAATAATCTCTAAAAAGTTTTCAGAAATATTCTAATTACACCATCATTTATATTCTATAGCATTTTAAATCCTGTCATTTAAATAAAAAATAATAAAAGAGCTGATATTGGAGACAGGTATGGATTACTGTTTTAGATAGGTAGTTGACAAGGTGAAATAAATAATGTTATTTAGTTAAACCTGTAACCAATAATAAATAACCATTCTTAACAAAAAATAATTTGGAGCAAATATTTGGTTATACATATTTTGAAAGGCAGTATAATATTTACAATTTTTATCAAAATTTGATTTTAAAACTATTATAAAAACAGAATAATACATCACATTTAAATTTTTACTACTTTACCACTAAATACCACTTATAATGAACTTCCTGATAAATTTTCAATAATTTCAGTTTAGTCTAAACTAAAAAACTAACAAAATTAAAATGTCTATTAATAACTCAAAAATAGCTCAAATGTTTCAAAAATTTTACTACATCTAGAAAAAGCAAATATAGGCTTTCTGTTCAAATTTCAAATCTGAGAGCATTTTAAACTGATTTACAAAAAAAAAAATTTGTGGAAATAATAAAAGCATTATTTTCCTAAATTTTACAGTTCTTTTTATGATTTTTTTTCTGTTTTGTTCAATTTTTAAAAAGAAAAAAATTCAATAAAAAAGTAGACCCAGGCCACTGAAGTCAGAATGACACTGTTGGTGAATATATTTTGAAAAAGAGAGAACCTTTATCCTAAATCTTCTGAGAAAATCAGGGCAGTTTTAAAATTTATAAAATCACTAGTTTGAAGATCTTTTGAAAGGCTCTCCATTGTTGCTACTTCTCCTAACCATAATTTCTGACAGTTATAGTAAAATATAACGTTTTGAAAACAAAATAAATGCATTATACAGTAAATTACCATTTTATTTTAAAATTTATAATAATACCCAAAAATCAAAATAAATAACATTTTTGAACTCATTAGGATATACTCAAATTTATCTCTGATCTTTTAGATAAATTCAGTAAAAAAAAAAACATGTAAGTGAATGAACTTCCAAAATGGTTGAAATGCATAATGGATACTATATCATATTTTATATTAATTTGTTAAATTAATGTTTTTATTTTAATTCATTTGTGTGTTTTGTTTTAGGACAAAATAAATTTTTAAATATAATGATTGTTCAAGAAAATATCAGAAAAGAACTAAATATTATCATGCCCTTTAAATTTTTAATGAAATATGTGTTTTCAAAATGGCATGCAGAAGCTGTGGTAAATGATAAACTTGATTGATAACATTCTATTTTATTTTATGAATAGTTTTAATTTACATAAGTATCTAATTACTTTTTAAAGAAAAACAGAGCATATAGAGTATAAGTTTGAAAGAACAGGACAAGACAGCTAAAGATAATAAGTAGTAATATTATATATCATGTTGATAGTTTTAAGTGCCTAGGATCATTTGGACAAAATAACTGTAGTTTTGACAAAGATATGAAACATAGTATTAAGTGTGGTTGGATAAAGTGAAGAGAAGTATTAGTTGATTTAGTTGATAAGAGAATTTCAATTAGTTTTAAAGTTAAGTTCTACAAGAGTGTGTAGAAAAGGATTATGTTGTGTTTCAGAGTGTTGCACAATAGACAGAAAAATAGAACAGAAAATGAGTTTAATAGAGATTAGAATTTTTAGGTAGAGAAATTTAGTAACAAGAGAAAATAGGATAAGTAATGAATACATAGTGGTTAGAGGTAGTAGACAAAATGAGAAAAAATAGACCAAGATGGTTTGGACATGACATGAGGAGAGAGAAATCAGAATAAGTAATAATAGTAATGAAAATAAATGTAGTTGGAAATAGAAGAATACAAAGATCAAAAAAGAGGTGGTTTATTTGATTGAGAATGAGGACAGTGGATGTATGAAAGAAGGAATTGGGGGATTAGGTCAAGTGGAATTTTAAAAATTGAGTGCAGCCAACCCAAAATAGTTGGGATGAAGGCATAAGAAAGAAGAAAAAAATATATAATTACTTTTTACATTACAGGACGATAAATTTCTGTCACATTTTAATATAAGTCAAGAACCATTTAAATTATCAGTAGAATATGATGAATTAGTTACAGAAAAGTTGAATGAAATGAAAAAAAAGAAGGTGGAAGATGGTAAGTAAATTGGATAGTCTTAGGATATAGATTATTATTAGTATAAGTATTTTATTTAATATTCTTTTAAGGTATAAATAATAAAATTAAGAACAGAAAGTTATTCAGTGGTCCAAGAAAAACAAACTTTAAATCTGTGTCTTCATCAAATTTAAAGGCTGGTCCTTCTTCATCCAAAGTAAGTAAGAAAAAACTTGAAAAAATTCCAAGCATTAGAAGATCATTGCGTACATATAAAATACATGAGAAGAAAAAACTGCAAGGTTCAACCAAAATAATAAAGAAATTACCAAAAAGGAATAAAAAAACTTGTACAAAAAAGGTAACAGATTTAAAAAAACCGAAAAACAAAATTCAAAATCAGCCTAAAGATTTAAAAAAAAAAAGAGTTTCAATTGTAAAAAAAAAAACCTATAATTTGTCTTTATCTAGTTCTAGCTCTTATGATAGCAAACAGTCTTTAAATGACAATTTAACTTATTCAAATACTTCAGATGACTCATCAAGATCAGTAACTCCAAAATTATTAAGAAGTAAAACTTCAAACCAATCTGTTTCACCTGAAACAAACAGTATAAAAAAAAAATTACGTTCTAGTGACAAAACTAAAAAACCAAAATTTCGTTCAGAAAAAAAAGTACACACAAATTATTAAATCTTGAAATTCGACTTGCATCTTTTACACCAAATATATTGAAAAAAGCTAGATCCTAATATCTCAAAAATAAGTACAAAATTAAAATATAATTTGTGATCAATTGACAGCTAATTTCATGGTTGCTCAACATTCTCCAGTAAATCAATCAAGTAGACGTTCTGAAGAAATAATTAAATTTCAAAAATATAGAATAATTTCAGAAATAGAATATTAATAATAGTTAATATTATGCATGTTAACAGTTAATTGAATTTTGTTGTCTTTGAAAATTTGAATTCTTCAATTGTTAAAAATAAATATATTTCAATATCAATGTAGTAGTTTATACAAAATGTAAAGTATGATAATTTTACTTTTTAAAATTATATTCATTATGTCAATTACATTAACTGATATAATCATTATAATTTTTAGAGTGAATTTGAAAATCCTTTTGAAAATGTTAATTTAAACAAAAAATCATTTAAAAATTAATTATTGTAGAATATTAAAATAAGTAATAGTAATAGTCTTAACGATTTGTATTAATTTATATTTAGCTTGAATTGAACTGTGGCAATTTGACTAAAGTTGATAAACATACATTTGTTAATAAACTAAAGTTGATTTAGCTACATCAAATAAATATTTGTAAGTTTTAAATTATTATAATAATTAACATATATTAATAGTCTTAACAATTTGTATTAATTTATATTTAGCTTGAATAATAATTAACATATATTAATAGTCTTAACAATTTGTATTAATTTATATTTAGCTTGAATTGCACTGTGGCAATTTGACTAAAGTTGATAAACATACATTTGTTAAAGTTGATAAACATACATTTGTTAATAAACTAAAGTTGATTTAGCTACATCAAATAAATCTTTGTAAGTTTTAAATGTACAAATTCCTATATTGGAGACACTACAAAGTAATATCTGTTCAAAGACATAATTTCACACAGGGCATTTGAATCTAAGACATGTCTTCAAACATCCACTTTCTACACCTGTTATAGTACATAATATGTAGTTTGAAGTTGAAATCTAAAAGTCCATAATAATATCATTTAAAACAAACAATAATAATAAAATTAAATGTGTGTAATTTAAATACAAATATAAAAACGTATAAGTAGCTACAGTAGACATCTTATTTAAATATTGAATATCCTGCTCACATTCAAAAATTCTACAATTTACAAAGGTCTTAAGAATAGGTTCAATCAGTTTAAATATAGAACATTGCAAATACCTTTTTTGTAGGTATGACAAAAAACCAAATTCCATAAAAAACATAATTTTTAAAGTTTAACATAATTCAATACTATACTAAAATATAGCATTATGACTTTACATATTATTAATTTGGTTAAGTATTACACTAAATCGAATAATATGTATTTTTTTTAATCATAATAATAAGAATACACAATCTATAAATTAAAAAAAAAAAATTACAATAAGAGACTTTGCAGAAATAAATATAAATATCACGTGTAGAAACAAAAATAAAGGCATACTTCGCATGGTGGTTAAACCTCTATTATAAATGAGAAGTTGGGAAGATAGAGGGGAAATGTAAAATATATATTAATAATATAAATCATTGCTAACAAACAACGATTCTGAATGATTCTAAGTTAATAGTATTGCTTTTTCAACAATGAGGGAATTCATGACAATGATAGTTTAAAAAGGATTGAAAGATTAATTAAAACTTAATAAAAAAAAAAGTTGCAATGATACAAACTAAACCCATACATACTACGATAACAGAAATGACAGAAACTATCTTTAACCAATAGACTTTAAATGGTTGGACTATGTTTTAAGTGCATAAACAACGTAAATGAAATGAAATAAAAACTGAAAAGTATCATACACATAGAGTTGGATCGATTATTCTATGATAGTATGATCGTACATCGACATTAAAATATGATGTAAACAAATTTTGTTTTTTTGTCCGTGATGGTACAATTCCAGAGACGATATTTAAATTTAATTACTCAAAAAAATCTAAATCGTTTCCGCAACAGTATTTCTTTTCCGGTCGGCTCACTGCGGGAACGTTGGTTGCGGCGCAGTTTCCGTCACGTCAACCACGTCAACGATGGTGATTGGTGAACCGGCCGCGCGCCACCTGCGGCGCGGCGTTCGCACTCATCGTCCACCGGATCCGACATTCTCTTGTACATACATTAAATTTTCTTTTACCGCTACACGCCCGTATTGCTCGCGGCCAAAAGTTACTTGCGATAATAATAATTAACGAATAGCGAATTCGGGCGTGTAGCGCTAAAAAGAAAGAGTTTATTAACAGTATTAATGACATGAAAAATGTGTACATGAGGTACGTAACTCAACCGAACACCGCGACACGCCGGTTGGCGAATACCCGACTGAGCAGTGAGCACTGAGCGCCGAACGTTGTGCCCCTATTTAATTAATCGGAAACAATCGTTACGGATCGTGCGCCGTCGTCACACAATCCTGTACGCCGAGCCGTAGCCTCGTGATTGTCACCGCCGCCGTGTATACAGCGGAGTCATAATATCTGAATACCTACCGCCAAATGAATCATTGCAATGTACACGCATAACGCACGTTGTTTCGATAGAACTAATGGGAAACACTGAAAAATGGCATTACTTAAAACGTAAATTGTAGCGTTCATTCAAATTAAAACAGAGCCTTTTTGCAAGAAAATACGTGTACGCGGCAGGCCCTGAATTACGTATGCAGTAGCGCACGCAAGATTTTTCCGGGAGGGCTTTTCATTTATAATCATTTCCCAGAGGGGGATAGCACATATTATCAGTATAGTACGATCACTATTATTACTGGATAAACGATTTTTGATTTCCCCCTAACCCCCTATCGATGCGCGCCACTGTACGTATGTGTAGTGTGCACGCGTTGAACAAGCACAGGGATTCCTGATTCCGAGGTACCCTTCACACTCTATAAAAAAAAATAGTACACTTTTATATTTTATAGTATACTTTATATTTTTGGTAGATATATGATTGATAAGTGCGGGGCCGTCGTCGTAGGACAGGGTGAGCGGGGCCCTCGCCCCACTACGATTGGCAGGCCCCGAGTGGCCGCGTTTTTTTTTTAGATATAATAAAAAAAGCAAAACTGAAAAACAATACAATAAAACGTATTATCTTTATTTTTCATACAAAATATTATATAATTTATATTGAATAGTATGTAGGTATAATGTGTGCATTATATGTTCACTTGAATTCTATTTTTGTGTAGGTATTAAAGTCTCCGACTTTCTCTGAAAGATTACGATGACGACAGCTCACCACAGCTATAATAACAATACTATAGGCATGGGCACCCGGAGGGGGGGCAAGACGGGGCATCTGCCCACCCTGAACTTTAACATTTCAAATATAATTTGAATATTAATTAATATTATTTTATTTTAAGTACTTTTTGGTGTTTGATTTTATTATGCACCTCCCTAATAAATTTCCTGAGGGCGCACATGTTTAAAGGTAATCATAATAATTTTTACTATTATCTTTCTGACAAAAAAAAATATTTGTTAATTTAATTATGTAGGTTCAGAGTGTATCTCACGGAATGCAATAACACATTTTAGATTATAAGTAGAGCGAGGAATGTATCAATTTTACAAAGATGTTTAATTTGTATTATTTAAGGAAGTTATTTTTTGATCTTCCCAGGAGTATTCCCAATAAACAGAAAAAAAACGGAAAAAAAAGGACGTAAAACGCGAAAATGTACGAAATGTATTAATCCAATATTACGGCCCTTTTTTCTGTAGACAACTTTTCTACTAACAAATTTGCTTAGATTTACAATGATAACACTTTTTCTAAAAGGAATTTGGACTGGGGAAATGCTTTAAGAAGGCTCAAGCCCCACAAATTGTCAGAACGGCCCCGGATAAGTGTTTAATAAGTAATTAATTAGTAGGTAATTAAAAAGATTATATGTATCAGGATGTTAACATTGTTGAACGAGAAAATAGGTACAATATTAAACAAATATTATTAAAGAAATGTTTAATACATATGCAATTATTTTACCATAGAATGACATATATATTTTAGTATTGACAAAACAACACTTTCAACTGAACTCGGCTCAGAATCGTTTTTTCGTTAGTAATGATTAATCGTTGCCTACATATGTGCATTAAATTCTCGTCTGTAGCTTACCTTCTCAACTTCCCACCTACAACAGTACCCATGTTCGAAGTATTTTTATTTAATTTTATTATAATATGTGTCTATTACATTTTGCACTTCAACGTATAAAAACTCGAATACGTTTTTCTTCAACTAAATGAAAACTGAATAATTTTTTACCGTTGCCGGCCATCAATCGTTTGAAAACATTATTGGAGAATTTGAAAAAAAATACTTATAGAAATTACCTTTAGAAAAAAAAAAAAAAAAATTGTGATTTATAAATATAGATTTGATATAATTTAAGGAATTCGATATTACAATCTACCTCTTAAACACACATAAATATAGATACATTTTTTTTTGTTTTTAATTTTTACCGATTTCTTTTTTTTAATTCAAACAGGGCCTTAAAGTTGTGTAATGCACAAGGTCTCTGTGTCTTTAAATCAGGCCCGGGATACGCGGTAAGTTATTGACAGTTATTGTTATTGACATTTTGTTCTATGCGTATACCGTATACCGTGTGTATCGGCGGTGGCGAGAACGATAGGCGGGTGAGTGGATGAAGCGGTACCGGTAACCGTGAGTGGAGCGAAAACGGACGTGTCCGCCACGCATCGTCCGACGTACTCTTTGCTACCCCCCCCCCCCCNCCCCCCCCCTCTCTACACTCTCGCGGAGAGGCGATGCGAGCATGAGAATCCCGTCTCCGTTCGGTGTCGGCATTTTGATCGATACCCAAAAGACACGAGACACGACTGCATTCTCGTCCTGGCTCGTGTGAGTTGGACACGGTTAATATTAAAACGACTGACTGGACGAACGGAATTTTAATTAAATTTGTGGAACTTCATCAGACGGAAGAAACCTTATGGCATGTTTTCTTCGTGTGGGGGATACACATGGTAAACCATAATAACTGTGTGTACGCAATGCAGCTTCAGCAGTCACCTCGACCGAACCCGTATTAATAACGCTTTATTCTCTAATAAATAACACGCAAATCGTCATTCACTCCAGTACAACGGACGACCGACAGACATTTAGCATTGACTCGTGATACTGGCTGGCGAGAGTGTAGACGGTGACCAATCGCGGTATCTGGAGAGCGCGGGAGGTAGCGTTAAGTTGAACAGACTCCGCGAAACGGTCGGTTTCCCGGAGCTGGCGGGCGGCGAGTGTCAAGGTCAACTGTCCGTGCGGTCGCTTTTGGCGGCGAAGCGAGCGCGTCCAGTTCTCCATCGTCGTTATCGTGGAGGGAACCGCGGTGCAGCCAACGTCCCCGCGACGAGTGGCTCACTGCGGAGAGCAGTGGAGCGTTTGGAGCCTTTGAGAGGAAATACCAATGGTGCAAGATTACTTTACATCGCGTCCGCCGCACACTCGCACGGTCAACGAGTGATTGTCGGTTAACCCCAGTCAACCTGTAGTTTCTGTTATAATACAAACTGCCTGGTACTTCTGTCACTCCCGTCCCGTCGTAGCACGTCTGTTATTCAGGACCATAGGTTATAGGTATGTCAATTCGATTATCATTTAATATAATCCAACGTGCATACGCGTCTCTCGTGTTGATTTGAAGTTTTAATAATTGATTTCAGTCGTTTGTACCCGGTCACCACTAACCAGCATAACGCGACGAAATGACTTCCAGAAATTTAATTAAGGCCTGCAAATCGTTAGACGTGAATTACGAGGATTATTGCGATTCCGAAGTTGCGTTAAACAAAATTACAAAAGAGGAAATCTTGTCCTGGAAGAAGTGAGTACAATGTTAATATGAAATGAATGATACGCACGGTTAATGTGACGTTATATTATCTGATCGAAATCCTTATTAATTACGATCGAATCCAAACAAATACAAAATATACGATACAAAGTAATTTCAAAATTCGTATGTTCTACATTTAAAAAGTACTGTTATACTTATTTTATTCCGAAGAATCTCATTTGAGTACCTATAATTTAATATTAGTTAAATCTTAACGTGCAATTACTCGTATTTTAATATAATACGAATGTTCAGAAATATATCATTTATTTTTAATTGTACTATCAAATTATTACTGATAATAGTCTGATAATAAGTGCATGATATAAGATCTAATCGTGTATATTAATAAGTGATAACTAAGTAAATAATTAGCAATGTACCTATCAACTGACCATTCGTACTTATTAATTTTTGTAGAAACCTCAAACGTAATCCGCCGTCACCTCCAGTTCCAGACGTTCTCACGATTCATCACAAAACATGTGAAAAAATTATAAATATTTTGTACAAATCTTTATTTATGATTTTTATTATTTTTATTATTTTCATTGTATATTTTTTAATTATATTAAATAAATTTAATTAATACATTTTTATAGTGAAAATTTACCTATTATGCTTATGTTTAATGGTTTCGTACACAAACCTTGAAAATAGCATTTTTGGAATGAATCCAAAATGTCAAAAGTATTTCTTTTTCTTTTATTTATAAGTAGTTTTTGATTATTTTGATTAAAATCAGATTGTCAGAAACACCCGAATATGTTCAAGCGATGTGAACATTATCTATTATATGATTATTATATGAGTGTATGTATGTGTCGCATCTACATAGTGAAATCCTTGAGTGTTGAACTATTATTTATTATTTTAAATTTCAAGTATATACGATATGTATAGTTAATTAAAATTATAATATACCTAATGTATTGTTAAATAACTTATAATTTAAATAATAGGCGAGGTTCTGATCCCTTCACTGTGAATACGCCACTATGCTATTAAATGCTATTAAAATACTACATCAGTCAACTTTTTAATGGCCTGGACACACTAATTTGATTCTTGTACATACGCTACAGGTAGAAATACAAAAATAGTGTATGAATGTTATAATTTGAAAATAGATTAATAGATTTTCCTTATTTATTTATGTGTTTCACTAAGTCCTTCACTTTTAGATTTCAACTTCAAATTACATATGTACTTCAAAGGGTGTAGAAAATAGATGTTTGAAGACCTGTCTTAGATTCAAATATTTTGTATGAAATTATATATTTTAACAGACATTACCTTTGTAGTGTCTCCAATATAGGAATCTGTGCATTTAGTTACAGTAAAATTAACACCAAGATAATTGCTGGAAGATAAAATTTGTCACCATTCCACTAAAAGAGTATTAGTAGAATAAAATTGTACAACGCAATTTTTTTGCAATGTAAGTGTTTAGTGTAGTATTGAATATAATTTAACTTTAAAAGGCTGTCCTAAAATTATGGGAATGGGTGCAGCCACTATTATTGGTAATGTATATTTGTAAACAATGATTAACCATTGATAATGAAAAACCAATTCTGAGTGGAATTTAGTTGATAGTGTCGCTTTGTTAACAACGCATAGGTAATTATTTTGGTAAATAATTACAAATGCATTACATGTTTTCTTAAATAATATTAATTTAGTATTGAACCTATTTTTGGGAAAATAAAAAAATTACCTACCTTAGTACCTCTTCAGTTCCTTTTAGAAAATGTGCTATCATTGTAAATTAAAATAAAATTCTAGTAGAAAAATTGTTCCCCGATAAAAAAAAACATCATTGTGAAACCATAAGTTTCCTTGTTCTACTCAGGATCTAAAATTATATATTTATAGAATTTGGCCCTGTACTATAATAAATTAATATTTATAATGTATTTTGGATTCGGAGTGTAGCAATTGTCTATTAATTTTATAATAATATGTGTCATTTTTTGTGTCTGTGAACAATTTTTCTACCAGAAATCTTATTCCAATATTTCAAGAGTAGCATCTTTTCTGAAAGGAAATTTTATTTACTTGGTGCGTTGAGGAAGCTGTTTTTTTAAAATTTCAAGAGATTTTCATAATAATTGGGAAAACCTCAAAAAAAATTATTGGCAAATATTTATGGCACACATCACTGATTTCATTGTTTTTAATTTTTATGAACTGTTTTATACCGCAAATATTGTTTTTAACAAAAAATATCAAGTGATGTGTTGTTTTTGCATTTTGAATCTTGTTGCTCACAAAGTAAGTCGTTTTTGATTTTCTGTGTAGTTTTTTTAGTTATTGAGCAAAATGAAAAAACAGGAAGAAGGGGAAAATGTACAGCGATAATGATTTTATTATTTTCAATTTTGTTTTTTTTTTTTTGTAATTCAATTTTAAATATTCGTAGACACTTAGGTAGGTGGTACTTGATAGTCAGAAAAAAAAAAATTTAAGTGTAATTGTAGTCTATTTTTTTTATAAAAATTGTATTATCAAATTTTGATGAAATCATAAATATGTCGGCCTTTCAATACATGTGTACTTAATATATACATAATTATATAATAAGCATACCTATCTAAATGGATGTATTTATGTAGTGTGGCTTGAATGATAGGAGTGAAGAATACTCCAGTGGCGGAAGGGGCGTATTTACTGGGAGGGGGGATACGGGGGATAGATCTCTCCATAAGCCATGAGCCGTATTTAGAAAACATATTGTTCTCTAATACAAATTGGAAGTTCAAATGCAAATCTTCAAAACTATTATGAAATTAAAAAAATTTTAAATGTTTAATTGTATTGGTAGGTACTAAAATATTTATAGATTATTATTATACTAGGTAAGCAATATTCTTAATAGTTTGTTAAATAAATGGTAAATTTCACTTAGAGCTCTACATACCTACTACGTGTTCAAACGTGATTATTTCCGTAACGCACATGGAATTTACCGAAATATTTTCAAGTTATTCAAGGTTCCATTTTTATTTTCATAATCTAAACTCGCAACGTAGGTAATAAAGTAAACAACACGCCTTTTTCATTTGAAAGAAGTGCTTTAAAATCGTCTGCTAATGCTTTAATGATAATGTCTGATTTATTTAATGAATACGAAGTTGTATTTTCATTTATAAACTTGTTAGGAAGTATGTATGAAAGATTGGAGCATTAAAGTGCTTATAAAACATTATTGACATTATCTAATAATGGAATAATGTAGGCCAATTTATAATATTCTTCTGCATTATTGGTTAGATAATTTGTACGATTCGTTTGTCTTGAACGATTTCTTGGAATTTTCAAATCAATTTTTTGAATTTTAGCCACACTCTCCGAATGTGTTCGTAAAAAATCTGTAGATTTATCATTAATGGTCTTGGAGAATCAATGGTATATGGTTTATCTTGATTTGATATTTGTGTTTAACATTATATTTGAACAATGAATAACTGCAGTGTACCTTCTGTGATTGATATCACCATCGCTAGAAATGGTTATTGCAAACAACATATTTTTAAAATAATCTACAGTTGTGAGAGAATTGATTAAATTTGTGTGGTTTTCTGCCCGTTCGTTCAGGCTAAAATTTGAAAAAAATAATTAATATTCTGTGTACTTGTAATTTACTACGATTTATTACGATTTAAAATTTGCGGGATGAAGATATTGTAATCAAAGAGCATTATTATTTTCTTTTTTTAAAACGTTATTTTATGGATCGTGCAATTGAATTAAGATATGGTATAAAAACTGACATTCGGAAATAATCTTGACAACTTTCACTTTCATAATTTGCTCTTAGTGACTGTTTTTTACCGTTTTTGGATATAAAATACAAATATCTATAGCAGTGGCGACTAATTCATTTTCGTTAAATAACATTTATACAATTTCATTAGCGTCCTTTCGATGATTATCGAAAATTTTTAGTAATGAATGAATATGTTTGCCGATTTGGCTTATGGATAACCTTAAATAATGGTATTAATCAATATGTTCCAACTGAATCCTATACTGTTCCCACGATGTAAAGAATACTGTTCCTAAACTCTATCAATCTGTTGAGTAATCCGATTGTCTCATCTATAGATATTGAATTTTAATTTCTATGGTCTCGTCGTAAAATTATAATATTATGGAAAAAAATTAACCTAACCATAGATGATAAATTATTATCTATGTTATAAACACAGATAATATTCTTAACTTTAAGTTTGATAACAGATTAATCCGTTATATTAAATACAAACAATATATTAAACTTAATAACACAAAATTGTTAATTTTTGTGGTGATTATCTATTTATATAATATATATGTATATATATCTGTGGTTGAACCGAATATAAACTTAGTTAGCCGTCTCTTTAATTTCGAATTAACTAAGTCGGGCTATTTTAAATGTATTATACTTTGACTATAAAAATAAATTTAGATGGTCATGCTGACAAAATACAATTACATAGCGAGTAGTTGAAAAAAAAAAAAAAGTGAGTCTTAAAATTAGTCCCATTTACCATAATATTATTGTTTAGTATTCCATTTGTAATTGTTAGCACTGCACACGAGGTAACATAGGTCTCACCTATTATACGATCCAAGCTCTATTATTATTACTCTGTGCCTCTATGTGATCGATTCTAAGTTATTACTAAATCACTTTGTTTTTCTTGTATTTTTACATGGTATTAACTGCAATTTGTTATGGAACGCATTATAAAGAATACATTTATTGTGCAAGTGTAATTGATTATTTATTTATTCATTATGTATACTTGAGTTCCAATTCAGCTTGGCGCTGAGATATTACAGTGGCGGCGAAGATTTAAACGGAAATACAAATGTTAAAAGTGGGTACCTTGTGTAGTCGTGTCAGAAAAGAAGACTGCGGCAGCTCAATCTTCAATTGGTATTGGGACTGAACCTGAATACTTGTTCAGGGAAGATTAGGATTTGTATGTGGACCAGTTTGAACAATTTGTCATCGTGAATTATGTGGAAGAAGAGCGGAAAGTTCTGGTATTGATTTCGGTTATCGGTGAAACAATGTATGCGGTCCTACCGAACACAATGAAATTTGGTAATCTGTCTATTATTAAAAGGTCAGTTTTCACTTGAAGTGTCATTATTTACGGAACGGGCAAATTTTTTATGAGTTGAAGCTGAATGTCCATGAATCTGGGAACGAATGGCATGTTCGAATTAAAACATTGGTTATGAGTTGCATGTTTGGTCAGTTCCTGACAGAGAAGTTGAAAGACAAGTTTGTAACCGGATTAACCAAGGACCATATACTGGATTGATTGTTCGAGAAGGAGTCTGATAAGTCACTCACAGATTTGGTGGGGATCACTCTCAAGAAAGAAGCCTTGGTGAAACAGAGCGGCATGACATTGGTTCCTCTGAACATTCTGAAGACAATCAACCAAGTGAGCAGCAAAAATAAAGGATTCAGTAAAATGGCAAATAGGAATGTAGATGGTGCTGCAAACAAGATTCATAAGCCTCTGTCATATATGATGCAGCATAAAGGAAGCTGGTCAGGTCAAATAAGTCTACCAAGTTCTATTCACTGTGGTAAAGGTAACCTTAATTTTAGTTCATGTAAATACCGTGAGCATAAATGTAAGTTGTGTAACACGGTAAGCTATAGTATGTAAGCAAAACTTTAATGTTTAAAATATAAAAAGAGTTTGAAGAACAATGTTTTAATGAATTTGAGTTGTTTAATGTTAAAAGTGGTTCATATATATATCCCCGTATTAATTAAAGTCAAAATTATTGATAAATTAGTCAAAATGGAAGTAGATTGATAAACTAGAAAGTAGTGGTATAATCAGAAAAAGTGAATCATGTCAATGGGAAATGTCTTTGGTCCCAGTGCTTAAGTCATGTGGTAGAATCAGTTATGTGTGGATTATAAGTCCTTTATTTATAAATACATAAAAGATGGGGTGGCATTCATTTTCAAAATTATATTTTAGCACCGCATATAATCAATTGAAGGTAGGTAGTGAAACAAGCAAACTGTTAGCATTGAGGGTACATATGAGGTACTTAGGTTGTACAGTATTAGCCAACAATATCGATCATCCAACATGTAGTTGAGAAAGCTTTTAGAGGTTGCCCAATTACAGCTTATTTGCTTGATGATATAATAATTACCGGTAGAAATGATGCAGAACATTTTGAAAATCCTAGGGAAGTTCTTAGAATGTGAAAAAGCTGTTTTTCGGTTGAACCGAAATAAGTATCAATTTTTCAAAATTCAATATATAGTATTTGGGTCACATAATAGATAAGGAAGGATTGAGAAGGAGCCCTGAAAAATTGAGGTACTTTTCACTGACGCCGCAGCCCAAAGGTATAACAGTTTTTTCTTGGGTTGATAAATTACTATTGGAAATTTGTTAAAAATTTGGTGATAGTAGTGAATCCTCTGCATGAGTTGTTAAAAAAATTACAGTAAATTTACAAGGATTCATGAGTGTGCTAAAGTTTTTCTTAAAGTAAAAGAGTTGTTAATGTCTGTACAGGTATTGTTAATGAAGAGCAGGCCAAAATTACTGCAATTTGTATGCAATATTTGAAAATCAAGAGACTACACAAATGATATCAGTATCTCAACAAGTATTAATATGGCGTAACAGTAAAAGTGAAACATACACAGAAAGAAAGTGCTGGGTAACTTTAGCCACCTTTTAATGAGAATCGCAAATAATAACCCCTTCTTTGTTTGATCGTCAATTATAAATAAATAATTAACTTATCTATTACTAACGGTAATTATGTAAATTCTGCTTTTAATCTTTTTATAATCAATTTTTCCTTTATATAATTTTTTTTTGTTATCACCTTCTCTTATTTTATTGTTATATTTTCTAATAACTTTTCTATTTTTGTTCAACTTGTCACTTAATTATAGGTAGTAAATCAATACTTATCTCATTTGTAATTGGACCTAGGTCTGTAATATGTATAATAAATAAATAAATAAATAAATAAATAATTAAAATGTATTATACTGGCGTATGCATAATGGGTGCGTGTTTTCATAAACTAATTACTTTTAAAGCTACTGGTTTTTTTACATATGTATGAATAAATAGATCATTAAATTTATATTTTATTTGAAAAATCATTAACAGTGGTTGATATTATTAAGGATGCTGGACCATACAATAAAACATTAAAATCTTGTACTTCACAATTTAAATGGTTATTAAGTTTTAACTGCAATCTGTTATGTTATACATTATAAAGAATAAAGTTATTCCATAGTGTAAATGGTTGTTCATTATATATACCTGAGTCCCAATTTGGCGCTGAGATATTACACCATGATTTTTTTGTATATTTTTAATGTGTGAAATAAAATATTCAAATGCAATAAGCTTATTGCATTTACTTATTGCACTTGCTTGTAATTGTTTTACTTGAATATGGCAAGGCCAGTTAAGTTACTTGTCTAGAAACATAAGTAAGGGACGTTTAAGGCAACAAAAATGATTTTATTATTTAGGACTACTGTAGCAAAAATGTCTTTATGGAGTGTAAATGTTACGCTTAAAGATTTGGAGATTGTTGGAGGCTACTATTGGTTCTCTATGAGTAATGAAAATAACTTTAACATCTGCGTATTCTGCTATAGATGTATTTCGTGTAGTGGGTTAGTTAAGAATTGAAAATAAAATGGCTTCTTGAAGAATATATATTTTGACAAAAATAAATAAATTGTAATTTTTAATTCTACTCATACTATTCTAATGTAATAGTGACTAATTTCATCTTCCAAACATCAAAATTGTGATAATGTTACTGTAACTTAATGTATAGTTCTAATATTGGAGTCATCACTGTGATTTGTGGAAAGAAATGTGCTCACACAGGGCATATAAATAAAAAAAATGTTCACAAACATCTCAACTACTATAGTAGGGTATTTTGAGTACAATGCGATTTATCTAGACTATTTATCTACATTTTTACAATAAAACCAAAATACCTACCAAGATTAGTGGAAAAGTTAATAAGTGATTTGAATACAATTTGCTGTTGATGGAAATAGTTATTGCAGATGTTGTAGGTACCTAATAAACAGCTTTGAAGAATTATTGTGACTAAAATTTAAACAAATAATAAGTAGGTAATTCACTTTTGAGACTTAGGAATTGATATAATTTACTTGCGATATAATATTTTTCGAAATTGTTTTTTTATACTTCTGGTAAAAATTTTTAAGTAAAACTAGGTACATAACTTACAACATTTGAAAATATTCATTTTTCACATATTTTTTTATTTATTTACAAAAATTAATTTTTCATTCTCAACTTCTAATCATTTTCATGGAAATAATCAATTGGAACAAATGTTTATTGGAAAAAATATTTATGGAACAAAAAGTAGTGATATCTATTATCTATGAAGTGTGATAATCCATTCTGCGATATCAGACTGTTGACAGTAGTTGTCACCGTTGTTCTTCCACTACTTCCGTAGTCCGTAGCATAGCAGCACAGAACAATAACGTTAAAGCTAAAGATAATGCATTATGCATTTTTTTTTGTGTTTAATTGTGTACGATTAGAGTAACAAAGGATAGGTAATTCGAAATCTATAGTTTTCATTAATTATATGTGAATTCTCAACAAAAAACCATTCTGTTGTGAATATTGTAACTCAGTTTACCTACTTTATTACTTGTAATTATTTTCATAACAATGCATTAACGACGGCAGTGCAGTTTAAAAGAAGAAATAAAAATGGTGACTCTGAACAGTCACTATGCTAACAGCAATAATTCAACACAATTAGTCGAAACCGTGTCCATTGATTATGACGACTTCAATGATAATTTCTTGACTTGTGCTACTTGTTTATGTAAGAATAAGTGTTTGGATATTTGTATTATTATTATTATTGCTTAATAATTATTGAGTGTGTGTATTAATTGGTAGTCTATTTAGGGATATAGGCTCAGGAGGAGGTCGGCTGTTCCATAGTTGATATTTTGCTAATGAGATGTGTCTCTTTTATTAGGCTTCTGGAAAAAGATTGGAAACATTACATTACCAATTAGCCACTTATATTGTGTCTACAAATAAACAGAAACATTTTTTTTATATTTTTATATTCATTCTATATTTTCATTAAGTTTAGCCGAAAAAGGTTCATTATTAATACCAAACAGAGTTTTGATTAAAGTGTAAAATAATTATTTCCCTATTAAAACAATTTAATATCTATGCAATTTATTACCTATTATTAATTACTTGTGTTATACTATAGAGTATAGTTAAAAGAAGTGTTAGACTTATTAAAAGTTTATCTATGTCAGGAATAGCCAAAAAAAAAGTAGTTTAACTTTGCAATAATTAATATTAAAATGTATAGATAGAAAAATAAATTAATTTTGACTGTTGTTAAAACCTTTGTCTAACCAAAGAGAAAAAAATACTAGTTATTGTTAACAAGTATGTATGAATATTTTCGTTTGAGTAATAAATAAAAATACAAATAATAGTTAAAAATGTTTATGGTCTAATTATGTATTTGTAGATTTAAATCAAATTATTATTTTTTTATCTTATACAGATTTTTGCTTAAAAAGTAGCATATCGAAAATTGGCTAACTTATCGTTTCCTATTTATCTTCGTAATCGTGACTAGTATTAACGTTTATTTTTACAGGTATATATGATGGCGCTGAACGTGCTCCAAAACTCTTACCCTGTTCGCATACTGTGTGTGTTCATTGTTTAACTAGGATTGTTGCAGCATCTAGTAATAGACGTACAGCAACATTGGATTCGTCAAATAATGACCAGAGCAGTAATATAACACCGTCTCAACAGTTACAGAATTCACTGGCTGTTCAACAACCTAGGCAAACCTTTAGGTGTCCAATATGTAGAGAACTCATAACTGTACCACAAAATGGTGGAATCTTGGCTCTACCGCCATCATTTCTAGTCAACCAGCTACTTGATTTGATATCTACTCATAGGCGTCGTACCTTAATCCCATCATGTAACGGAGGTGCATTATCTTCGCACACGAATCAAGTATTATAACTAATAATATAAAGTAAAAATGTAATGTTTAATGTAAATGTATTATTATAATAAAATAAACACTCTCATATAATAATATACACAATTTAAAATGATGATTGAGTATTACATCATATTTATTTATTATTTTAATATAACCAGTTTTAGTAAAAAGCTTTCATTGAAAATGATATAGAATTTTTTGTCAAAATAGGTCATAATATAAACCAAATCTAATAATTGGCTTTGTATTGCCATTTAAAATTATACAATATTTATTTATATTTGTTTATTTTAATGTAATAAAAGCAAAACCATTGTTATTGATGGATGTTTCATAATAATAATAATGCATAAATTATTTCAAATTTTCATATTTTACTAGGAACTGCTCTATTGTGAGACATGCGATCAAGTGTTTTGTTCAATTTGTACCAAACATGAGACAGCAAATGAGGGTACTAGTAATATTATCTCATCAAAATCTTCAAATGTGCATACTATAATTCCAGTATCGATTGCTATGAAACGTACATCTGAAATATTGTTATACAAAGCAAATGAGTGTGTCTCTAAAGTAAATATATAATTGTGATTACAATAAATAAATAGTTGCTTAATTGTAAATAAAAATAATTTATTTTTAAATTTCAGCTAAATTGTTCAAAAGATGTTATATGTGCTGAATTAGACAGATTGGAAATTAATCGTAACAATTGTTTTACTACTCTGAATGAAACATTTAATGACCTTATGAATATAATAGAAAATCGTAAAAATCAACTTGAAAGACAGTTACTTAAAGCATGTGAATTAAAAAATAGAATTTTGAACCAACAACTTACAGCAATTGAAATTGAAAAAACCAAAGTATGTAAAATAATATGTGTATTCAGGCTTAAAATCCTAAAAAATCAAACAGTATAGGGGTTTAAAAGTCCTTACTCTTCTAGTTGTTGTGTATTAAATAATATTTTCCAAAAATATATTATAATAACAACAACACAATTCAAAGTAATTTTATTTAAATAAAATTGTATGTATTAATGTGTTAGTAAATTATATTTAATAATGGTTAGAGCCGTTAGAGGAGAATTTTTTAAATATTTTTCAAGAATTTTTTTGCAGGTTTTAAATACCGAGCCCTGCTTATTAATTGTATATAGTTTATACTATTATTAAAATAATATTTAGTTAAAATTCTGTAATTTCATGATTTATAAATGAGAGATTGATAGCCTTGGTGATAGTTGTAAACTATATTTTTCCAAAAAAATGGTTTGCCTTAGTATTATTACTACATTTAATACTTAACTAGGTTTAATTTTCAAACTTCATATTTAAGAGTTTTTAAGAATTTTAAATGATAGTAATTTAATTATTTATAAATTTATATTGTGTTAGTTACCTGCAGAATGTTTTTATAGATTATAATATAACATTTATTATGTTTAGATCTATAGTATCATTAAATATCATATTATTTAAATACCTAGGTTATGGATGAATGCAGTAGAGTCCATGAATTGATAGATCTACAATCTATAAATGACCGGATACAAATTTTAAATGATCGATTAGAGCAATCTACTAGTGGTCTTTATGAGCCACGGGAAAATGCTTATATTACAGTTGATTTAATAGACCTATCAGAAGTTAAAGATGTTGTCAACAATGCCATTGGAAAATTAGGTCAAGTTCGTACTACAACAACATGTCCAGGTTATTGTATACTGGAAGTTTCTGAACCAAATGGTAATTTCTTTAAAATAAATTATTTAATTAATTCATACTTTATCAGATTTAACTATCAAAGTATTTTTAGGAGAAAATCTGGTGTTTCCTCGATTGGTTGACAAACAAATTGCAATTTTAACAGCAATGGATTTTGATAGAAAACGTCGCCCGATGGGTGGTGATCCAGTCACTGTAAAGTTAATTGGCCCCTTAGACAATATACAAGCTGATCGATCTATACATAATTTAGGATACCAAGATAACATTTCTAGTGATGGTGTACATGTTATTGACACTACAAATGGCCAATACATAATTCGTTTGCAAATTTCTATTTGTGGAAGGTATGTAGATTATGATAATTTATTAAAGCGATTCAATTAATAATTTATTCACTTATGAATATTGGTTTAGATATCGCCTACATGTTTATGTGCTTGGTAGACCAGTAGCATTTAATGATAATATTGGTCATATTGAATTTTCTATAACTAATAACATTGATCCTTTATGTCAGTATAACAAGAACCCTCCAATGCTTCAACCCACAGCTATAACAGGAGATTTGAACGAGTCTAGAGTAAGTAAATCAAAGAAATAATTATATTGGAATATGGTAAGTGATACTCAAACATTTTATTTTTTTTTCATACTCAGGTATTTGTATTAGATACAGGTAACTGTCGCATAAGAATACTTGATACTGATTTAAATTATATATGTGATATACAAAATATTGAAGCTATGCGTGGCCGTTCTTCGACAGGAATTGGATTTTTGAGTAACAAAACATTAATTACTGTAAATTGGCGCACAAATATAATTACTCAGTAATAATTATGACATAAATAAATGTATTAATTTATACAAAAATTAGAAATTCTTTTTTTTTTTTTAGAATGACTCTGGATGGTGAAACCATTAAAACATGGACGCATTCTAGTATGATTGAACCTATGTGTGTTGTTGTAGACCGAACATATGATCAAGTTTTAATAGGCGATTCGTCATGTAATGTGCATGCATTCAAAGTTTCAACTGGGGAACATTTATTTACAGTAAGATTAAAAACCATATTGTGTATTTTTAATTTATCAATTATACACATTAATTTGATATCTTCTTTTTTTTATTGCACATTTTAAAATACTTAATATCTATTTTAAAAATAAAAAATATGTTTGGATTATTACTTAGTAAATCAAACTTAATTTTTTATTCAGAACTCTAACCTAGAAAATATTTTTCATATAATATGGGATTTATGAAGTTAAGTTTGATAACATAAACACTACTTAGTTTTAATTAATTAATTTATTCCTTGTTTTACAAAGATAAATAATAGCAAAATCAATGGAAAATCTATGGATTTCGTTGGTACTTTTATGGCTATAGGTCCAAACTCAGAAATCATTGTTATCTCTGGTATTTCAAACCCTGAGTGTCGCTGTTTAGATATATATTCGTATAAAGGTGTATATGAAAGATCTATTAAAATCGCTACAACAGATAAATGTAAGTAGTTGGTAAATTGGTTTGAATCAGTTATATATGTTTATTATCATTAATGTTTTATATTGAACATTGAACTACAATTAAAATAATTTATTATTTTTAATTATTTTTCTTTTAGCGAAACAACCATATAACTCGTTAACTACATGTAATCATTTTGTATTGGCTACAAGACGACATTCAAATTCTTATTTTATTGATTTGATTGATATTAATACTGAAAAATTAATAAACACTATTGATTCAAATACATGCAAATTACGTCGCCCAGCTGGTATGACAGCATTTACTGAAACTCAAAATTCTACTTTAGTAAATAACGATCAACATTTATTATATTATTTATTAGTAACTGATGTTGCAACAGATAGTGTTTATAAGTATCAATTTTTTTAGCAAAAAACAATTGTCTACTTAATCTTTGGTATAAAAAACCAATGTTGTATATTTCTCTCTATCTTGATATTTGTGTACTATTATTTTAGTGTAGTTTATGTTATGCATTAAAAAACAAAAATTCCTATAAATTTAATTTTCATAGCTTTCAAATATTCCATTTATTTTTCATTTGTGATCAATTTCTGATCTTTTGGTCGAATATTGGATCTATTTCATACCAACTCAGTTTTTAGTATATTTAATTATTAGAACAAGAAAAAATCTGCTTATTTATTTAAAAATTTAGTAAATAAAAGATTTACTTTGTTTAACTTTATGTGCTATAACATTTTTAATAATATATTATATTAAGGAGCTTATTAGATTTATATAGTATTAGAATTTTAACAGTAATTATACTAATGCCAATGAAGAAATTATACAATTTGAAAACTATGTAAAATATAACTTACAATTTTTTTTATTATTCATATTCTAGTCACATTTTTGTACTTATCTTTTCTTCTGTACAATATTATAAGATAAATTATAAAATAGTGTTCAGTTTCAAATAGCATTATAATATAATAATATAAATATTTGTATTGGAGATAATATGTCACTGAATATATTTAGTATAGTGCATTAATATAACTAACCATTTAAACAATATTGTTAGTTAAAAGTATGATGATTTTTACACATCAATTTATTTGTTATAACACTAACTTAGGGAAATATATGTTTTAATGTTAAATAAAGGCAAGCAACTACATAACATTTTGTAAGATATATACAGTATTTATTAAAAGTTTGCTACTTCTTTAATAAATGTACTTCAATTATTTTGAAATCTTATGCTTAACAGTTTTGACACGAGATTAAATAACTGACAGTTAAAATACAAGGAAAAAAATTTAATTTTAACGAGGTAAGTACATACACCTACACAGACTGAAAAATGTAAATTTACAATATTCACACTTACTTGGAATACTAATATATAAGGTAAATTAAAATGATAGGTATTGTTTTGTGGAAATAAAAAATAGGATTTCGTCATTACGATTTAATTATTACAAGACAAATTAATATTCCTTTATATTTTAAGTTTCTTTTAGTTATCTGCCAAGGTACTTCATAAATAAAATACATTTGTCTAAAAATTGACAACACATTATTAATTGTATTATAAGACTTTGAACATTATGAACATGTACAGTATTCAAACAGTATAATACCAGGTCTCTAAGTATAAAACCTGAATTTTTTACCAGAAAATATATATGTTTATTATATGAAATAGATAACAAATATTTTATTGGAAGTATTGCCCATTGTTAGCTATACATTTTTCCCATCTGTCTGGTAATTTGTGAATGCCTCACCAAAAAAAACTGTTGCTCTTTTGAGGTGACCCAATCATCTAGCCATTTGTGTATATTTTAGATTTATATTAATAATTATCCAGAACATAGAAAATAAGCACTGGTAAGATGCCATCGTTATTATATAGCCACCATGCTGTTATTCTCCAAATGTTAACAAGTACCTATTAATACATTCTATGATAGATTAATGAAATAATTGTAGTAGTATAGCACTATAGCCTATAATAATACCTATTAACTTATTACTTTGACATGTGGACTGCATGTGCCAATGGTGCTGCACTACAATATTATTAATTATTGATTATACTATTATTCAATTACTATAGGTGCCCTATCACTATACACTGTGATTACAATTTTGAATGATTGCAGATTTGATTTGAATCCGTTGAGTTAAAATACCCTGCCAGTTTAAAACTATGATGGGGCCCCCTTTGCCAGGCCATCCACCCCGGTTATTGCAAAATTTCTGGTAGAAATTTTTGTTACAGTATATAAAAAAAAAAAAATTAATAATTATAAACATCTTTGTAAAATTAATATGTTCTTCGCTACATTCAGAATTTAATATTTTAGAATTATGTCAGATAACATATTGCTTATATCTATTATATCTACTTCCGGATTAAATGCCCAAATGTAAGTCCTACTTCTCACGGGAGGGGGGATCACCCCCATCGATCCCCTCCTCAGGAACACGCTTGGACAAAATATTATTTTTGAATAGATTCATTTGAATAGGTGTATTTGAAAGCCGGAAAAAGTTTTCTGGTAAAATAATTAATTCCTTACAAAAAAATATTAAAATAATATTTATTAAAAACTTAATTTAAATACCTACAATATCTAAAACGAGTCTAAAATTTAAATAGGTAGGTACCTATATATTTATGGTATAAAAGAAATTTTGCTTTAATTTTTAGTATAATATGGAGTCCCTCAAAAGGTGATAGGTTTACCTAATACCTAATATTTGTTATAGGTGTATTATTATTTAATATGGCAATAGTATTGGCACTTACCTATAAATAATATTCAATTATATTACCAAATAATAGGTCAATATCATAACAGTTAATAGGTACTTATTAGTAAATATTAGGCAAGTACCTATAGTCAGTAAATTTATCGCACTGATAAATAACTTTGTTATTTGATTAACGCTCATTTTAGATTGAATTTTTTTTAAAAAAAATCGTTCATGCTATGTAAGTAAGCCTTTTAAATATGTATTCACTGGCCCACTAAATTCAAAATCAATAGCCCTTGCAGCACACCTCTATGGTACTAACAATAAATTATAGGTACCTACGATATATTATATAGGTACCTAGGAATTAATACCTCGCAGATAATATTTATTATATGTACTTAACCAATTTGATGAACGTGAACTGATAACTTCGGACTGACTTTTTTTCTAAGAAATTTGTATAAACGTAAAATAATTATAAACTATATTATGCTTTACAGGAGTACCTAATTCTCATACTTTGCAAAATGATCCAATTTTTTCTTCCATTATTATTGAAAAGTGGTATATTTTTAAGAGGTTACATTGAACTAGAATGTTAAAAATTGAATATCTATAATAGCTATATTTATAAACTCTATGCAATAATAAGAATAAGCAGAAAATTATTAATATGACCAAGTTTCTCAATTTGTTTAAAACATAATTATTTTTCGTATTTGTTAATTAGGTATTTACATAGGTAGGTACCTAATCAGAAATCGAGGAAAGAAAAGAACCAGATCTATATATCTATGTACCTATATTATTATCTGCATCAACTATTCGCTTCTAGCTGTAAATTTGTTACTGACGTATTGTTAGAATATATATTATACATCTTCAGTCCCAGGAAAGAAAGGCTTAATTATTGTTAACTGTTGGACATTTGTTTTTATAATTTTATCTAATGTAATTTTTTTCCTTAGAAGAAGGAAAACAATTCTACATTAAACAATATTTTTCCTTCCGTAGAAGTGCGTGTAGTAGGTAGGTATTTAAAAAAAAAAAAATATTAATTTATGTAGGCACCTCTAAGTGTAAGTGGATACACAACATGCATTTTTAAAATTTAATTTGCTTATATTGAAAAATTATGAAATTGATTTCAGTCCTCCTCAACCAAAGATGTTGGTAGGCAGGTAGCATAGGTATTATAATACACAGTAAAACCCCCATAGTAACGAAACCGCTCGGTATCAACTGATTTGTCCGTTATAAAGGGAAACTAAAATATAATGGATATAATATAGGTTATGCAGAAATGTTGTTGTTTTCCGTTTTGAGATTTCCGCCTTGTAGGGGGTCCGTTATTTTAAAGGAGATGATTTTACTGTAGGTAATTATCGGTGTTTTACGGATTTATAGTTTTGATGTGGGTATCAGGTAGGTGTACAGGTAGTACTAATAAAAAAATTAGTTACCTAGATTAATTTAAAATAGATTAATGATACATTCGTTCATCTAAATAATATTGTATTTATAAATATGTATATTCATAGTTTTGTGTATTAATATAAGTAATGTAGTTAGGTGGGTACCTAATTTTAAAATATAAACCGGTACATATAATATAGGTAGGTATATAATATTATTATTACATTTTTATCATTTTATACACGCATATCATAATATAATAAAGTATATAATGTAAAGTTATTTGGTGGGAGTCACTGGGACGGGTACATCATCGTTTGTTTTTTACTTCTTAGTATAGATAGGTTTACTTATATCCTAACCTATGATATAGGTACAATAGATACATAGGTAATATTATACAAATACAGTATTTTATACTTCATGTGTGTGTGTGTGTGTATATATATATATATATATATATGTATAATATGTATAGGTAGAGGTATACACTTTACGAGTTCGCCACTGTTTAACGCGTTTATATGATTATAAGAAACATGGGTACATTTTATAAACTACTTTTATGCAAACTCAAACATAATAATATTCAAAATATATTATAAATTATAAACTCTATATGAAGGTATATTTAGTATACATAATAATATAATCATGAATAATAGGTAGGTACTTAATACAATTAAGTCGGTTTAAACCGCTAAACACGAAACAAAAATAAATGATATACGGACCAATATAATATAAAGTTATAATATTTTTATCAAAACAAAATACAGGTTACTTATCCAACCTCGGTCTCTTAACCATTACCATTGATTTTATAATATATTATTATAGAATCATTGTCACTTTCCAATATACTAGGTAGGTGCTAGGTAAATGTCTATAATAATAATCGATAATACATATTAGAATAAATATGTATACATAATAGGTATACTTATTAGAAAAAAAATAAAAAATAAAAATATTCTGATTAAACAAAGTTGATGGGCAGATACAATTGTTTGGTGTTTCAACCGGGTAGGTTTGCACCGTAAAACATAGATCGGAAACGAAGGGATATAATATTATGTAATGTAATAGCGGTGACTGTTAGTTAGGTAGTAATAATATTGTGATTGTCAGAAAAATATCGTGAAGTCTGTGTAACGTAATTATTATAGGTTAGGTACCTATACATAGATAATACAATAAATCAGATAGTTGTGATATATAATAATAATTATGTATCGCGTAGTATTGTACGTAGTTAGGTAGGTAGATAGGTAATAATAATAACTGTGATAATAATATTAATAACCGCTGTTATGGGATTTCGTTGACAGGTGATGAGCCGAGGACGAGCCGCTTATTGTGCGGACCGTGTTTTTCAACGCCTGGCGCTTGTTGCAAAACCAAATGCGTATCACTTCGCGTTCGTAACCCAGCCTGTGCGCCAGTCCGGTGATCTCGGATCCTGCAAAGTCGGTACAGATCGGTAAGTACACGACGAAATTAATAATAACACGACTATTACATTATAATACGCGTGAACCGTGAACCCACTGAAGTGACACGAGTATATGGGGTAGGTACTGTGCTGTTTTTTTTTTTTTTTCCAACTATTAAGACAATTACGGTATAATATTATAAAGGTATGGTACATATTGTATACGTATATGCATACCGGTTCGGAGTACTTTTTGATTTTGATTCTGGGGGGGGGGGTGGAGGGGAAAGTATTTTTGTTTAAAACAGAACACGTCGGTTGTAACACAAACCGAAGTGCGCATTCTGCTCGGACGCGATTTTGATCTGTTCGCATATTCGCGGGTATCGTTTTAGAAGGACAATAAAAATATACATTATTATAGCGATATAATGAAACATGGTGTTATCAAAGCTGATGAGTTGTCTACTCGATTTCAGTAACAGAGTAGATTACAATACACACCTTGATTTACTAAAAGAAAAAAATTAATTGTTAATAGTTACAAGCAAATTACGACCCAGGTAATTCGTATGTAAACTTTGAAATAGTATTTTATTTTAAATTTATAAAAATTAACGATTTTTCGTAAAACAAAATGTCGTATGGTGAATACTATTAATTATCATTATACGTGCAGTTTCAATTTTATCATCAAATCGGGTACTACGGTTAATTGAAAGGGTAGATATTATCTAAGATCGGGGTCGTCTCGAAGTTGTTATTATAATACAACCCTTTCGGTTATCAAAAAGTTGACTTTCCGCGTTAAACCTTGAGGTACTTGTATCTACATTAACGATGGTTCATCTGCTATACAAAAAATGCGTTACTTATTATCATTATCACGGTAGGTACAAATACACGGACACCCAATAGGTACTGTACCCATCTACATAACATTATTAGAAATATTGTCACTTGCACTTTTCAAATTTAATGAATAACCTAATTTTTCGGTAACTTTATACAGCTCGTCACTTGTCAGCTTTGGATACTGTACGGCAATCGTATTGTTGTGTATTTTCACCTGATGGATGTGTATTGCGCTCGAAATGACCATTCAATAGTTCTAGGGCGTGGGGTGTGAACGAAGTTCGTCTCTTTCGTTTCTTGCACGACGTTAAGCTGTCAGTCCCAGCGCCACTCGAATTCGTTGAAACGCCTCCTCCGTTCAACAACTCCACTGCCACGGCGGCGGCGGCGGCGGCGGCCGCGGCGTTGTATCTCTGGTTCGTGTGGCCACCGCCACTGGCGACATTCTTTATGTTGTTACTATTGTTATTGTAATAATATCTATAAATGTGGAATTAACATGTTAGTGCATAATAAATTGTTGAACGTGCGATTTGCTGTCGGAGAGGACAATGGGCAATGGGCAACGGGCAGGTAATATACACATACCTATTATTAACCAGGGTTCGGGGGAATTTCGCTTATTTTTTTCGCAGGCCGGACATACAATTTATCAGAGCGCCATGGAAACTCGTGTCATGTCGCAATGATCTCAAATATGAAATTTTGAAAGTTTTTTTTTTTCAGTGTTTACCAGTTGCGGTCAAAATCAAAAAATACATACTAGTTGCGGTCACCCAATAAAAAGTTTACCTACTAGGTACTGAACATTTTCCTTAACATTTATAACATACTTGCAACTTTCTCCACTTGTATGGTTAAAATTTTTGTTTTATACAATTATTAAAACTGAAATGTCATTGTATAAATGTAAAATTATACTAAAATTCAGAGGGTACAAATTCAAAGCAAATCGATTTTACATACTCGAGTCTATTTATTTCACTTTTTTCATAATAACGAATTTGTTGCGCTAGACAATTTTATTTTTTGGTTGAAACCGAAAATTATATTGATAACAGTTAGTTAAACTTAACGTTTTACCCAATAATTAAAACATCAAGTTTTATTTTTGAAATCATATTAACAACACACATTGGAAATGTTGTGCTTTAAAACTCACTAAGTTGAGTTATTGAATAATTTGAACAATTTAACACGTGGCTGCAATTCAGATATACAATATAACTGGGGTGACTGCAACTGTTTAAAATGTAAGAACTAAAAACTTAGAAATTTATTTTTAAAAAGTCTATAAGAAGTATAATAAAGAACTTAAAATGTTTTCAAAAACTCAAAAATGCTAAAAGTTTTTGATTTTTTAAAAATACACGTTTAATGTTCTTAATTGTAAAAATTAAATGACAATATAAAAAAAAAATTGTTTTTTGCTGTGCTTTTTTTTGCTTATTTAAATATTTTTAAGTGCTTATTTGAGTAGTATGAAGTATTCAAGCGCTTTTTTTATCATTTATTTTGATGATTATAAGTGCTATAAATCCCGAACCCTGATTATAAGGTAGTGACGGTGAAAATAATTTTATCATGGATTATTCTTGATTTTTTTTAAGATTTATAGACGGGTGGGTGATTAATATGAAAATAATTAAATTTATTAGTATTCATTTACTACTGATTTAGTAAAAATGGGCGAACATTTTGACTTAATGTTAGTTGGTGGAGATATATATATATATATATATATATGTATGTATATTAGAGTGTTGATTATTATTGTAGGTTGTTTCTGAGTTATTTTGGGTTCGTTTAATCACTGAGCATTGGGCACATATAAATTATCTTAAAAAGATTTCCCTACTATATTATACGTAGATAATATGTAAAAACTGTTAAGTTCATCAAAAACAACACAAACACCATTAGACATTGACGTCATAGGTTAATTTAAAACATTGGTGGCACTTGTCTACTGCCTATGTTCATTGTTACTGGCGAAAATGCACCACATAATGATAACGTTCACTCAAGTTTATTTTGTTTTCCTTTGTATACATGTATAATCATTAAGTTATGTTGTTACCTATGTAAACAAATTCAATGTATCCAACATAATTTTTCTATGATTTGTTCTACAATAATTATTTATAACATCTTTCTATAAGCAATTTATGTACGTGTACAGTATGCAGTAGTAAAAATATGTTTAGGGAGTTAAAGTTGCCCATTGGGACATAATAATATCCCATGAGGATAATAGTATTCATCATAATTTTTTTGTTTACCGCTGCTCGTCCATCATCCATTTTTCCAGCACTGCTGGGTTGACTACGCTCATCATATTATTTGTCTTGGAGTTGTTATTATTATTGTTGTTGTTGTTGTTGCTATATGCTTGATTCGGGTTTTTAGTGTTGCTATTGTCTAAATTATCAAACCTATATGTATAAAAAAAAAAAAAAAAAAATCAAAATTGTATTATGTTGAGCTATTTCTATACAAATACAGTAATTTTTAAACATTTGGGTAAAAATGCAACATTTTTTGACGGTAAAAAAGGAATGTAGATTTTATAATATTCTAGTAAAATATACACATTCACTTCTGTGAATTATTTAAGACCTGTTATTTTCAACTTTTTTACATTCTACCTTTTATTTTTTCTCTGTATAAACCACATGCTTTTTTCATTTGTTATCATTGTATTACTCTCTATCTCAACTCAAGCAATAGCTTAAATAAATAGATAATCATGTAAATCATTTATATATTTTTTGAATTATACGATTTATGATGGTTCAATATGTAATAAAAAAAACAAAACAAGTTAGGAAAGACCTCTCTGCCAGCATGCAAAGTTTCCGGTTTCTAAGCGTAATTTAAAAAAGAACAGTAATTATATAATATGAAATTTTGAAAGAATTTAGTGACCTAATATATTATGCTTATATGGAGAAGAGAACTGAATAAATTAAATATTTTAATTTGTAAATAATTGATAGGACATTTTTAAATTCCTAAAGTACTTATATTTTAATACTGAATAGTGTACATTTTTATTTAATATTCGAATTAATAATAATAATAACAATGAATTAATAATGTTACACATAATATACATATTATTGTCAACCGGATCAAAACAGTAAATATAAGGATAGACAGACAACAACTGAGTTATAAAAAGTTCTAAATATATGTTTAGAAACCTTAACTATACTAATTTAAATAACGCTAAGTAATTATTGTAGGAAGCTAAATGATCTAGTCTGGTAGATATCAAATTTATCACTCTAATATATATTTTATTTGTATAATATATAATAAAGTCCGAAACAAAAATGGTATTATTTGATTTGGTATAGTTGCATTGGTGATTGTATATCAGTAGTAATAATTAATATTTCTTACATTGGTCGTTGTGCAGCAGCTAGTTGAGAAGCACAAAGCATGTGTGTTGCCAGAGCTCTGTAAAGTAAATAAGTGTGTAAACAACATTTATATTTCATTATGTACAAAATACTTGCCTAACATTTGACTGTGTTTATTATTTTTTTATTTTTAGGATATTGTAAACGAGTAGATATATTATTATTATGTACTTACGTGCAAATTGCGTTCTGTTGATTGTATGCAGCAACCGCAGCTGATGTAGAATTATTGTCTCCTTTGGTTGGTTTTGTTGGGCATTTGAGTTGAGAAGATGGCTGTCCTAACAATTTTAAAGTATTCATATTTATGGAAGACATTGAATTCGGCTGAGTAATTCCATGAGAAGTTTGATGTTGGGATTGTTGTTTATCATCTGAAAATAACTCTCCTATTAAACGATTGTTACTTAATAAGTGTTAAAATAATAAGCCGTAGAATTTATGGCTATACAAATCTCTATGTTTAATTGAAATGTTTACCCTCATCATTTTCTTCAGCACCATTATGTTGTAACTCAGTTGATGTAATTCCTGTTGGCCATGCATTTGTTTGACGTTGAATTGCGTCTGCACCACTTTTATTTATACTAGTCCTCGGATGTATAGGTGGAGACATTGGTGTCGCGATACTGTTGTTGTTTGGATAAATACGACTATCCCCATTTATACCTGATGGTGTTTGGATCATAGTTGATTCTTTTGAGCGTTGTGTGTTCATTAATTCGCCACTTCCTAGATTTTTAGTGCGAGGTAATGGTTTTTGTTGTGGCTGTTGACAATAAAATTGTTTGATTAAAAACAGAATATGGTTGCGTGTAGGTATGTGGTATATATTTCAAATTCAGTGGCGTAGTATGCCTGTATGTTGTGTAGTGTGTATACCTAGCATACACTTCAAAAATTAAAAAAGTTATTTTTTTTTTATTTTTTTCGTAATATCTTCATGGGAATCGATCAATCGCAATACGGCGACCGTGCGAATTCATGAGTCAAATATTTTCAACCTATACATTAAGATGAAACCCACGCTACGCCGCTACGCCAACAAGAAGTGAATATACGTGGAACAAAAACTGAATAACCAAAATAAAAGATTTCAGACCGATCGGTACCAATCAATCATCATTACAATCAAATTGCGCCCAAGTTTGCATCGAATAGGCAACATATATATTACTCTATGTATACCGTATAATATACCTATTCTATACTCACCTATATAGTATACATATTTTATATTGTCAATGGCGCCGAAGTATATTTTTTTTAGTGTGGCAAGTAAAAAAAAAATATAGCACTCTATTATTGATAACAAGCTTATAGTGGTCACGGAAAAGCTATAAATTATATTTGTATGTTATGGTAAAAATACGAACACCAATTAAACTTTGGATTTATCGATAAATTCTAGGTTTTGCCAACTGCTATTGGTAAATTTTCGAATATCATTTTTAATTTTTACTGATTATGTGATTTTATTCTGCTTGTTTTATACTCTTATATCATTACAAAATTAAATTATGTGTTCATATTACTATTATGTATCACTTCAAAAATTAAAATAATTATCATATATTAGGTGTAATTGGATATACAAAAACAAGAAAAAAAATGAAGACATCGTATAATGTTTCGTGTATTAATTGGCAGTGGCAGATCCAGAGGTGGAGAGAGAGTAGCAGAAATCTACCAGAAATCTTACTTCAATCAAAAAATAAATTAGCAATGATCTATCGGTGCTTACAGATATAAATTAAATAACCTTATACTTATGGACGTACTACCTTCTTAAATTTCCACCTATAACAGTTTAGATGCACCCGTCTCTAGTATCACCTAACCTTTTTTTGTTTTGCTTAGTAGTAATTTTTTTTAGGGGCTCCCGAATTCAACTCTGGATCCATTAGTGTTAATTGGACAGTCAAAATTAAAATGTCGAAAGTTCGTCAATGTAAAGTTGATGCCCGAAGATTACTTGCTGTGGTGTTAAAAGCTGTGAATGGAGATTTTTATCGTTTGAATCAATTTACTCTATATGAAGTAAATTTTTTAGAATCAGCAAGGATTCCCGAAAATGGAATTGAAATTTATCAAGTGGTATTACAACTATCTTTGGCAAGGATTAATAGGTAAGGTTTGACTGCACGAACAAATGCACGCCAAATTAATTAATATCGATAAAAAAAATGTACCGATTCAAAATGCCACATTAGACGCTGCCGTGGCTGGTGCAGCCTGAACAAATAAATAAAAATATTATTGTAATACAAATATACCTAGGTACCTATAATATACAATAATTATTTAAATTTGTGTAGTAATATTTAATAATAATATAAACTTGTAATTATATAGTATACTAATTGGAATTATATACGAGTACAAAGCACGAAGGGAAAAAATCATACGATATACAGAATAAACGAAATTTCTGACTTTTACCAAACCTCGTTTGTTCGAACCTATACAAATTATTTGGTGTTTGACCAAACTATTTTGTACATTCGAGATTTTAAAGAAATACATTCGGTAAAACCAAGGGTTCACCGTACCTAGCATACGTATATTATATTATACGATCGTGATGGTAGACTTACGGAACCGATTGGACTGTACACTCTGCTAGGCTGCGTCGATAACGACCTTCACAGCTACAATATTATATAGCCAAGTCGTCTGAAGACAAATATTACGAACGGCAACGCACGAAGACAAAATCGAATCAACGTGACTACGAGATGTACGTTGGATTTCTTGATTGACGGTACAATAATACGCGTTGGTAATGAATGCCGGCAGAACGAAAATATTAAAATATTGTACGGCGAACGAAAAAAAAAAAAAAAAAAAAGGTTTCACGGTGACGAGAAAAGCAGAACTACTGTACAAAATAGTTGTAACAATATGTGATGCAACAATATCGACTGATGAGAGCGAAAGAATACTAATTAATAAACTATTTATATTTAGGATGTGGAAAAAATTAGTAGGCAAATCGATAATAAATTAATCGATAACAAACCGAGAGGCCACGGGAAGACTCCGTAAAACGTTACATAATATTATTACTAATGATGTAAAAACCATGTGGAATATGGAAAACACATTATTTTAATTGAGTATACTCTAATCTAAAATAGTTTCGACAGATATGGATTGAACAGTGGAGTAGCGGAATAGAACAGCCGTTTATTATCGAACGGGGCGAAGCGGATGTGAGGAACCTATATGTAATATATATATATATATATACTATCCTTAGACACTGGGTCGATTTAGTTTAATCGCTCCCCTCAAAAGAAAAAACAAATTAATGCATATTACAATCAAGTTCTACAATACAATATTATAATATTCGGTAGGTACTTACTGATAAAAAATTGTGTTTTTTACTAGTGAGGTCGGGAGGAGATTGCCATTTTAGACGCTGTAAAGCGTTGTTATATTGGTCAGCTGCGGTCGTATCGTTATTGACATTTCCGAGTGTATCGGACACGTTAGTCGTGTCTTCGGTGATAGTTTGGTTTTGTTGAAAATAACGATTAAGTGATGGTACAGATGGTAATGACGGTTGGCATATTTGATTGAGCTGTTCGTTATTGATTTTTTTTCGAACATTACTTGATGGACTATACAACTGTTGCTGATTAGGAATAGGAGCTGTGATTGTAGACGCAACCATATCGTTTATGGGTATAGCTAGTATGGTTTGTGTCATAATACCTATAACAATGCAAAGAATATAGTATTTCGTATTAATACTCGATACTGAAAATTGGTAGTACAATAATGGTTATATATACTGTAGTTTGTAATTTTAGATTTTGAGTGGAGCGAAGAAGCTCGCGGTTTTATAATGATGTTTATTTTATTTTTTTTGTGGACAACTCTACTATCAGGAATCTTGCTTCGATTTACAATGGCAGCACTTTTTCTAAAAGGAAACCTGACTGGGGAGGTACTTTAAGGAGGACATTTTTAAATTTTCTCAGAAGTTTTCCTAATAAATGGGAAAAACTGTGAAAAAATATTAAAAAAACGTAGGAAAAACGGGAAAATAGGCACAATATTAAACAAATATTATTAAAGAAAATATATAATGCCTATGCTGTTATTTTGCCATAATATGACATACATATTGTTGATAAAGCAACACTATCAACTTAACTCCGTTCAAAATCGTTTTTTCGTTAGAAATGGTTTATCGCTGCTTTCAGATATACATTAAATTTTCCTTCTACTACCTTCCTGACTTTTTAATAGTTATTTTACCTCGAGCTGTTGGTATCAATAACTGAGCCGCTTGTAAACATCCTGTAGTAAGTTGACCAGAAGTCAACAATAGTTGAGGCGGTGGAGCCGGGACTTTATCGTCCGGAGATTGCTGCTTATTCTGTTTATTATTGTTGTCCGATGTAATATTCCAGGGAAAAGAAGCTTCTGTTGTTGGTAAATTGTGACCGTTCACCATGTAGTCATCCGCGTTGAGGACATTTCCAAACTCATTTTTCTCTTCATTTTCGTCGTCATATTCGCCTTCATCGTAAATTTCACTCTTGTTACCACTACCCTCTTCCGAGCCTAACATTTATAATATGGTTAACAATATAATACGATTGTTTGTTTATTTATAAATTATTCTCAAAATTGTACAAACCTTGGGAACGGGTTAGATTCAGAGGTGACTGAGATAAAAATTCGTCATTGCTTGTCTCACTGTTCATACAATTATTATTGGCTAGGATTGTACTCGTATGATTATCGAAATCTGTACTGTCTACTACAGACGGATTTTTGTCATTGATTAAAAGGTTTTTGATCGGTCGTTCTACCGAGCTTAACGATATCGTCGGTTCATCTGTCATGACAATGTATAATAGTTAAGTAATTTTGTATTCAGAAAAAACAAAACATGTTAGTTGGTTAGGTTAGGTTAGGACTATAAGAATGGAATTCGAAATTTGTTTCCCTGATATTTTCTTTTCTAATTTTAGATTCTAAGTACAGAGAGGAGTGTATTGGTTTTTTCTTTTCTATCTGTGAACAACTTTCCTTTTGCTCTATTTATAATTTAGAGGTGGTTTCTGATATCAAATGTTGTCTAGTTTATTACGAAGATCATAAAAAATTACGGCATATCAAAATATGTTTAACCGAACATCGCTCAGAATCGTTTTTTGTTAGTAATGATTTATCATAATATAGACATAAAATAAATAACTTAATGTGTTCTATTTTTCTAACATCCAACCTACAACAATGGAACACCCGTCAGCAAAATACCAGTATCGGGTCTTTTTTAAATGTTACACTATAATTGTATGATGCCATTTACATAGAATTTAATTTTTAGAAAATTTAAGAAACAAATAGCTGTAAAATGTTACAATACAGTTTTTTGTTATATATTTTGTATTTGTGGGTGAAAACGGGTATTTTAAATTTCGAAGTTCACAAGTTGAAATTAGTTAAAAATGTCAACAACATATTTAAACTAAAACTCCATTTATTTATGGAATTTTTTATACAGTTTTATCAGTTTTTATACAACTATTTGTAAACAAATTTAGCCCATAAAAATAGGAGAAAAAAAATAACGATAATGTTACATTTTAGAACGAGGACCTGCCATATTGAAGGGGTATCGTATTAGCAATTTTCTTGAAACGTTAAGAAAATGCAATTGCATGAATTCAAAAATATTCAAATTCACTTTAAAATAAATGTACAAGTAGTTCCGTGATATAATCACATGCACTTATTATGTAATCGTGAAATTAATAAAAATGTTTTCGAAAAATTGTTTGACGCGAGCAAATCTATTTGGGCATGGACATATTTATAAAACCAATTTTTTATCTTAAAATAAAGAGAACTTTCAATGTACGTCGTTGGTTTTAGTTTTTCGATATTACTATTATAAAATAAATTATTCCAGTTGAACAACTTAAAATTATCAGATGTTTAAACAATATAATAACTCTGTTTGTATTTGTAATGTAAAAAAATTAAAATCAACGTTGCACTGTGTAAGGTCTCCTTTTTCTATGGCGAAAATTTAATATCTTAAGTAAGTCTGTAGCCAGAGTAGTTTTGCTGCGCAGTTTTTACAGTGGCATTAAGGACGTTAGCATATCCTCTTAAATATTATGAAAAAAGAAATTCCGAAAAGTTCAGTTTTTCGACATAATGAGTGTATTGCGTTATGTTGATCCCCCTGTATAATACACATTTTAAAGCAATTATTTAGAATCAATAACATTATGATAATTTATATTTGTGAACGTTATTGAATACTTCTTTACAATTCTATATTTTCGAAATTATAAAGCCGTTTTGAAAAGCAGTATTAAATTTGTTTTTTTATTTTAAATACCTGGTTATATCTACTACCGAACCAAATAAATTTACAATGTTAAATATGAATAATATATTATATTACTTACGTATCATTTTGTTATTTTCATTGTCATTATTTTTTTCCGAATACGTTAAGGAGATTTCATTGTCGGTATTGCACGTACTCAATATGGGAAGCTGGTTTACTGCATTGATTATCTCCGGTATCATAAAATCTCCTCCGTTATTACAACTGTTGTTGTTGATCATTGTTGTCTGTTGGTAGTTATCCTATATTTATAAATATAGATAAAACATGGTATAAGTTATACGTACTTTTTGTATTAACTGCCTATTAATACATGTACATTATAATATCGTGTTAATACAATTTAGAAAACGGTTTACAAACACGGTAGAAAGTATTTAATTTACAACAGATAATATGTACTCATATACATAATATAACAAAAAAATGTATAATATTACACTTTACAGAGTGACATTATCACGAAAAGTGATTGCAATATTTAAATAATCGTTAAGTAAGCGAACTTAGAATTAGACTGAAATTAAACCGCAATTAAAATTTACATTATTTCAGTATCGAAACATTCCGAACATTGGAAGGGCACGATTTCTAAAACACGAGAGTATAATATGAAGGAGGAATACAGAAATTAATTATTAAGATCGGGTCTAGTGAACCGTCAAGAGGGTAAGAGTAAAATGTAAGTCAGCATTACTCAGGTGACTAAATTGCCGCAGTGAGGAAATGTTGAATGAGTTGCAAATAAAGGAATACATTTAAAGTGCTATCATAAAGTGATCGATCAATTTTGAGTACACTATAATATTATGCAGGACGCGTTTAAAAATTATTTTGGATTTACGCTCAAGTCGTATAGTTGGTCATTAGCTATGTATATATATAGGCAATACGAAGCTGATCAAAGACAATAGTTAAAGCTAACGGAGACGACCATAATATATGGCAATTAATGCACAATAAATAACAAAATCCCGACGTCTAGCAAAGTGATAACTGATAACATGTTATATGTTCAGAACGAGTCTTGGGTCTAAGCTAAAACTTGATAATATGAGAATTTAAGAAACAAACAGCTGGTTTCCGGAGACATCGTTTTTAGATTCTATTCGTAAAAACAATGCATTGGTTTTACTATGATGTGTGCTTTTTTTTTTCTGTCTGCGAACAACTCTTCTGTGAGAAGTTAATAAAAAAAATGACAAGAGACCTTTTTTTGTTCAATTTTAGATTTATGATAATACATTGAAGATATCATTTTTTAATTTTCGAAATGGTTTTCATAGTTAATGGAAAAAATAAGTTAAATAAAAACTGACAAAATGTACGTATTATGTAAATATCTATCTCTATATATTATAGTATTGACTAATTTAATTAAGTAATTACTAGTAAGTTAATTTTTTCCAATTTTGTTTTCTACCGGACATGTTACTCCAACTTTTAAGATCACTAAGCATATTTTTTGAACCAAAATGTGTCTAGTTGGTGTATAAAGAAGCCGTTTTCCTTATAATCAAAAAAACAATCTTAGAAAAGGAAACATCGGAAAATTTGCACCATTAACGGTTTCATTATTTTCGATTTTGCTGTAAATCAGTAAAAAGATCGTAGACACGTGGTGAAATTTTCAAAATATCTGGCGATTTTTGAGCCGTTTAAAGGCATTTGACATTTCCGTGTTTTTCAGTTTTTATATGGATATAATTGTTTGGTCGAACAATTTCTGCTCAGCTTTAAAATTTAATACAAAGTTCATTATAAATAATGCCAAGTGGTAAAAAAAGTAAAGTTGAGAGTAATGTAGAAGTTTTTTTTTTATAAGAGTTTAAGTTCAAATTTTGACAAAAATCTTAAAAATCACGGTATTTTAAAACGTGTTTAAGTGAACTTTTTGTTGCTTCTGGTTCGTAGTTTCATATAGATATAAATTAAATAATTTTATGTATCCTACGTTCTCAACTTCTCACTTATTAACAGCGGCACACTTATCCCCAATAACAGCTTTTTATTTTTTTAAATTTTTAGATTCTAAGCGGAGCGAGGAATGTTTTGGTTTTACAATGATTATTTTATTTATTTTTCTACCGGCAATTTTTCTCTAATTTTCAATCATAGTACTGTTTCTGAAAGGAAATCTGGACTGAGGTGGTACTTTAGGGATGTAATTTTTTGATTTTCTCAATCGTTTTCATAATACACGGGAAAAACGTAGGATAAATGGGAAAATAGGTACAATATTAAACAAATATTATTAAAGAAAATATATAATTCATTATTATACCATAATATGACGTATATATATATTGTTGGTAAAGCAACACTATTAACCGAACTGAATCAGTTGAGAATCGTTTTTCGTTAGCAATGGTTAACCGTTGCATATAGATATACATTAAATTTCCACTCTACCTTCCTAACTTCTCAATACATACAACAATGGTGCACCCATTGTGCAAAGTATGTCTGTATCTTTTTTTTTTTTTTCATTTGTCCGTCTCCTCATAATTTTCAATGGCCGTTTTATTCACATAATTTGTCAGTATATGCGTATGTATGTAAATAAAGTTTTTCTTTTCTCAAAGTGAAATTCGCAAATATAAAATATTATTATTATGTATGGTGTGTGGGCGAATGCATTTACGGTAATTTTCGATTTTCAACAAAATATTCTGCCAGAGGCGAGTGCTTATAATTACTGAATTATTAACGTTTGAAAAGATATTTCATACTTCAATAGGTAATAATTATTACGTTTTACTAATAATAGGAGATTTATTTGTTCGATAAATTATTGTAATTATTTGTGTTTTAGTACTCCTAGTATACCTATATCCTAATATATATATATATATATACCTATGTCCTGCATTAATAATGAACTTCATTAAATGAAGTATACCTATACAGTATGTATTTTAAATACATCTATTATATATAATAATTTGATTTTCCACTTATATTTATAAAGGTATTATATATAGGTGCTTGGGAAGTTTTAGACACGAAAAGACTTTTTAAACAAATTATAATTATAAGATAATTTATAGTTTATACCTATCGCGGTATTGATTTTGAGCACTTACACGATTTGCCGATTAGTATAATATTATAAAGGTAAAGTACAATATTTTATAGGTAATCGTTTTGTCTATTAATGCAATTAATAAATAATAAATACAATTTCCTTACAAAATTGAGATTTTTAGCGGAAACCCGCGGCCGTGTATAAAAATGAGATATATTTTTAAGTTGTAATTTTGACTCAAACAAAATCTCTAATAAACTTTATAGTAGGTATATTTATAATCTGTATGTCCGTTATTATAATAATAATTACATGACCTAATGTTTTACAACTACATATTGCATTTGAAAATGCTACAAATACGTGTCCTAAAAAAGGAAAAAAAAAGCGTCACATTATTATATTTTCACTTAACTATATACTTATTTTGTTTGTATATTACTTTTATATTTCCATTTTTTATATATTCTCATTTTTTTGTTATTATTAAATGTATAGGTATAGGTATAATGATATTATAGGTAACTTTATTTTTTTTGTTTAGTTTTTACAAAACAGAAGCAATGTGCAATGTGCATGTATAAAAAAAAAAAAATGTCAACTTTATGAAATTGTATAATAATAAAAAAATAAACACTTTGTACGGCGCTTTGAACTTTAAGGTACATTTTTAAAACGGTGTGTATGTGTAGTTGATATTATATCAAACACATCACAGCGTCTGTTTTATATAATTTCACAAAGTTTCACAAGGTCTACCTCGCTTAACAAGAAAAATAAAATCAATTTTAATCATTGTGTAACGGTATTTTTAATATGTTTTGTAGATTCGAAGGTATATAGTTAATTTATTTTATTAATTATAGACTATAATAAATTTGGGTAACAGCTATTATTATAGGATTTTTTTTTTTTTTTTTTATTAATATAATATTACTTTTTAATATCTTATATTATACGAGTTTGGATATAGTTACATGATTATTATAATGTTATCCATCATGTCCAAAAATCATTCAGAACATGACGATGAATTTTTTTTTATTGAAGTCGCGGTAAAGCGCATTACAATAATATATAGATTAATAGAAAATTCAAATTTAAATTCCAATTATACATTCGTAAGTGTCAATAAAAAAAAAAAAAAACTAAACTGGCATATTTTACAACATGACTTGAGTTAGAAAAATAAGGTTAGATGTAATATTATATTGCAATAGTTAAAATCCCGAACACAATGACGGAACGTTGCAAACACATACAATTCTGAGAGGAGCTCGGTTAACTCGGTTGCCCGTGCCAATTAAGGGTCGTTCTCACATACGTGAAAATAGGCGTTTATCTGATTCTTAAACTGAGTTTATGGCTGATAATCGCCCTCGATTGGTCGATTATCTTATAAACTCCGTTTAAAAATCAACGTTTACGTTGGTGAGAACGGGCCTAAATATTATTAGTATAAGTATTGAAGTATTATTATTATTATTATTTTTTTTTTTATCGTGAACTCGTAAATGGAAAAACAAAAGGATTTTCAAAAAATGATCTATCCGTCTGGATTCAAAATACTACCCCAGATAACTCATACCCGATACGCAATTTTCGAGTTGAGTATAAGTATATCTACGTCGTAAGTCCAAAACTAGTTTACAGACGTAAAAAACGAAAACACATCATAATATATAGTTTAACCTGCAACGCATTTTTCGTTCCACTCAAAATTAAAAAAAAAAAAAAAAAAACCAAACGAACATACTTTGCATAATAGGCCACTGGTGAGATGTTGGGAAGGTAGAGGGGATATTTAATGTATGTCTGTACGCAACGGTTAATCATTCTTAACAAAAACCTATTCTGAGCGGAGTTTATACGTTTTGAAAGGCCGTAATATTTACGATTTGAAAATAATGAATTTCGTATATTTTCCCGTTTGTCATACGTTTTTCCCATGTATTCAGAAATCTCCTGGGAAATTCCAAAAATTACCAGAATCAGAACCTGCTCAGAATCTAAATAAGTACATGGTTCTTAGTGGCTCGAATAGGTTTCGTTTTAAACACGAACATTTATATTTTCGGGTTTTTTTTTGCTACACCTACATTTTTGATTTTTCCGACCATGAAGTAAGAGAATTTGAATTTAAAAAATTGGCAGTCGTATAAATAATAGATACTCAAAAAGTTCAATGGAGGGAGGGGGTATGTATATATCTCTCTAATCTTTTACCCTTAAATACGACCCTGCGTGGCGGGCATATTATACATATGTGCGATCTTAACAATCTGAAGCAGTATTGTCGGCCGTGTTCGATTTTTCAATCGAAAGAAGTAGGTATACGTATACATATATATTCTATTTGAGTACTATATTTTATATTATTTTTCTTGTGCGTTCTATAAAAAATAAAATAAAAAAAAAAAAATCTACCGTGGTTAAATCAATAAACTTCCTCGCTCCGCGCGAAATCTTCACTAAATCGATTGGATGCTCCGGATTATTTTATTAAATAATATTTTGTAGAAACAAATTCCGGTATTAACGCAATATATTTCAAAGGTTATTCGTAAACTAATAAGTTAAATTAAAAATATTTATTTCGACGTCGTTACTGCAGTTGTGTATTATTATAATAAAAACACAGCCTACGTTTCGTCGTTTTCGTTACTAATAACTAAAATACCAACTATATAATTATATTTTAATTAGAAAATAATCGCATCTTTTTTGCCGGACGGCTGGAATTTAATATTTCAAAATCATTCTTTACGAAAGCGTACAATTTATTTTATCGTTTTCTCGATGGTGTTGAACATATACTTATACATTATCTATCTACGGTTGTCTATATACAGTGGTGGCGTGAACTTTTTTATTTTATGAGGCAAACATAGATGTTAACGCTACCACCCAAGTTTAATTGGACAGAGTCGTGGGGACGAAGCCCCCGAACATCGCCCCCCCCCATCTTCACCAATTTACTATTACACAAATATATTCTTTAAGTCATGGTGATTTTATATTTTAATAATACATAAATACCTATTTTCTCTTTTGCAATCCGTCAATACAAGAGAACATCGGACTAATAATCAAAATGACGATCCATGTAAAATATATGACATTTAATCGACAGACTTTAGAAGTCTGCGGGATTTTTTTTTTAAAAATTAATTTATACAATAGTTAAAGTGAATTAGATATATTAACTTAATATAAATATATATTTACTTTATATCAATAACAATATACGTTTATTTGAACAATACAGTATTAAGTATAAAGTATCAGTTGGCAATAATTGATATTTTTAGCCCGGGGGCACCACCACCCAATTGGTCACGAGGCCGTCGCCTCATGAGTTACGGTGTTCGTCAATTGCATCGATTTTGGGACGCAACCTGTATTATATACATCTATTGCGCCGGTACAAAAAAGGCTTATTAAAAAGGTGTACACCAATTGCGCCGATCGATATTCGAATGTAAAAATTGTTGTATGCCAATTGCGCCGATCGATAATCCGTGTTGTAATCTAATTCATCTAAGAATAATTTTCCGTACTATTTATCATGCAACAATATCGATTGATATTCGTTTGCGTCGTTATACTCTGGAAAACCATTACTTTTATAATAATGTCATTTGATTATTTGTAGATAAACATAAATAGACAAATATTATTCGTTTAGTATATAAATCGGAAATTTGCAGTTTAATAGTGCATCCGTAGTGTTATAGATGGTAATAGTGAATTTGTGTTCGTTAAAGCAATTTAATAATAATAATACTAATGGAAGGAGTTGTAAGTGAACGTAGTAAGGAACAAATAATTTACCAACGCTATAAATTTTCTTACAAAGAACTTACTAAAAAAAGACGAAAATGGCGGTGCGCAAATAAAAATTCCAACTCTAAGCTGTACCTTGACGAGAGTAAAACGTAAATTTTAAATGAAGAAATTAAACACGACCGTTCTCCTCTTGAACATCTGGAATGGTAAATAATTTCGAATCAAGTGAAACGGAAAGCAATGGACGATTTAACAGAAAAGCCGTTAAAAATAATCAGTAATAAGAAACTAATAAATTAACAAACAATTTTAAAACTAATGATATACCAAATATAAGACAAAATTTATATAGATCTAGACGAAAAAATACTTCGAAATTGCCCAAAACTTTTAGAGAAACCCAAGAAAATTTAATTAACATTAACACACTTACGAGATTAGACGAATTTCGTAAAGTAGATATTGTAGAAATATATTATATTATAGAATTATAAATATATTATACAAATTATACTAAAAACTAACTAAGAGTTATCTATTTATTTACAGTATTATTAATTCTCAGGCGCAACTAATGTATACTTTCTTTTTACCGGCGCAATTGATGTATACCCTTTTCCTATCCTATAATTTTTTGTTTTTTCACCTGCGATTTCCGGCGCAATTGATGTATGCCCATGAAATGCCCTATCACGCCGCCAGTGTCTATACATTATAATAATTAAAAAAAAAAAAAAAAACACCCACGGTGAACAGTAAACCTCCGTAACTAGAGGGGAATTTTTTCCCACCTATATTATCACTAGGTACAACTTATTATAATAAACCACGATTGGAATTTTGTAACGTTTATACGAACTAACAAAATGTTGTATCCGCATAAAACCAAATGAATTTTTTAAAACACTTAAACAGCTGTAAATCACTCGGAAAACAATCTCTGAACATTTCCAAAAGTTTATCGCGTCCAGAAAATGCCTTGTATAAGTATAAAAAAAAAAAAAAGTAAGTATTCCAAATCTCTACGTAATTATTGTTTAATATTGTCTTAGAAGGTCCGAAATGTGCTCAAGACCGGACGAGTATATTACAGTGTATTATTACAGCGCCGGGCATTGTCGTCCAAAAACGGATACGAAATGTTTTACCCCCTTATGCCTTACTCTTCCGGACTAGATTCCAAACTGTTATGACTCATAACCGGTCGCGTCCGCGAATATTTAGTACACCCGTACCTATATTATAGTGTTATACGGAAACCAAATCGTTTTTTAAAAACATTACGTCTTTCGAATTTGCGCGCCGCCAATTGTCTAGAAAACGGCGGGTTTCCCGCGTTAGAAAATTAAAATTTTACGTTCGTGTTTTAAGGTGATGCGTATTAGCGATAGTATTATTAATAGCCCGGGTCGGTGGCGGATGGGAGAGAGGGGGGGGGGGGTTGTACGGATATAGTTGAAAACGGCGTTAATAAATCGAGCTTTTTTTTTTTTTTTTTTTTTTTTNAAAAATGAAAAACAAAAAAAAAAAAAAAAACATAAATAATCGAATTTAATTCACACTTATTTAAAATCGCTCCCGTACATCGAAAATCGTCGGATTAAAAAAATCGAAAAAAAAAAAAAATAAAAAATCGTATACAATGCCTAATACGTAGGGTGTGCGGGCGGCCGCGGGCGGTACCGACTACCTCTCTACACGCGCGGCGCGTATAACAACAGTATCGTCGGATCCGTAAATACGTTCGAAAGTTTCGCGAGTCCGCGATGTAAAATCATCATCGTCGTCATCGCCATCGACCATAAACCGTAATAACAATAATAATAATAATAATAATCGAATAACAACAATGACGTGTATACGCACTGCGGATAAAAAAAAAAAAAAAAAAACAAAATAATAAAATAATAATAATAACAACGATGATGAAAAATAAGGGCGAAAAAACCCGAACAAATATTATTGTAATATACGAGACGAAGAGCCGCGTCCGTAATGTATGTAAAATGCGGGCGCGCGTGCGTACGCGCGCGTGTGTGCGCGCGAAGAGGGCGGCGAATTATAAAAATAATAATAATAACACAAATATATGTTTATATAATAATAATAATAATAATAATAATGATAATGATAATACGTATACGAAAGTATTTGGACGGACGTTTTGCTCCTGCTGCACAGTCCTGCTGCAGGACGGACCGACGCGAGGGGCGGCGCGAGTGGCGGGAAAAAAAAAAAAAAAAAAAAAAACAATCGTAATAAATAACGAAATGAAAAAAAATATATCAGACCGCCGTGGCGGCGGCGGTCGCTGCCGTTGGAATAATTAATTACACACGCACACACACACACACACACACATATACACGCACACACGCACACACATACATACACACACACACACACACAGACGCACACACGCGCGCGCGCGCATTTACACTCGTCCTTGTATCCCCCTGCTCTTCTGTCCCGCGGTACACGCGCGCGCACACACACACACACACACACACACAGCAGCTCATGTCGGTAATTTTTATTATTATTTTTTTTTTTTTTTTTATAATTCTATTTTGTTTTGTTTTTTATTTTTAAATTTTTTTTTTTTTAACTCGTATTTTTGTTTTGTCCTCCATCATCGTCGTATAGTATAGCCGTTCACCCCCCCCCTCCCCATCACCCCGTTTTCGCTCACGCGCGCGTGTGTTTGTGTGTGTGTGTGTCTGTGTGTGTGTGTGTGTGTGCGTGTGTGTGCAGTTGCACCCGTTCGGCCGTCACCTCTCCTTCGGTATCTGCGTGTACCCTTTCCGACCGGCACCCCCGTCGACATCACCCGAAGGGGCGGCCGGCGGGTCGTTGTGTACAGTGCTTCCGAACCCGGACGGTCAGCACTATATACGTACAGCCGCGTTGCATACACGCATATATACAAACTGCACAAATATATATGTATATGTATACATTTACACGACGTACATATACGTAATACATAATATATATATATATACGTATTTATGTATTATTATACGTAATGACGATGACAGTTCGCCATTTACCGAGTTATAGGCCCAGCTTTTACTGCCGGCACACGATTACCGCCGCCGTCGCTGAACAACGCGCCGTGCAGTTTTACCATCCCCCCCCGTCCGTCCGTCCGTCCGTCCACCCGTCGTGCACACACTTTTCCCGATCGTGAATATCTTCGTATCCGCGCGCCCAACCTCCCCCCCTCCCCCTCGCACCGGTGCACCGCGCGTTCGGGACGGCCGCGGCGGTGTTTTTTTTATTATTTCCGAACCGCCGCATCACTTACTATTATAATCATAATGTACCTGCGCGGATTATAACCCGCAAACCACCCGTATAATCTTACGCCTTTTTCATCTATTTATTTGTTTCGTTATTTTTTTTTTTTTGTTTTTTCCCATAATACAATATAATAATCCGTCGTAGCGAATATCTAAAATATATTTGATTAAAAAAAAAAAAAAAAACCAATTATATATAAGATAATAGTGTTCGCGTTCGGTTTACGATATTATTACTATACGTTATACGTGTATATATATATTTTAGCTATAACATATAAAATAATAATATTTGTAGCGGGTGCGTTACTACTCGCCACCGCCACCGCCGCCGTCGCCACCGCCACCGTCGCCGCCGCCGCCGCCGCCGCCTTCGAGCTTATTACCCGGCCTCGGCGGCGCCGCTTATTTGAATTGCTAATTACCGCCACCTCACTCCTCGTCCCGTCCCCCGTAGTAATGTTACTACTGCCGCTGCATGCAGCAATTATTGGATTAATGTAAATGAGCACCGACGGCGTACCCCTTTTCCTCTCTCTCTCTCTCTATATATATATATATATGTATTCGCTTTTGTATTACACACACACACACACACATTATGTATATGTATCGGACAGGGGTGCGGATAGGGGTAAATAATACGGCGGTGGGAATACGAATAATGTGCGCGAGAGGCGAGAGATCGTCGGCGGGTGGGCGAGTAGACGACGACGGGTAGTAGTAGTAGTAGTAGTAGTAGTAGTAGTAGTAGTAGTAGTAGTAGTACCCTTTTCTCTCTATCGTATACACACACCTCTCCCTTGTACACACCGGCGACGATATATAATTATATACTATATAGCTCGCAGTATATATACCATTGGGATGATGACGGGAGCGGGGAGTCGCTGGCACCCCAGCAGCACCATCACCGCCGCCGCCGCCGCCGCCGCTGCCGCCACCGCCGCCGCCGAACGGGCCGGCCCGAGCCGCGTCGGGATATATAATTAAAATCCGTCCGAGTCGCCGCCGCTGTTGATTAATATATGTAAATTTATTATAATACAATAATAAGATTACAGCCCCGACCGACGCTGCCTAGGCCCGAGCCTGCTGCAGTTGTGCGCGTCGCTCCTAATATTTTATATTTGCCGCCTATATAATATACAGATATATATATATATATATATATATATATATATATATGTGTTTAAACGTATATACACACAGCGTAGTCCGTGACTGCGGCGATGCTTCAATAAATCCTTCATCTCGTCATCGGCGTCGTCATCGCGTCTCTCTGTTCCCCGTGCCGCGGCCAACGGCGTACGCCGTCACGCGAGTGTAATGTACGCGTTCCCGTCCCACGCACCGCCGCGCGACGATGTCTCTATAAACGCCCGGCGACAACTGTCCTCGCGCGATAGTAACGATGTTGTTATCGCGAACGCCGCGACAGAAACGATACTGTTATCGCGAACGCCGCGATATTGTGCCGCGTCGCACCGTCACCCGTACCCGCAGTAGCGGGTTGTGCCGCCGGGACGTCCGGGGGGAGTTTTCCGTGACTCTGTCGCCGGTCCCGTCGGTTTAAATTATTGAAAATACACGAATTCACGATGAAAAAAATACGTTTCCGTTTACCCGACGCGCGCGCGTCTTTGATAACGAGGTGTAAAACGACCGCGATCGAAGACAATACGATTGCCCGGCACCGACTGTGCGACAACGTGCGGTCAAACGCGCGTTTTGTCCGCCGGACGTATTAGACGACAACAGTCGGCGAAACGAAATTCTCCCGGGCCGATTAAAATCCAGAACCACCGGCCGCATCGCGGCTGTATGCGGACTGATCCGAACGCCGTACGCCGACCGTAATACCGACGCGAATCGTAGACGGCAGTTTCGTTTCGATACCCGTGACCGTGAAAAAAAAAAAAAAATACAATTCCGTTCGTGTTGAATCACGCGACCGGGTCGGCGGCGGCAGTGGCGGGCGTCGGCGGTAAATGATGTGCCGGCGATTCGCGCGACGTGGGGGCTTGGCAAAGGGGACACGTGTCCGAATTATTGACGTTCGGTATAGATTTTAACACAGATGAACCGGCGATTACGTTTATCGCAAACACGCGGTTTGTTTATAGCGACGGATTTTCGACATTCGTCCTAAATAAATCGTATTACGCGTTTCAAAGGTTTCGTTTCAATTAACAGACGTCTCTTTTTTGACGAAATTTCATTTGAAACGACAACAGTGCCCGTGGAGGGGTTACGGACCAGACCCGTTGGGGGGAGGGGCGGTCGCAGAGAGGGGGACCGCCGTAAATCCGCCACTTTCCCGTACGCGTATCGGACGACTATCGAATAAAAACTGTTATCCGAGTTATGAAAAAAAAAAAAAAAAAATTACGAATAAAAACAAAATATCGTGTCCAATAGCCGTTTTATTATACGGTTAAATGTCAAACGTTGTATACAAACTCTGTGTCTCTTTGACCCCGCGTCCCCCTATCCGGCCCCGCCGTTCCGATGTCATGGTTACGCTACGACCGGGGGAGGGAGCGCCGCAGGTGTATAATATATACCTACGTAGATAAATAATACGCGTGTACACTGCAAGTACGACGACAATTCGGTGACCAATGCGGACAGGAGATTCGCATAATAGTAATAACAATAACAATATAACAGTGTGATAGCGGTCGCAAAGGCGCGCGCGGAGGGAAGAGACTCGAAATTATAATTATCATCGGCTCCGTCCGTTCGACCCCGTAAATATATGTGTGTGTGTGTGTGTGTGTGTGTGTGCGCGCGTGTATATAACGGCGGAATATAATGTACGAGACGGGCGGGTGGGGGTGGGGGTGGGGAGGNGGGGAGGGGAGGGGGAGCGATGAAGACAACGGCGGCGGCGACGACGACAACGACGACGACGACGACGGCGACGGCGACCAAGGAGACGGCGACGAATGCCTATACACGCGTAGAAGTGTGCGTGGGCGGGCGGGAAAACGGACGGAACACGAGTAAGGGGCGGCGGCGGAGAGGGGCGAGAACGGGACAGAGGGGAGGCGGTTTATGCGTTATTCGCCGCGGCAGGTCGGCGTGTGTACGGCGCGGCGCGACGGCGGTCGGAACGGGGCGAACGGGACGACGGACGGTCGGTCGTGAGAATGCACGTACGCGCGCGTGTGTGTGTGTTTGTGTGTTTGTGTGTGTGTTTGTGCGTTTGTTGTGCGTGCGTGCGTGTGTTTGTGTGTCGGGGTGCGGTAGCGGTAAAGGGTTGGTCAGTCGACGTGCTGGTACGAAATCAGGGTACACAGGGCCGAGGCGAATGGGATTATTCACCCCGTCGCCCACTCTCGCCGCCGACCGCCACACTCACCCGGCCTTTCCCCGCGGTCCTATAATACGCCACCGTCAACCTCCCCCCCCCCCCCCCCCCCCCCACCCACCCCCTTATCCCCTCTTCACCGTTCGCCGCGTATTCGGTCCACTATTACTATTACGTCATCTAATTATAATATCGTATCCTTCCCCGTGTCCCCTCCCGCCGCAGACACCCCCGCGCCCGCGCAGCGCACACCTCTCCGCAGTGTATATATACGCGCGTATACATAATACCGTTTTCACAATTTCCACCCCACGATTTTATTGCGTGTGTACCCTCCGCGACCGCGACGTTCGCAGTGGTACTATCTCAATTTATACATCTCATTTACGCAGCTGCGTATTATATTGTTGTATGCGCGCGAACAATAATAATAATAATAATAATAATATTAATAACGTAATAAACGCGCGTAATTTTCTTTCGCGATACGCTCATATGCGCGCCCGCGCGCGCGTTATGTCGCGTGTATATTACAATATTATTATTACCGGTCGCGGCGAGTATACCGATTTTTTTTCTTTTTTTTTTTTTTTTTCTATCAATTTTCAATAAACAAATCGCGAAATAATTACGTTCGCGTATGAAACGCGCGGCGGCGTTAAGCCTCGAGCACGTTCGGACCGGGCAAACGTGTTCGCGATCCGCGGTGAGCGCGGCCCGCCGGCTGTCGGTGTCCGGTCCGCGCTCAAAGGAAATCGGAGCGCGATTTGGACACGCGCGAATCGTACCGGCGAACGACTGCAGGAGCACCTGCACCGTGCTGACGAATGCTCGCGACATGTTCGCGCGACGTCCGCATTGAGCACGCACGACCGTTTCAAAGGACCGCGGCCGTTTTGCTCGTTTTACTCCGTTTGCGCCCACGGTGCTCGGCGCCGAACGCGCTCATCAGGCGCGTGCCCGCGCGTGTACACCGCTCTTGTGATCACGTTGCGCCCCGTCTGCAGCGTGTGACCGGACCATATTCGACGCGACGCGAGGCGATTTCGAACTCGTTTAAGGGAGGAGAGCTGTGTGGGGGTGGGGGCGGATGGGGACGGACAGATATTACGTACTTATGTCGTTACCCGCCGAGCTGCGTTACGATATTTTCGAATCTCGGTTCAAACGCGGCGTTTTTATTATTTTTTTTTTTTTTCCGGTAACGACAAATCGGGTTATATTTTTTACGGTCTGTTTTTCTCCCGGATTCCCGAACAGCGTTACCGCCCACCTATAATACAGTATTATAGGGTTTCGCTCAGAAAAATACTCGAGTATTAGTTCGGGTACTTCCGTCGGCAGCGTCACTCCCCTCCCCCCCCCCAAAAAAAACAAAAAAACTTTACTCGTGCACGGGCGTGCGATATTTTAATATTATCGCGGAACATCGACCGATTAACGTGCAACGCAAACATAATCGTGTCTTCCTACGTCGCCGACACATAAATCGGTTATATTACTTGGTTTCGAATTGAAATATCGTTGTTGCAACGGAATTATTCCGTCAGATGCTAATGAAATTCCAGCGCCGCGATCACGCCATGGGCGTAAGTAAATGTACAAATTTAGTATAATTATCGAAAATACAAAAACCGTTGACAATTACACTAGGCAATCAACGATTAGATATATGTTGAAAATAATTTTTTTTTTTTTTTTTTTTTTTTGTATTTTCACAATTTAAGTTTGAGTACGGTGACAATTCGGGAAAACTGATGTAATCCATGCAGAAACGACAACGAAAACGAGTTGTTTCTGCATGAGCCATTGTAGAACGTAGTGATGAGCGCCTTAAGCAACGCACGTCACAGGCAAGTATTTAGAAAAATCAAATGTTGTCGGCAAAATGGGAATCGGCGACGTGTGAATGAACCGACGTAATATCCCACCGCGATACCTATGTTTGATAAATGAACAATATTTTGTAATACAAACGTTCTGCCACGCAATGCCCAAAGACGAATAATTACTGAGATTTTAGCTATTTTTTTTTTTATTTTTTTTTTTTTTTTTTTTTATCGAGTTTTTCACGACTTACGTTTCCGTGTTTCGTTTCGGACGGCTTTACCGCTCGCGGACGTTTTCTCCTCGATTCCACAACGCGTTGACGGCGACAGTCAAACGGTTTTGTCACGGGGCCGACGTTTCAACACTTTTTAACATCCGTTATACTGTTGAGTGTTTACATTATTTATTTATTTAACTTTTTTTACACAAATATTGGAGGGGGAAAAAAAAAGAACACGGGGACGGTGTATTCCCTCTCGCGTTCGCCGCCCCTGCATTTGCGCGTATCATATCGCGTATTATCATCTCATCCAATGCATACGTAAAGCAATAACGTTTTCATAAAAAAAAAAAATAACCAAACAGAAATATTCGTATAACATATTATGGTATACGTATATAATGCATTATAATAATAATAATAATAAAAATAATAATCGGACGCGTTGGCTTTCTATAATTTTTATTGTTTTCGTTGCGTTATAATATAGCGACGAATCGTTTTAGTGATTTCTTGCCTGTCGATACTCTTCGAAATATTTGTAGTGATTTTCGTTTTTTTGTTTTTATGCAACTATACATACGGTACAGGCATAAAATGCGCGTTTAGTAGCGTTTAACCGAAACACGTTACTTTAGGGCGTGCATCCGAGCAAAGTTCGGGCATAGTTTTACCCTATTCAAACTATAACGTTTGCGGGCATAATGTACGCGGTTCGAAACGAATTAGTTTTACCGTGTTCCCGCTTCGGCTCTCTCGTGCAGTGAAACGATTAAATGAATACGCGGGGATAGCAGCTAGGTGCACACCTACCTATATTAATTTTTCATTTTGCAGTATTGATAAAGAACACGACGGCAATGTTCGGCATCAATGAACAATCGGCAATAATCGATCGCACTTTATACGTTTGTTTATTAGAATACGTTAAATTAATACGCGTTTGAAAAGACCGGGAGAAATTAATTCGGGCCGATCAAATATTACAAACGTCAGGTCATTTCAAAGTCACGCGAAGTCCTCGGACACGAACCGCGGGACACGGGGTAAACGCGTAAATCGTAAAATTTAATTATTCCGAAACTGCGCAGTAAACGGTACACTGCAGTATACAGACCTAAGCATAATATTTCCCTATAAGGGATAATAGGAATAATAGAATAGAATTTTTATTAATTTCAGAGATCGATCTATGCGCAAACTACAAAATAATGTTGTGACGGGACGAACACAAATTTCCGGATTCGGGATTTCAAAATCGGAATATGCACACGTTTTCTATACGGGGTTTCTATGTTCTGATTCCATATTCTAATACGGTGCAAATTACGATTGTTTTTTCTGTTCAGTTGTATTAAAATATAACTTTTATTATTAAAAAAAAAAAAAAAAAAAAAAATCGTAAAATAATCTAATAATCAGTAGGTATTCTGAAAATCCCGAATCCGGGTTTTCGAACTTATCTGCCGAATACGCATTTTTTCCATCGCTATAATATACAGTGCGAATATATGTGTTATTCGGATTCTGAATGGAAGCGAGGAATGTATTGGTTTTATAACGAAATTTATTTATTTATTTTTTTTATGCCAACTGCAATGTACCAACAATTCTACCAGCAATTTTCATCAGCTGTATCAAGTTCGGAAGCTTTTCTGAAAGGGAATTTTATCTAATTGGTACTTATTTGGTCGGCAATTTTTTGATTTTCCTAGTAGTTTTTAATAATAATTGGGAAAAAACGTAGGAAAAACGGGAAACTTTACGAACATTTTTAATTTTATTTTTTTGTCGTTGTTCAGTTCAAATTGTTCGTAAAGGCTTGAAATCTCGACTGAAAACTCGTTTCAAAACATTCCAGCCGTTTTCGAACTATTTTTAGATTTTTAATTTTATGAGTTTTACACGTAATTTTTATTCGGTAAGTACTCTGAGGATAAAACTGCTGTTGGCCAAACAGAAATGCTTGAGAATTTAACTAGAGGTTCATTGTAATAGTTGTACTTATAGCGGCCAACAAGAAAAAGTCGAGTTCAATGTAATATTTTTTTTTTTAAAAGAATTTTATTATCGAATTTTGACGAAAATCGTAAATATTACGGTCTTTTAAGACACGTACAACCGAACTCCACGCAGAATCGTTTTTCGTTAGCAATGATTAACTGTACAGCTGTGTGTACATTGAATTCCCCTCGTCTATATATCCTATACTCTCCCGACTTCTCACCTACAACAGTGGCCCACCCGTCGTGCGAATTATGTCGCGTATTTTTTTTTTATTTTACGCCGAAACGTAACAATAATACTGACAGTAATAATATTATTATTACAGCTCTTGTTGTGTGTGCCCGAACGTTTTCTCGAGTTTTCGGTAAATTTATTGTTGACAAGTGCAGCCGAACGTGCTAAACGCTCCCTGACCTACCCTTTTTTTTTATTTTTTATAATAATGTATAATAGCGACACTCGCGCGGCGGTGGAGGCGGCCGCGGCGGCTGGGAATAAGACGGCGCGGGGAGCGGAAGCGGAAAAGTAAACGTCGTCGCCGTCGTCATATTATTTCCTGTACCTACCGATGATGTTTTTCCCCTCGCGGATAAAAATTACGCGGTCGTTCTCGTCGACCCCGGAACGTCACAATTTCGGTATGCACACACACGCGACGACGATAATAAACCGTCACAATCAAATTTATCGTCCTGGAAATACTTGCGCGCACGGCCAAAATCCGAATACTTAAGCGCGGGCACTTCCCCGAGTACTTTGTACAAGTATTTACAAGTTTGTATTTAATATTTCACGGACGCTTGGCTAAACTATATATACCTACGTTTAGGTTAATATCGAGTTCGTCGCGCCACACAATTTATCCCGACCGCGTTTAAAATACTCGTGCGCATTATAATATTATTATATTACATTTATTAAATGAAATTACTTATCTCGTATTATTATAATATTACTGTATAACATTAATCTTATCGATTTTCAAGATCTTATTTCATTAGGTTTTATTATTAGGTAAATTATATTTCAGACGTTATTCGTTATCCGTTTCGACGGATATTTTCTGTGTATTTTAAATTATACAAATATAAAAAGATCTCTTATCAGAGCCAAGTAGATAAATATAACGATATAATATTTTAAATATCGATACACGAGGTCATCGTTAAATAATAATAACGTCTCGATCATAATGTATTCTATCATTTTTATTGTCGAATGAGATAGTGGCGTAAATACGGGGGTTTGATAGGTGAAACTATTCCTGGATAGACCTCTCTTCCTCTAAAAAAAAAATATTTTGGGGATGAAACGTAGGATATACAGTAAAAATTATGAACATATGGAGTAATTTGATTTATATATTAATGTGTGTGCTACGATAAATCATTACGAACAAAAAAAAAAAACGATTCTGAGCGGAGCAGTATATATCGTGGTTTTCCCCCATTATCAATATAACCCAGACATCAATAAAAATAAATCTATGATACATTAGTTTTTAAAACTGTATAGAAAAACCGTTCGGGCCTGGGCATTTTTTTTTTTTAAATAAAGTATTACTAGACGAAAAATCTGCATCTTTTAAGATATAATACGAAAGTACCATAGGGCAAAAATTCCGCATTTTTTATTGTGGAACTGCGAATAAAATTGGCGCATTTTCCTAATTAAAAAGTGTGTTTGAAAATAACATACAAATCAACTTTTCGGAACCAAATGTTTGCTAATAAATATTTTGCGTACAAAATAGTCCTTACTTACACAAATAAAATCGTACCTAAGTCATTGAAATTAGTATACTTGAACATATTTTATAGTATGAGATTAAGTTTAGTTTTTAATTTAACTACAATATTGTCAATTTGCTTAAAAGACAAATTGGAATTTAGCCGTACAAATTATCTAATATTATCAGTCTTACTAGGCAAGTTGGAGAATAATTTTAGAGCATTTTTACAAATAGTTTTCTATACGATTGACGGTGACCCGTGTCGGATTATAGGTTATGGGGGCCAGGGGTTAAAGACCATTAATTTATAAGGTGAGGAATTTTTCGGATATTATAATAATATGTCGTTGATGTGTTTTTATTAAATTAATTTGGGACACTTAACGATGAATGCATAGTGGCAGCCTACAGCCGCGCGAGTTCCGCAAGGATACTCGTATTTATAGTATGTATATAAGGTCTATTTCACACTATCCGAATTTTCGACGGAAACGTACTGGACAAAAATTTAAAACGTTTGAAGTTGAAAGGTTAAGTCAGGTTGAAAGTATTTTACACTATCCGATTTCACCAACGGACGAAAATCTATAGGTTCGACAATCGGAGATTAATCGAATCATCTCGACGGTTTTCCGATGTCGGAGTGGTTTTTTAAACAGTCCGATTGTTGACTAATGTATAAATAGATGGAGCCCTTCACACACGTTGATTTTCTGTCCGATAACCGGGCACGTTTTAGTTTCCGTTCGTCATTGTTACGACTATTCATATTTATATTATTCATAATATTATAATATTATTATAATTTTCATGGATGGACAACCCAACTATACGGTTTTGTTCTTAAAACCCGTTTATGTTAAAACACTGTTTTAAAAACGTTATTTATTTAAATCGATTTTTTACCACGATACCAATTTATTAAAACAAAATAATAAATTCGAAAAAAATTATGTACTCACTTCGTATATGCCGTATGGAACTGACGAGTTGTTGAAGAAACGGATAACGATCGGATTTTAAAAACACAGCCCGTTTTTAGGTCCGATCCGATCCGTTTCCGTCAAAAATCGGATAGTATGAAATTATATAGTCTAACAACGTATGTAGGTGTTCACAAATATCCGCGTTTTGAGTGATTACGTAATATCAAGACGCGGTTCGGAAACGAATATAGTAAAATAACGTTAATATGTGTACGGGTAGGCATCTATTTGATAATTATAAAAAAAAAAAATTAACATTTCAAATGTAAACGAGAGAGAATATTGACAGTCGTATCGCAACGTTAGTAGGAGGCACGTATTAAAAAATTGTAATATTGTTATATCAGTTAATAAAACATAATATTATTACACTGCGGTCCGGTGTCTGCCGGCGTACACGCAGTTATAGTCGTAGGTTTTCGAATAGAACGAGCGAATGGAAGGAGGAGGCGCAGCAAGTAGGTATACCAATAAATTTTGAAATGCATCGCGAAAAACATTGTGCGTTTTAATATACACGCAATAGTGATTAAAACCGAACGGTATAGGCGCCTAGTAAAATGTTATTCGAAAAATGTAATAAAAGATGCGTTTCGTGGCACGGGTAATGTTTTTTTTAGCGAATATCCATTACGTGTCCACACCCCTCCCCCATTTTAAAAGTTCCTCGAACAGACAGACCTCCCTTTCAACATTTCGGACATTTTCCCATCCGCCGTCAGGGCAAGTATAAATTGATATAATATTTTGAAACTAAATCTACTTATTCGATAATTTACCATTCATTTTCTGTGATGGACGTATAATAAGCAAATTGTAATCCACTGAGTGTTCAATGGACTCGACCGTATGTCTATTTGGACACAGAACGGCTCCTTAAAAAAATGCCCTGTCTCGGCACAATTCAGCAAGTATTACATTTACCTACGCTTAATATATAATGTGTGATAACAGTGTTGGAGAGTGACTAAACTTAAGTTACAATAGTAACTGTAACGGAATTAATTTTTAAGCAATTTGATTGTAATTTAATTATATTTTATTGTAAATAATTTATACGTAATTTAAGTTACTTTTTTGCAGTTAAATCTCTAAATTACTCGTTACTGTTATCGCTGTTGTTATGCTTATAATGTATAAACTTGTATATACTTAATATTACTCAAATATTTGTTATTATTGTTGCAAAATGAGTATGTGTTAATAATTTCATTTTGTGGGTTTTCATTATTATAGTTAATATACCTATTGTTCTATTGTCATATATTTATATTGACAACATAATTATTAAGATTCAATATTATTTTTGGGAAAAAAATAAGTATTTAACTATTTTATTGTAATGAAGTTACTTTTTTTAACTCAAAAATAATGTAACTTGATCAAATAAACAAAAATTAACTTAAAACAATTCTAGTTACAATTTCGAAAATTAATTAATAACGTAATTTAATTACACAATAAAAATAACCTCTCCAACACTGGGTGACAATAACAAAAACAAAAATTTTAAAGCGGCGATTGTAAAGCAAAATAAAAATATCATCATTTTTAACGAAAGATACACAAGTTTGACGTTTTTATTTTAGTTAAACAAATAAATACTATATACATTCTGTGCTTAAAATGTGTCACTCTAATTGATTAAACACCCTTAAAATAAATATTAACACCATTGCCTTAAAAACGTATAATTATTGTAATTAAATATATACCGACCATTTTTTCGACAGTTTTATTTTATGTTGAAAAACATAATATTTTAAATACATATATATTTTCTTAAAAATGTGATAATATTTATTAAATAGGATACAGAATAATATCAGTTTATGTCAGTTTAAGCAGAATAAAACATTTTTAAATACATTCAAATCTAAAAAAAAACAAAAGATACGGACATACTTCATACGATGGGTGGGCCACTGTTGTAGGTGAGAAGTTGGGAAATTAAAGAGGAAATCGAATGTATATCTAATTACCCATTGCTAAAGAAAAACGATTCTGAGCGGAGTTCGGAGTGTTGCATTGTAATATTTACGAATTTTATCGGAATATGATGTTAAAGTTCTTATATGAATGAAAGAAATACTAAATTAAACTCAATTTTTTATTCCAAAAAAGTACGACTTATAATGAACTTTCTGTTAAATTTTCTAGCATTTCTGTTTGGCTAACAATTTTATCTATAGAGTATCTACCCAACAAAAATTACGTAGAAAAAACCCCTAAAATGAATATGTTTAAAAATAGCTCAAAAATGACTACAATACATTGAAAATTTTACTACGTGAAAACGGTAAATATAAGTTTTCTGTCTAAATTTCAAGTCTATAAATATTTTAAATCAAATCAAAACAAAAAAACAAAAAATTGAAAACATAATATATTTTGTAAATGGTCGTTTTTTCCTATTTATTGGGAAAATCCTCGGAAAATCAAAAAATGATCTCCTTTAAAGTACCACTTCAGTCAGAAAAAGCACTAAACTTGAAAATAAATGCAAAATATATGGTTAAAAAGTTGTTCACAGATAAAAAAAAACATTATTGTAAAACCAATACACACCTCGTTCGCTCAGAATCTAAAATAAAGCAATACAATCTTGAAATATTTGATATATAATAAATATTTAAAACAGAAGGTTATTTTTATTTTTTTAATGATACAATATTAAATTAAAATTTTTGAATTGTTTGTAAAGAAATCATGTACCTCTTACAGAAATAAAAATGTACACGTTTATGTTACACGATTTTTTTTTTGGAGAGCTCGAGGTTATCAGTTTTATTTTTGATTTCGTTTCGTGTTTATATTACATAATGGTTAGGATCAGTGGTGAAAACTCTTTTAAATGTATGGTTTCTGAAAATTATGTTTACACAGGTAGGTGTTACTTGTAACATTCATGGGTATATGGAGGCTTTATCCTGTTATTATTCATTTCGAAATTGGAAAGTTTTATTTTCGCGGGTACTATACAGATATTGAATATTTTGTCATTTTGATCTCTTCTTAGGAAGCATAATTTTGGGAATTTTTTAGTGATCCTTTCCCCCCATAAAAAACCGTCTGCTCACAGGGTACGCCAGGGCATACCTTGCGTTTACGCACCTTTATTGCCCGAAGATAATAAGAAATGTCAATACTTAACATTGTTATGCGTTGTCGAATTATCTAAATCCGTGATTTGACGCTATCTTATCGGTGTTGTTTATACGTAAACGGATGGGAGTCGACGGATAACAGAGTACATATTTTGGAATATAGAAACGAGAGAACGCGCAGTTCATATGAATCACAATAATATGATGTGAAGTCACAGTTTATTTTGTTTGAAAATGTCTAATAATCTAACCTATACCTATGTTGGTTACAGTTGAATGCAATGTGTTTTATTTTTTTGCTCATAAACTAAGTCATTACAACGTCATACATTATTATTATTATTATTATTATAGGTAACGCTAGTAAAAAATGTTCATAGCAAATATTATATTAGTATCAAATTAATTTCAATTAATTACAAGTGTTCGGTTCTTTACTAATCTACTCTATGTGTATTTATGTATTTGTTTTACAAAATACCACAATGTTTAAAATTCATTAAAATAATTTCTTATACTTTTGACATTTTCGAATGTACCTACCTACCTACTTCCAAGTATCTATATATGCACTTCCAAATAATATATTCACGTACTCTCAAGAATTTCCGTTTATTTTCAATTATTACTTGCATATTATATAAATACTTCTATAGCAGTAGTTGTACTCTTACTTCCGTTCGTGATTTATCCCCCCAGCATATTTCAGCTGTTCACCACAACTGCACCACTGTATATAGCAATTTGATATAAATACGTCTTATTTCCAAAGATTATTATCTCATTATTTATTCACCGTGGAATTTTAATCTCTCTGGGTTCTTATAGAATCTCCGGTCATCGTGGTCATCGATTCGATCGATGCTAAATTATTGTAATAGTAGGATTTTATTATTATCACGTAGACTATTTTTTTTTTTAAAAGTATAAATACCGATCGAATCGATAGAAAGAAAAAAATAAATATACGAATAGTTTATGAATATAATTATCACCTATGTAAAACAAACACAATATTTACGTATTATACCCATGGATAACGTACCTGACTCTTATTGTTGTGGGGCAAAGCCATTCCTTCTTCTGGTTTTTGTTGATTCGAGTAACTTCTAGGAGTCATTGATGAATCGAAACAATTGTTTGTATTATTTCGCAACGATGACGGATCAGACCCATAATTAGGCATGTATATTATTTTCTTTTATTTCATTTTTTCCAAAATCAAGTACGATTCCGTTCATATTAAATCTACATCACAATGATTTTACATAATATAGCGTATGTTTAAAGCGTACAATTTAAAATTCGTAACATTTACCGTTACAACGTTTCATGTAGATCTGTCAGCAACACCGAGACGGTCCTTACGTTGGTCCTATAGGATTTTCGTCGTATCAACAGAGCTGTCGCAAGCCAGAATAAAAGAACTGTACTTATATACAAACCTAGAAAAATATTACGTTTCAAATCGACAATATGATAATAGTGTTGTTGCTATTCAATATAATGAGACCCAAATGAATATATGGATTGCTATGCATAGAAAATACAAATCTTAGTCAAGTCATATACAGTACAAATAGTAATGCAAAACACTTGTGTACCTGTTAACATAACCCTCATATTTTGTTAAAGATTTCGGTGTATCAAAGGCCGCTCTTATAGAGTATAAATTATATGGAGGTACGTACACAAATATTGGCTAGCATGATGGGATTATAGTGTACTTATAAGATCAATATGTTGTAGTGAACCCAGTGCTTAACTTGGAAGGGGAGCTTCTTTTTATTTTTTTTTTTTTTAGTGTTCCCTTGATAATTATTTATATTGGTATGAGGAGGACGGGTATATCTCTCTGAGTAAATAATATTTTCAAAAAAATTTATTGACCTACCGTCAACATAAAAATATAATTTTTTTAAATTTATCGTCCAGTAATACAATTTTTTTTTGTAATGAATGTTTGCAACTTTGTATGATAAAATAAATGATAAACAATTAGCACGATTAACGATTGTCGAATGTAACTGTTTAATTATATAACCTTATTAGTTAACAATAAATAATTACTGTTAGTCTAAAAATTGTTGTATTTTATGGATTGTGTTAAATGTAGTAGATTATGCATTTTTTAAAAAAATAGTATAAGGAGGGTGTAGAGCCGAAGCCTATCACGGGTTATAGGATGAATTCAATCATTAAGGGACAATAATTTTTTATGTCTCATATTCCCCTTTATTTTATTTTTCCAATTCAAGCACTAAGTTTACTTTACCAAATGTTTAGACAATCGTCGAATCAAATGTTTTCTACTTATTTGAAATCTGTGACAGGATACTTAACTTACCTAGTCAAATATTAGACGTCTGGAACAAATTATACGAATAAACTCGTGATAGTTCTTTGGCAAAGAAAAATCTGCATATTATAAATTTAATGATGTGAAATAGAAAATTGATCAAACGATAATAATAAAACCCACATCATAACGTTCAGAAAATAAGAGACTGTATTGTATCTGTTACATATAAATATTTATTTATATATTTTTTTCTTGATACATTTAGTTACTTTCAGTGGCTTTATTTGGACCAAAAGAACTCAAACTCGGGAATTAGGGTTTTTTTTTTGTTGACTGATTGAAGAAAATTTAGTTGAATTTTAATAAGAATTTCACCATGTTGTTGTGGGTAGAGCATATTTTTGAGCTTTGTATACCCTTATAGACCCACCCCTAAATAAAACCAAGAAGATAAAATCGTGTATATGCGTGGTGTAAGAATACAAAAGATGTGCCCTTTGATGGTTTAGATTTTCAATCCCCTCTCTAACCATTTTTATGTTTAGAATTAATATTTTCACAGCAAATAGCGTGTTTTAAATTCTTTTGAAGACTCATAAAAGCAAGAAACTTGGTTAAAATATGTATATATAAAAACAGTTCTTGTCGAGGATGTGTCTTTAGAAGATTTGAATTTCTAACACCCGACTCCACTGTTTGTTTGTATGGTTATTTTGGTAAAACTCTTTTTTGTTCAATTCCTTATCACTATACAAAAAATCATGAAATAACAGCAAATGGGATGGGGAAAAATTCGACTATAGTGACGGAGCTTTGCTGTTTACGTGTTATATATATATAACTAAGAAACTAAAATGTCATGAACCTTATAATTTAATTTGATGAAAAATAAAAAAAAATTCAAATAACTTACTTCTAAATTTAAAACTTAAATATAGTAACTACGACAGACATCTACTTAAGGCATTGAATGGTTATGAATTGCCATAGCTTATTAAAAATTGTTAACGACAATTTAAAACATCTATAATTAAGAATAGTCTTAACAAATATAGTTCAATCAGTTAATTTTCGATATTATAGATATTTGTTTATTAGAGCACAAGGCCAAATATGTATAAAGAATATAATTATTGACGTCTAAAATGAATCCAATACTATAATATTAGTCAGTTATAAATTCATAAATTATAATACAAAACCAGACTAAAAAATAACTATCATGATTAAAATAAAAAAATTATTTTTCAATTTTTAAGTAATGTGGACATTTCATATTCATTATTAGGGTTAGGAACTTCTGTCATTTGCATATTATTTATGAAATATTAAAAAAATAGTACGGTCGAACATATATACTGTTAATCATAACGTAAAGAATCTAAATCCTAAATTTTATTTTGCATATATTTGCATAATTTATAGCTTTTACTTTTTAGAAGTATGTAGATTTTAAGTGATATGAACAAGAGGACACACACTCATATCTTATCTTAATGTATGCCACTTATTATATACGCGTTTCTTGACTTACATTATTCATATTCATACGCACTGATGTGATACGATAACATAGTCGAACAGACTATCGTAAAATAGATAATTTAGTTAACAAACAAGCATCGAGTTAGATCAATAAATCTCAAATGATTCATCTTAAAACACAAAAGTTATCGTATAAATGGCATTATAAATAAAAAAATTAATTAGTTATATGTTAAGTTTTTATTATATAATTTTAATAAAAACTACTTTGTTTTTTTAGAGGATATTTTTTATTAATTTTTAAAGTAAATTTGGATGATATTTAGAGCTATAAGTCCCTAGGCCTATTTATAATCTTATACATAACAAATACTATATAAAATGCAATAGTGTCGTTTATCGGGAAAAATTTGACAAAAATGTCTTCCTAAATACACTAACTAGATCCAAAATACTACAATAATGTTCACTAGTTTTTTTTTTTATTGGAGCAAGATTTCTGGTAGAAAAGCAGTTTATATCAAAAAAAAAAAAAAAACTAACAATTATTATTAGCATACATCATATAAATCCAATACATTTTTTGCTGCGTTCAGAATAGAAAATTATGTATATTTTGTACTTATTAGATGAGGACTTAATTAAGGGAATTTGGCTGAGTTTTAGAGCAGGACTAACCCCTCCTTCTTATCTGTGCCAATGGGTATGGCATTATCGAGAGATTACTATCTGTAGTATTATTTCTTGGAGAGCCGCGTGGTCTATATAATACCTTTCAAAAAGCTATCTGGCAATGTTGTTATACGCATGTCATATATAGATAAATTAGAGACAACTTTTTCGTTTAAATACGATTCCAATTACGCGCGAATCAAATTACATATCTTCGTATTGAAGATATGGAACTGAAGAAAAAATGGTATTTGATTCCAAAATTTAACACCGCACTGCAGTGGCGTAATTTTTTAATACGTTGTTTAGGGGTTAAAATATACGCTCATGACGCTAGTGGCACTGCATTATACACTGCAACAATAAACAACACAAATATCGTACAGTTAAATAATAACCAACCATGAAAATAACATAACAGTTTATTATAATCATTTATTCAAATTATATTTGTATACAGGTGTGCGAAAATCTTGACCTGTGTAATTTTTGGATATAAATACGTGTAATACTTGCATAATGCATATATTGATTTTGTCATGAAAATAGTAAACTTTTTCTAATGATTTTGTAATTATTGCAGTGGCATACTTATGGCCGATGTTGAGGCCTCAATATCACCCACCTGACTTTTTAGATTTTGAGTAAAACGAAGAATGTTTAGTTTTACGAAGGTGTTGTTTTTCGGAAAACTACAATTTTATGGGTAGTGCTCGTAAAAATGCTCGGTTTTTTTCATGTCTTACGTTAAATGGTTTTAAATTCTGAGTGTAGCGAAGAATGTATTGATTTTACTAAGGTGTTTATTTATAATTTTTTTATAGTGTGTACAAAAATTTGACCAGAAATCTTGCTTCTGAAAAGAAATGTTGTCCAGACCGGTTTTCATAATATCTGGGAAATCCAGGATAAAACGTAAGAAAAATGGGAAATTCACAAAAATAATGTTTTTATTATTTTCCAATTTTGTTATTTAATGTTATTTAGTTAAAAATATTCGTAAAGACTTTATATTTGAATAGAAAACTTATAATTACCTTTTCTGGACGTGGTCAAATTTTTGAAATATTGTGCTATTTTTTTTAAAAGTATTTATAGATATTTTAATTTTGCGAGTTTTGTATATAATTTTTATTTGGTAGGTACTCTGTAGTAAAATTGTTAGACTTAATAGAAATGCTTGGAAATTTAACAGGAGATTCATCATCAGTCTTACTTTGTGGTCAAAAAAGAAAATTTAAGTAAAATGTAGTATTTTTTTTATAAAGGAATTTGAATATTAAATTTTGACGAAAATCGTTGAGTATAAAATTATATGGAACAAATATAATTTTTCAATCTTTTTTTTTTTGAACATATGTATATTGCCAATTTAAGAACGATGGTGAAGTCAGAGTTGAGCGAACTGACTAAGTTTTAAAATTATAGCTTTTTAAAGTTCTGATGTTATGCGGATATTATAATATAACAACATATTATCTTATGTTAAATAACTAAATATTGTCTTCTCTAAAGTGATTTTTCGCAGCTGTATGGTTAAGTTATACATACCTATTTTCATCCTAGATTTCGCGAGTTCGAACGCGTGTTTCAAAAAAAAAAATTGTTTTCATTTTTTTTCCCTTTTACCTAAACACGGAAAAAACAAATGCATTTTAAGTGTACCTAGAGACCCAAGACATCGCTCACTCGGACTATTTGAATCGCAAAATACCCATTGATTTGTTTTTGCGAACTTTTCTACGAAAAATCTTGCTCTGATGTATCAATTGTAGCTTATTTTCTAAAAGAAAATTAAGTCTCCATAATAACTTAGGGAGGTCATTTTTTGATTTTCTCAGGAATTTTCCCAATAATTGGGAAAAATCGTGAAAAAAAAGGAGAAAAACGGAAAAAAGGTACAAAATATATTAGTAAAATATGACGGTTTTCTTTTTTATGTAGACAACTTTTCTACCAGCAATTTCGCTCCAATTTACAACGATAGTACTTTTTCTAAAAGAAAATCTGATTGGGGAGGTACTTTAAAGAAGTCATTTTTCGAATTATCCAAAAGTTTTCCCAGCAAATGTGAAGAATCGGGAAAAAACGCAGTAAAACCGGGAAAATCGTTACAATATTAAACAAATATTATTAAAGTAACTATATAATTATTTTATCATAATATGACATATATATCATTGAAAAAGCATCACTATCAATTGAACCGCGCTCAGAATCGTTTTTTCGTTAACAATGATTTATCGTTGTTTGCAAGTTAAAATTGCCTATAACCAGTGGCTGCGCCCGTCCCCATTATCCTAGGACGGCTTTTGTCGGTTCGGCAGTATTTCATTTAAAAAGTGTTTGAAAATTCCCATACAATCGCTAATCATTATATATTTTTTACTTTTTGTAAACGTTTTGGTTAGAAAAATGCTCCATTACTTTTTAACGGATATCTATCAACGTTTTCAGTTTTGCGTAAAACGAAAAATACGCGAAGACTACGGGGGTTATTTCGAAGGGAACCGTCTACATTATTGACGATCGTGTTATTTTGAAGAATTAATGAAAATTTGTAGAAAATGATAATGGACCGGAATCCTGTCTGTGCACATCGCCGTGCCCGGCGTACAGTTATAATATACGCAATACGCATATTATATTATAATATTACGAATTTCCACGGTGCGGATAGCAGTAGTGATGTAGTATATAATAATTAATTTACGTTCGAATTATGAACGTAATATAGGCAACGTCTGTGTGTGATGCGCGTGTATTATATTTACGTGTAGGTATAAAAGTGAGTAGTCGGTCGCAATACACGCATTATACACATATAGGTACCAACTGTGATAATCTTTGGAAAAAATTAATTATTTAACGGAAAACATATGGGTAATAATTATTACACACAATACTATATTACTATGTACCCGCGTCATTATGTTTTAAGCCCATCTCACGCACACGCGCTCACGCGCGCGCGCACACACGCACACACGCACACACGAATAATATTACTTTTTCTCCTCTTCTCGTTGGCGGCGGCGAGCGGCCCGGAGGCGGTAAACGCCGACCGCTGCTCCCTAAACTCGTAATTTTTAAATTATAATTATAACTTATAATAATAATAATAATAAACCGATGTGAAATCGATTACTATGTTTTTACAACTACGACGATGACGACGACGACGACGACGACGACGACGACGACGGTATTATAATAAATAATATGATGTTTATAATTAAGTAGCCTATTATAATATTGTGCGGTGGTACATTACGGCGACGGCGGCCATATTATTATTATTTTATAATTATAATTCAAGTATTCCGGTATCGATACTATACCTACGTACCTACATAAACACACGTGTGTGTACGCATATTATTATAATATACGTTTTGGGCGTGTTGTAATAATAATAATAATAATATGTAAGCGATTAAAATTTTAAGTTTATATAGGTACCTTAGGAGAGACGAAAAAAAAAAAAGCAGCGGCGAGGCAATAGATTGTTTAACCATCGAAATCCCCTCGACAAATTAATATTATTATTATTATTATTATTATTATCATCATCGTCGATGGTTTTACACGAAATAATTTTTAGCGGTTTCCATACATGCACATTATATAGGTATATATTTGTATTTGTATTTTTTTTTTTTATAATGTGCGCGATACATTATAGTGTATTATGTATGACGGTATGTATAATGTGATATATCACGGGATATTAAATGTCTCAGGATACGCCACAGCGATAATACGAAATATTATACAAATAATAATAACGTATTAATGTATACTTCTCAAATGTATTCGGTATACGTTTTTTTTTTTTTTTTTTAATATTTACGCGTAAATAATTATATTAAAATACTTTCTTTTAAAAGTATTTGAATGTAAATATAAATAGTTAAAAACAAATCTTTTTTTTTGTTTTCGTTATATTTGCTATGCCTTGAACGATTTCTACGTTCAACGAATCGCAAACGAACACTTAAACTTATTTATGGCTATTTACATTAAATGGGTTCAAGAATTTTAGATGTCGTATATTATTCTTTAATTATATTATTATTGTAAATGACCTTATTAAGTTGACTTCAGCTATAGGTAAATTGCATTATATTATAATGCGTCATTTAGTTACTACACGAATTCCTAGAGCCATTATAAAATATTATTATTGTAGAAACAATACTAAATTTAAAATTGTAACGTGAACAAGTATTGTATATTCTGGAATAAAAATTCGATAAAAAAAAAAAGCATTTAAACTACATCAGTCAAATAGTATTTCTAAAATATTTACATACAAGTATTAGAATACTTAACAAAACTGATTATAAAGTACAGGGGCGTATATATAGAATGGAAATAATGAGGATTTGAACCGTAGGCATACATATAAATCTTTATTATAAGTACAAAAATAAATTTATTTGGCATACGAACTAAGCAACACGGTTATTCAATCTAATCAATCAATTATGAAAACTTACTTTAATTGTATTATTTTGAAAAGAAAAAGAACTTCTAAAATATCTGGGAGATGCGACTGAATGGCGAGAATTTGTCCTTAGGTCACCACTTCTCTTTTCGCCCATTGGTGCTATATTGTCGATTTCCCATTTTAAAAATCATGTCTACACGCCACTGACTAGGTATACACCATAGTTTATATTCTAAGGTTTTCTTGCAATACTGCCCAAAAGCCAACTCCCCTCCCTCAAAAAAATGTCAAAAGTAGCATAGTAAAGGTTTTCAGGTTTCAAAAATTCTGAATAATACGATGAGTCACGAGTAAGCTACCATGACACATCTAAAGTGAATTGTATTTGTATTTTTTTAGATTCGTACTGGAGCGAAGGATCTATTGGTTTTACTATGATATATTATGTTGTATTTTTTTGTGTCTGCGGGCAACTTTTCAAACAGAAAACTTGCTCCAATGTATCACCTTCTGAAAGAAAACTTTATCTAGTCGGTGCGTTAAATGAGTCTTTTTTTTTTTTAACTTTCCAAAAGGCTTTCAAAATAATTGGGAAAAACCGGAAACAAAATTATAGATAAAATAGCAAATATTTAAGGCGCTCCGCGGGCCACGACGTTGGCGATTTAAATGCTTTTAATTTTTGGAAACTTTTATACAAGAAATATTGATTCAATTAAAAAATATCACGAGACCTTTTTTTGTTGAATTTTGATTCAAGATGCTTCCAAATTAAATCTTTTTTGATTTTCTAAGTATTTTTAATAATAATTGAGAAAAACGAGAAAAAGACGAAACACGAAGACTGATAAATTTACAGCGATTTCTTTAGTTTGAATATTTACGGCTTATGTTTTCTACAGACAAAATTGCTTTAATAAAAATAACAACAAAAGATTTTTTTTTTTTTTAATTTTCGATCTTGTTAGCTGGTAAAACGTTTTTTTTAATAATTGAGTAAAATCGAAAAACAACGTTGAATGAACGGGGAAATGTACGATAGTAATACTTTTATTATTTTAAATTTTGTTTTTTAATGTAATTCGGTTAAAAATATTCATAGAGACTTAAAATTTTGATAGAAAACTTGTAATTTTTAAAACGTTTGAGCAATTTTAAGCTATATATATAGACATTTTAATTTTTGTATTCATAATATTTTTACATAATTTTTATTTATTAAGTACTTTGTGGATAAAATTGTTCAACCAAACAGAAATGCTTGAAAATTTAACAGAAGGTTCATCATAGTTTATGTTAAGTGGCACCAAAAAAACTGTGCATATTGAGATATTTAGAAAGTTTTTTATTAAGCGTTTAAAGTTATAATTTTTATGCAAATCGTAAAAATGTGGCCATTCAAAACATACGTTTAACCAGATATTCAACCAAACTTCGCTCAGAATTGTTTTTTGTAAGCTACGGTTTTTCGGTACGTATCGATATAAATCAAATCATTCTAAATATTTTACATTTCCAATTTCCCACTTATATAGGGGAATTTTTTAAAAAATTTATTTAAACCGCCTTAATGCACATGCTATATGTAAACTGACAATAAAAAATGTTAATTTGTTACTAAATGTTTATAAATGATATCCGCTAGATGACGTCCATTTCGAAGAGCAACATTCGTCAAGGCCAAGATATTTGTACCATCTCTTCTTATAATCTTTATAATCGTCATATTTTGTGCTCGGTATTCTTTGGTATATACTCCACTCTTTATACTTCAATCAAAAGTCCTAGTCCATTATTAGGCCCACAAGGGGTCCAATGGAATATCCCAATTTCGAGAAATTAATCAACTCGGCAAACAAATCTTATCCTATTTTCGGTTTTAGAGCGAACGCCAATTATTCTGCGGTCTATGATAACTAAATACTTAGATATGAAGAACGTTACTTAACATAGCAGCGCACCCGCATCGATATTAGGTACATTGCCACCAATTTTTAAATCGTCTGTTTCACTGGTCCGCCCCGTGTAACAGTGGCACACCCGCAGTGGCGGTTAAATGACATGAAATATGAGAAATATACCCCCTCCCCTCTCATTGCACTTTTCCTTTGTATATTTTGTAATATAATCACCTACCCTTATCTACCAGCTCTTTTTTTGAATACATAGACATACCTATACACACGAAGTTACACGAATATATCTTCGCTCTTAAGAAAGGGACCCCGGTTAATTTTTGTACATTTTTTTTTGTTTAAAATTTTTATAATATGAAAAATTACATACCGTATAATTTTGTTTCTCAATTTTTCTATATTTCCGTGATTTCGGTAATTTTTCCCCATTTTCGTGTAATTTTAGAATTAGAAAATAGATTTTAACGAAATTGACTTGGGCCCTTTTTCCTCTTGCCAATCGGGACCAAAGATATTATGCTAAATAACTAAATTAAAGTGTAAAGTGAGTTCTTAATTAGTTTTAAACAGGATACGTGCGTGTACCAGTGCCCGTGAATGCGTGGAGTCAATTGAATTTTTGACATTAATTCCTACTATTTTATTATATTGTCCTGAGATTTATTCAGTCTAAAGTCCGGTACACTCGATGGACGATTTCGGATGAATTATTCAAAATAATTAAATGATATATATTGTGAATAATAAAAGTATAATGGTCGGGTTTTATTCGAACGACGACCCAGGAAAAAAATCTATTAAATTGTTATTTTGTTCGAATTTTCATCACGTGAGGGTCGGGAGATTTATGGTTATAATTCTTTTCCGCCGCAATTTTAGATTTTTTTTTTTTTTAAGAATTCTATAATTACATAATTTTTAATTGCGATATAAACACGGATGTTTTCAAAAAACGCGTACGTCGTCGTGCACTTTACCGAAATAATATTAGTAATGTTTGCTATCCCGAAAATCCGTCCAGAAATTTTTTGAAATCGTCTGCCCCGTCATTCCCGAAAATGAAACTCGGTTTCACCGCTACAAGTATAGGGTACTTGCATACGTGCAGCGCCGGATTTAGGTTTGTAGGGGTCCCAGGGTTCATATAATGCATAGGCCGTTACAAATGAAACGTGGTTATCAAATGACTTTGCGGTTTTCAAATCCTATACCCTGAAAAACGATTAAACGCGTGTCGCGGCGCGTTTGTGTATTCCGTATTATTTTACGGCTAATCGGAATATTGGACAGTGTATAGCCGAAACAACTTTTTCGGCACTCGACCGAAATCAAATACGATTTGTCCAGACCGTGCTGTATTATGCCGGTGCAAAATAGAAGAGTCGAAATGAAATTTTCGTTTCGTTTCATTATCAATGCGTCTCGTCACAATATAATACACAATAATATATTATTAGCCAACGGGCGTAATAAACGATTAAACATTACGAACGCGTTTTCGTCGGCCGGGCAAACCGATTTGGTTAGGTAGACTGTAATACCGAAATAATACTTCAATAGACTAAACAAGTACTAATGCCGAGAGATAAGAAAGATAATAAAAATAACACAAATACGTATTACCGTGAAAAATCGTATTATTTATAGGCATAGTAAATATACTACGCCTATAAATAATAGACGAATACGTCGTGAAATATCGCGCGTGCGAAAACCCCCGAGAGTACTCCTGGTTTCGACGTTTACGGCGATTGTAACGCGTCGCCCTTTTCGCGTCGTACAGGAAATAACACTATTAACAGGGATGGGACTTTTATGAGTTAGCATTTTTTTTTTTTTTTTTCCCTCTTATAATTATTCATAGCTTAGTAATATAAAAAAAAAGTTCCGTGCCACCGGGAACTTGTAGAAGTTTTTTTTTTTTTTTATACGCATATTTTGCTTATTATTTCAGCTTTTTTCCACGCGTTAGCGGCGCATATATTTCGATGATATTTGATTTTTTTTTTCCCATGGCGTATTTCGCTGAATCAAACGGAAATAGTATATTTTAATTTATCTTTAAAATTGATAAACAAAACGTAAGATTTCCTACGACATTGCTACGAGCATGGATTTATGTTTGAAATTACGAACTGAATTATTTTTATCATCACGCGGATAACGTTATGGTATCGTGTCTGCGGCATAAATGAAATGAAAGAATTCTACAAAGTAACTAGGCAACAATACGTTCATTTTTTCGTAAGTGCATGTTTTAATAACATATTTTCCGATTTTTCACTGCGATAACGCGTACGAATTTTGTTTTAAATACCTATTTTATAACGATGGCATGATTTCCATTTTTTTTTTTTTTTTTTAGCGCTATAACGCATTATTAACGTCACGCAGTCCTTAGCCCTAACTATCGACATTATTGTCCGGCACGTTATTACTGTTTTAAAACGATCATATTCCTATTTCGTCGGTTTGCCGCAAAGACGCGACTTATCCGGGCGCGTTGTTAATTACAAAATCGTACAATAATTCGCGGGTAAACGAAAACAATTGCGAAAAATCCGAAATTTTCCGAAGAAACTCCGTGGGGTCGTCCGCGAGAGGCGAAAGTACTGCGTACTCGCTTCGCGCGGGGGCCCGTCACATGCGGAATTTTAACGGGGAAGGTGCTCCCCGCCCGCCATTCGAATCGCGCCCCGTCTATTAATAGCGCGTTATGTGTTTTGTTTTCCGGGCGCGATTTCGTACAAATACGAGATTATTACATAAGTGCGCCGTACCACACGACAATAAATCACATAATATGAATCTCGTAAACACGTGACTAACGAAAAAAAAACAAAACGCGGCGTGACAATCGTTAAGCGACGCGAACAACGTGCCGGGCGAGCCAGCCGGGACAAGGGTTAGCTCGTGTACGCGGGTGGGTAACCGGCGGTTGCGTTGTTATTGTTATTGTTGTCGTATCCGAGGTGCCCACACCTACCCGTATTTTGAATTATTAAAACGCTCGTAGCACCGCGCCGCGGTTCGCGACGATCGCCTACAATATTATTATTATTATTATTATTATTATATTATTATACTCACCGGCGTAAATTATTATTTCACGAGCCGCGGCCGTGGCCGTCAATTAATTAATCAATTATTATTATGGTAATTGTGCCGGCGCCGAGTTGCCGCCGGAGTGTTGTTGTAGTAGCGGTGGTAGTAGTGGCGGTAGTGGTGGCAGTAGCAGGCAGCAGCGGTCCCCTTGGTCGCGAAATCAATGTCCTCCAAAATATTATTTATCGTGCCGTATAATATTACACACGATCGGTACGCGAAAAACGACGCGCGCGGAAAAAAATAAAAAAACAATTCGAATACGAAATATTCGCGGCGGCCGGACGCGGTTTTTTTTCGGCACTCCGCCGTTCTTGCCGCTCCGTCGTCGTCCCGGGGAGTGAGATTTTTCCGCGAGATTCGAATTCGCGCGCGCCGCGTGTGCCGCGAAATATCCCGTCGTCCGAAGCGGCGATGAAAAACGATCAGGCCGGGGGTTTTTTTTATGTTGTTTGTTTTAATTATCGTTATTTGTATTCGATAATGTCGTACAGAGACAACGATATTCTCGCGTACGGGAACGGAAGTTCGAATGTATCGGCGCGGCGTGTACGAGCGTTAAATTTTCGGAACCGACCACGACACGCACGTTTCGATAACAATAAAACAACGAGTATAATCGTTTGGCAAAACGGGGGGGGAAAAAAAAGGGTGGGGGAGGGGGTCGATGGGGAAAGAAAATAGAAACGAAAACAACCGTATCGCGATCACCTACCTATATTATATACCTGTTATTATGGTATTGAGTAAACGCACGCGGATTTTCGGCACGCGCGTTTGCCGCGAGACGACGACGACGCCGAGGAAACACAATGCGGTTACGCGACGATGTCGACGACAGTAATAATGGGTACGATATGTCGATACGAACGCGTGTTAAAAGACGTGTGTATTTTTGAAAAACAAAACGAAAAAAAAAAAAAAATTTTTTTTTTTTTATTACTATCGCGTTTACGAATAATATATTGTACTCGGCGATTTTTTTTTTTTTTTTTATATTATTGTTATCTTTTTTTTTTCTAATTGTTTTTTTTCGAGAAAAAAAAAAAATTTAACGAAAACCGAAACGACGATAATACTGTTGAAAACGGTTTCAAACGTCGGACAAACCTTTACGCGGCGAAAGACCGCTATCAACTACTGCCGCGCCGCTATACGATACCGCCACAACCCCGTTGTCGACGGCGGCGAGACGATACAATAATTTATAATTACGTCGGCGCATGTATACGGCGCGCGCAGCACACCCGACGCCGCGCCGTCACCGCCGCTGCCGTTGCCGCCGCCGCCGTCGCCGCCGCCGCCGCCGCCGCCGCCACTTAGTCAGTATTTTACACTTTTACACTGCCGATATTATTATATTGTCCGCGCGCCGCCGCCGCGAAATATTATTATAATGCTATTATTTGTATACGCGCGAATAATAATAATAATATTAATATTATTATTATTATTATTATTATTACTTAGGCACGACGGATATTCGGAACGATGAGAATAATAATATCGCGCCAATGGAATAAAACTGAGTCGCGACACGATAATAATATACGCGCGCGTCGCAATCGCCGCGATAATTCGATTTATCTATCCGCGTGTATAATATGTATACATATAAATGTTGTACCGTGCGTATGGTAGGTGTACGCGAAAACGCGGAATCTTCGTAACGAACGATCTCGGGTAAGCTGCAGGAATTCGCGAGTCGAATTCCGATTCCGTAATCGAATCGAGTTATGAACTTTCGTAATCAAATGAGCGGCCCCGTCGACGGTAAATATTATACGTACGCAGTGTTTTTAACCGCGAATGCCGTCGCGCACTGAAAACTCAAACGCCCGCGGCGAAATATCGTATAAAGGCCCTAAAAGACGATCCGATAGGTAGAAAAACAAAAAAAAAAAAACCAAAAAAAAAAAACACCATCGCCCGTGTCCGAAAACGCCTCGGGCTCTGGTCGAGGACACCGTCATCATGACGGACCTCATCGGTTACGGGGCCCCCGTGGCGTTTGCCCACCTCGCCTGTCCAGTATTTACGCTACTGGTCGCGCGCATTCGTCGCACCTATTCGGGGACGAACGTTTTGTATCGCACGGGCGTCACAGAAGACTATACACAGTATACAAATGTGAATCGCTAATTATCACGGAATGGTAACGTGTTCACTATTTTTTTTTTTTTATCGGAAATTTAGTTATACCGCCCGATTTTTGGGGTCGATCTGCCTTAAAAACATAATATTTTATCTCGTGTGAGAATATGGCTGTAGCGTACGGGTAGTGCGTGGCCACTCCGTCACAGACCGTTACGACGGAAATACCAGCCGCTAAAGTTGTTGTTCGGTGCGAAATGGCGACGAACCCGGGAGACGCGTTCCCGGCGCCGCGACGACAAATTACGCGGCCCGTGTGCGGTTACGTTATGCCGGGCCTCGTCTGCACGTTTGCACTTTTTGATCCGGGGCGGTGGATTGAGAAGAGCGTCAGAAAAAAAAAAAAAATTTGATACCGCCGACGAGTGGCGCTGTTCTAGGTGGGAAACGGGAAAGGCAGGATACATAAAGTATTTAATTTGTATTTGTGAGCGACGATACACTATTGCTAACGAAATAAAAATAAAAACTAAATGGTCCCTATAAAAAGCTTGAAAAGCGTCTAGAAAAGATCAACACCAATTTGTATTCTGCGGAAATTTCTCTCTGCGGTGATTTTTAACCGATTCACAACAAATAGCAAAAATAACGAAACCTTTTTATTTTTTTTCTAGTTTTTCCCAATTATTACGAGAACTGGTTAGACAATTAAAACACAACTACTCGTATAACTAAAATTCAGTATAAAAAGGTTTACCGAGGATTATTTTATTGAAACAAGATTTTTAGTCGAAAAGTCGTTTACAGACATAAAAACAAACATACCAAAGTTATACCAACACATTTCTTGCTTCGCCAAGAATCTAAAAGATTTCTTGAATGTATGTAGGCCCCGGGGCCCGTGTACGCAACACACTTTGCACATCCGGATTTTGCGGCACTGCATGTGACGGTTGTTTTATACTTATTATTAGTGATTATACAACATTAATTTTTATTAACGCTATCCCTTTCGAAATTGCAAACTATTATTTCGTTGCAATTTTGCGTTTCTGGATCATTTTTTTTTTTTTTTAACAATGACGGTACATTTTTTTTCCGAAATGTGTTTAAAGTTATTATTTTTGAAATCTCAGCGCTATACAATAGTATATTGTGTATTTTAGAAAAATTCCTTACTGTTTTTGTTGCTATTTCTTGGTACGAAATTCGAATAAAGTTATACTTATTTTGTTATTTATAGAATAATATACCACGAACGAACTCAGTTTTGGAATTTATTATTTTTTTTTTCACATTTTTCGTTTTTTAGATATTCTCTCCCAAATACGATTCCAAGATCGGCCAAAAGTTTCATCGATCGGGTTCTAAATAATAAAAATGAGTCACACGAGCCATTTATATTACGTATACCTATATTATTATATAGACGATGATTCACGCGGTATTATATGTGTTCAATATGTTTAAAGATTTAATATAATTGATGTGTTGATATCTACCATAAATATATTGTTTCGGTGTTTTAAAAAAAAAAAATATGCACGTAATTATATATAATATTATACGATATCATAGACGTGTACCCCCCCACATTATTTTATCCTAAACGAAGATCCAGACAACCACGCGTAGATGGTAATGAGAATTTTTTTTAACCGCTTATTAATTATTAACTAATTTTATTCAGCCTTCCAATCCGTCCTGTAGACGCGGTTTATCGACCAGTCGAATACACGTTGTCGCGATACTATCTATATGTGTACGACTTCTATTACACAGACGTCTCTGGTGTATTATTTTAACAAAATAATACAATTTATTATACGGTTATCGGTGGGATTTTTAACGACGAGAGGTCATGCACGATAAATACTAAACTAATCACGACGAGACACTTATCTACTATATGAGGCCTGACCAGACAGTGGGAATCCAGAAAACCAATTCGTATTGAATAAATCAAGATTTTCCTTGTAACCGGGCTGAAGTACACAATATAATTCACGATTGAACTGTTAAATAAATATTTATAGTCGCTGTATTTTTAAACCAATGTGGAAGACATAACCCCCCCCCATTATCATACTCCTACGGCGCACGCCACTGAATCGGTTATAACGATTTTTATTTTTTTTTAGGGGGCGATGGAGAGCTAAATAAAATTATTTAAAGCCAAATAGTGTGGTTGGTATTATTATAAAAGTATTCTGAATAGTTTTAAAAATCATTTTATGCTTTGAAAAGAATATATGTTTTAGTCTCGTTTTAGAGTGGAAATGCTTGACTTTAAAAAGTTTGTTTTATTTTTTTGGTGCTCTGATTTGTTCACATATTGCTTTGAAAGATGCGTAATTTTTTAGCCGGTGGTATTTGATTTAAACTTTTTTCGGAATTCCCAAATAGTTAAATATAATGTTTAATCGTATCCTTTATGGATATAAAAAATGTATTAGTTAAAAGAGAATACGGGGCGTTTGATGTCAGAATGAAGTATTCTAGAAAAGCGTTCGGTCAAAAATGCATAGAATATCTAGGTACAAAAACCTACAACTTGATGCCTATAAATATAAAAAAAAGACATATTCTATACGGAAGGGAATTCGTAATAACTTCGTAATTCATAATAAAAAGATTAAATTCTGAATAGGCTATTTTCAGTACTGTAATAAGAAATGATATTTAACGGTTGCATTTTTATACGTTAGTAATAGAATTTGTAATTTTTAGTAATAAATACTCTATATAATATATAAATTATTTTATGTTTTTCATATTTTATAATTAAATTGTTCATAGTATTTTATTTAACTCGTTAAATATTAATACTTAACTATATCGTATAACCTAATTGTTTATTTATAATTATTTACTGTGTTTTGCAATTTAATTATACTACAACTCCCTACACCACCACAAGCTTAGTTTAAAGGTGTAGGTTATCTCTTTAATAATTTGTAATTTGTATTTTATAATTTATTAGTTTAATAATAAATATCTATACACAAAAAAAAAATCGTGTTATCTACTATCATAGTATAATACCTATAGTTCCCTTTGAATCATCCGAACCTAATCTTAACTTTTTTTTTTAATATGTATTTTGAAAATACTACTGTATATCATTCGAAGACATATGCCGAGTACTATTGTTTTTGGGTATTAGATAATTTATTCAAAATACTTTTAAAAAGAATTTTACCCAAGTTTGATCATATATTATTATGTATGTAATATGCTTGCATTTTTCGATGATTTTTTCCATCTGAAATTTTCAAGTCCGTAACTTGTAAAATTAATAAATTGTTTAACATTTCAACCATCAAGGTTTAAGATACTAATTTATTATTTTGTGTTTATTATTAGGTTATTCATGTAACCGCTGCAGAACCATAGATAATAAATAATGGATTATCAGTCGTAGACGGTTTTTTATTTTCTATCTCATTCGGCATTAATGTAACTATTGGGAATTGGGTAATATCCGCGTCAAAACACGCCGAGTAGGATAAAGATATGATTTTAATTTTACAGATAATTACTATTTCTCTATTATGTATACATTTATAATTCGTTTTTAGATTCCAACGAGGCCAATGTTACCAGAAAAAATTAACCATGAGTCAGAGAGCCCGCTGAAATCCACTCCTTTCAATAACGCGTACCTATTACAACGTTTTGAAATTAAATAATAATAACAATAACAAAAAAAAAAAATCTCGAACGTCTAAAAACCGTACAATGTATAGTAATTTAAGGCGACTACCATCATCATCAGCCACTAATAGTATACAGTATTATTATTCGTACCTAGTGTATAGTTGTATAGTAATACAAATTTTAACTATTTAAAATTAGTTCCTTTTATGTACACAAAACGAACCTTTATAACATTTTAATGAAATACATCCGGATATAATTAAGTTATAGACCCTATAGGGAGTAGTCGGTGTGTAGCTACTAAATGGCGAGTACAGCGTAAATAGAGATTATTAAATTACTAAATCCGAGTTAGATCGAGTCATAAAAAAATATAAAATATCCT